GGTCAGTATGTGTAATATACAGTATCACGTCCTCTTAGTAGTGGAGATATATTAGTAAAGAATTGTCAGCTGAAAACTATAGTAAGGAAGAACAAAAAAAGTCTGAACCCCTCCCTGTCCAGGATGGGATGATCCACAACGGATGCGGAATGATGCAACCACTCCAGAATTAGTCCTCAGCATTTTGGGATATTCGTCCCGAGACTTTTCAGCCGTCAATTTTCAAATACAAGTCCGTGCAATAACGTTTTCCGTCTGTCAAAAGCCGTCGCTTCACTGATTCAAAGCGGTAAAGGGGAAGGTTGAGTCGAGATGTCGGGCAAGGCCGTGGGCGCCATGGATGGTACATATTTATTAAAAGCCTACCGGATTTCTAAGCTGTCCTAGCTCCAAGGAGTTATATAATGAATCGAAAGGAGAAATCACGACATGCGGTGGTTTGATGTTTCCTCCTTACTTTCCTCTGGTCTCTGCAAGTGCTTGAAAATCGAGAGCCACACAAACATTAAATTTGATAAACGTTTATCCCCGACCAAGTAGGGTCCAAAAAGACTACTCGAACAAACGAAAAAGATATTGCGGTGTGAACCCTTCCAACACAGTAGAGACATAGTCGACATTCGTCGTACATCTATATCTGTTGCAATTTGCGCGACTATTTTAATTTCTCAGTGGGTATCACGTCATGGGCTTTCTTCAACTCATGGACCATTCTGAATCGTTGAGAAGAGATGCCTCATTCTTTATAATAAATACATTTTACTTTACTTTCAGGTCTGCATTCGGATAACTAGTTGTACTTTCGCCCTCAGGAAATTTTTAAGGGCGTAAAATAAATTCATTATTTTACTTTCAGATGACTCTGCAAGTATTCAATGAAGAGATGGAGGATATTCCATTAAGGCTTAGTTGCACGGACGGATTGTCCTGGGATATCAGGTACGGACATATTGATTGCGCGACAGGCAGGATCACGTTCTTTCTCTCACACAGATGGTTTCACGCATTGTGAGCTCTCTTCGGCTCGTTCATTGAACGCGGTCCATAAACTGGACGCCATTACACATTCAATGAACCTGGCCAACTCCATCCTCCATTCCATGGGTTGGACCAACTTTGCTGGGAACCTCGGCTGTTTTCTGTAAGAACGAACATCGTCCGTAGCCTTAGCAGCGTTCGGCAGCCTGTCATAGACTGTCGCAGGACTCACTGGACAATTCCAGACCTGCCCAAGGGTTTGTATTTTGCAGCGACGGACCAGTATGGTACAGCGACACGATGGCACATCCACAGTCATACTGCACTCTGTGTGCAAGTGGTGAACGTGTTGTCGATTTGTCCGGGAAGTTCCGTATCATCGTTTCCCCTTTGCGCTTAGTTTGGCTCTTCTTCAAAAATTAGTAGAATGTATTCAATAGAAATGAAAGTTACAAATTGTAATGTTTACCTTTCATTTCAAATTTATATAGCCGAAAGTATGGAATACTACTTCAAACCTTGAACACCAACCCGGTTCCATTAGTCTAGACTTCGCTAGCATGACAATGAAATGTGTGTCTTATTACAATTGAGATATTTGAACCACCATGACCCAATGCGATATATCATACGGACAGTATTAGCTAGTGCTTCATGTTTGAGGATTATATAACATGTTGGTGAAAATAAACTGATTTGGATGCAAAACTTTTTGATAGACTGTTGTATTATCTTCCAGTAACACGGTAAACTTCAAGTTTCATATTTTCAAATAACTCAAATGATAAAGTAACAGAGCTTGAATTTTTTACAAATTCCTATATTTGGAAACGTTGGTGATAGTTTTTTTAAACATTTAGTTTGACATATACTTATACATCTGAAGCCACATCATGCGCTACTATTGGTTATACTTTTCCTGGTGAGATACTACGGTTTTTCCAACCGATTGTATGAAGTGTAGATTAATAATTACCCTATCAACTCTACTTCCCTGTGAGAATTTCATAATTACAACATGTCTTGTAATGATCAATTCATTATGAACTAGAAGTCGATAACATTTTAGCCATAGTAGAATATAGGAATCGATTTATAGTAACCACTTCCATTTGAAGGGTTGTGATCGATATCAACACTTCACGAGGGAATGGCATGTCAATGCAAACTTTCCATTTGAACTCGATGGTGACATAAAAAACTAAACACAGCTCCGTGTCTTCCGGTGTTCCCAGAGTATGGGCGCACACTACTCCGGCACAGTGGCTAAAGCAGCAAACCTCACCATCTGGACGTAACTCAAGAGTGGTAACTCAACCTGGACATGGTAAACAACACGGTCCAACTGGTTAACTGCACAATGTAGAGACAAGTGACCAGATGCATTCTAATCGTCATCCGATGTTTTGACAGACCGACGACTCGATGGGCTCTTCCCATCCTTTAGCAATCTTACGCGTTGAAGCCATGTAAGCGCTGTTTGAGAGTCGGTACTTTTCGTGGAGGTGGAGGTCGTATCGCCATGCTGGAGGTCAGACTTTCTGATTTCGGTGAGTACTGCTCTTCGGTGAGTAGCGTTGGAAATCCATTGGCCAGGTTTCCTGCGTCAGAGTGTGTTGGAGATAAATGGCTTCAAGCCGACAACATCACAAACCAGAATTTGTCGTTCTTGCATGGATTGGTGAATTTCACCCCAAGAAGATGAATGCAGTTGAGAAGGGTGCACCTTTCAAATACATAGTGAATGCGTGGATTTCGGTCTCAAACTACGTGTAAACCTTACTACATCGCAGTTTTGGCTTGCATGACAACAACTAGAACTTTGAATCGAGGTGGACATTTGTCTTTTTATTTGACTTTCTATCAGTGTAAATTATACATGCACTTCACAATTTACATCAACCATGAATCGGAACAAGTTTGATCGTTCAATTCTATGCATTTATCCTTATGTTTAACCTTGTCATAGATCAATCAATCCATATGTTAAGTCCAATTTTTTATAATAACGTAAAATTACATATGAAAAAACCGTTTATAGAAATATGATCTAAGCCTATGTGATTCACTTTTCTGTAAAACTTATTCCAGATTTAATTCAAAATTTGCAACAGTAATAGGAGTTTTTCAATTCATGTATAATCATGGATCTTACGAAGCAAACTCCAAGGATCAAAAGTTTGAAAACATATTCTAGCTTGCACGTAAACATGCAACCATCATAGCTTTGACATTTACCTGATGAAAGTACATAATGTCTGTGATGAACATAATCCGCATGCACTTTCAAATGTCTGGTAGGATCAGTCGGAAAGAAATCACACTTTCATCAAGTCGTAGGTCTCCTCTTTGGCCAACAACACTGTGAAGGTCTAGAAATCACTCGGGAAAATACTCCATCGCAGACACTCCAAAATGCTTTGCGCAGTATAGAGAAAACATAGTCGGCTTGAAGAGCACACCCCGGTTGGGACTAATCCATTAGATAGAATTTGTATCTACTCGAGTGCGATGTTGCTCCACAGCGACAAATGCACGTATCCTTTACTGATCCTAGTCAACATCTCATCCAGGCCGATCTTCCATTCGGTGCGGTGTTATCTCTACCCCAATTCCAGCTTATTAAATGAACCTTTTCCATTTATATTGATAAAATAAACTTATTTCCTTGATCAGATAGCGTTGACAGAAATTCAAGCACCGAATAGAAAGTTTTTATCAGCATGGTTGTACATACGACGTGTCCGTATAGGATATTGAACCATAGGAAACGTGGGGACGAGTAACACGAGCGCAGCCGGGAGGGAGACCTCATCGATTCACATAGCGGCTGATGGGGCAAACGAACGAGACAGATAAATTTCGAAGGCCCCACAGAGTGGAAATCGACATCGCGCATGCAGCACGGAGCGGATTCCCGAACCGGACTGCCGAAGGATCAGACGGGAGCCGGTTCACTGAACCCTAATTGGATCGGCCACGGCCGTGACGTGAGTGAGAGCTGGGCAGGCGGAACATCGGCGTACGGAGCCGTGACGGGCGGAGCGTCGCGTCGCCACGTAAAGTGGAAAGCTCGCGCATCGAACGCCGAATGTCCACTTGTCACGAGCCTGGAAATAGTAAGTCCCAGCGCTGTACGTGCGAGGCGGGCAGCGAAACGGACGGCGATGGCGATAAGAGACCGCGCGATGCATGCAGCACCCATGCATGCGCTGCGCTGCGCTGCGAGCGAGGGAACGACGGAATGTCAAAGAGCGAGCGTCTGTCGGTCTACATTCCGGACAAGGCTGCGCTGCGACGCTGCGACCCAGCGACGCTAACGAAGGCAGGAGATGTCCGACTAAATGCGGCAAGACACCAGCAGCGCCCACCTTCGAGCCTGGGGAGCCGCTCGTGACCGCGGCCGGGACAAACCGATTATTTTAAGGCGCAGGGCACGCTGTCACAGTCGCTGTCGCTGTCGCGGTCGCAGTCGCAGTCGGGCCGGGGCCTCATATTCGCCCCGTGCTCGGACGAGAATTTCCGATTCGCCCTTCGAAAGTGCGCGAGCGAGCGAGAGACTGTCAAGAGTCCATCGAGGCTGCGAATTTGCGCCTTGCCCTTGCCCTTGCCCGGGCGGGGAATCTGTCCAGAAATCGCACTGCGGGGTCCCAACTGCTCGGTCGCCTGTTTTATTCGTGCCGCGGGAGCTGGACCTGGAGCTGGCTGGAGTTGTTGTAAAGCTGGATGATGGCTCGGGCGATGGGGGAAAAGCGGAGCCACGGGTGGTGTGGATAGCACTCGTCTCGTAGGAACGGCGAGGGTGCCAATTTTAAGACTCGTCGCCCCCGGCTTGCTCGCTGTGCATAATCAATCTCTCCCGCGGCACTGCATCGTCGGCAGCGCAGCAATCCGCTGTGTGTGTATCTTCTTCTCCTTCTTTCGGGCCTCCCTCGGCGTCCGTCCACGCTCCGTTTTTCTCGTCCCTTGGAGCCGACGCGGACTCGGGGAATGTGACTGCGTCGAGGTCTCGACGGGTCTTCTTGCTCGACTCTCGTCGCAAGAGCTTTTTTCGGGGTCGAGCATTCCCTTTCGCTGGTGGGTTTCCTGTTGGTTGGTGGCCCGAGGGGATTGGCGAGTCTTGCACGGACGTGGAGGCTTCGTTGTGTGAAGTGCATTTTTGTGTGGCGCTTCTGGAGTACACCACTGTCCATGTGAGGTCGAGGCAGTGTCACACTTGCATCGGTCCCGGTCCGAAGCATTGTTAGTGCCAAGATGGTGTCGGGAGGAATGGCAGATTGTCCCGTGGAGAAAGAATGTTTAGAATGGGTTCATAGATACCTCAAAGACTGCATATGCAGCTTCCGGGACGAAATATCTTTGGGCCTCGGGCTCCTCAGTGTTCTGAGCTGGGGCATCGCCGAGGTTCCTCAAATTATCACCAATTTCCGTGAAAAATCCACCGAAGGTGTCTCGCTCGCATTTCTAATGACGTGGGTTGTTGGGTAAGTTCATGCTTTGGTCCTGGTTGGCCTTGCTGATTCTATAGTTTGAAAATCCGTCAAGGCCTTTCGATCGCTGGCAGCGAATTTTCGGCACTTTGACCAAAGGTCCTTGTATGCGCTTTCCTGCATTTGACAGTCTTCTGGAAGTGGGAAGTTTGTTCACATTTTAACGCCTCGGTCATGGTTAACCGTCGTAACTATATACCGATGAAAGGAATCTTATTTGACGTATCATGAGTATGTGGACCATTGAATCTGGAGTTATTATAGAAGATTCTATCTGACAGTTCTAGTGTCTTTTCTCAGTCGTGACATTCCTTTTTACCGGAGCAACAACATGCTGGATCTTTAGGCTGTTTTTTACGTATCGTAAAACTGCGCCGGAATTTGCTAAAAGCTGTTGTCATTTCCTTTTCGTTTTGATGCAGGGACATCTTCAATCTCACAGGTTGCTATCTGGAGCCTGCCACGGTACGTTTCAATTTGCCCATCAAATCCGACTATCGGACTAGGATATGTGTTGAGTTTTACGGTCACAATGAACGAGAGGCGCTTGAGCCAAGACAGACATTCTTCTAGCATCGAAATTTCTGTGCAAGCTCGTCTGGCGAATTTAACTTGAACGTACGTGCTCTTGTCTTTTTGCCTTGCTGCAGCTGCCAACTCAGTTCATCATGGCCTTGGTAAGCTTCATCATTCTACGTCCAGTGCCTCTTGCAATTATACGTACGAAGTGAGATTTGAGGGAAATGTCGATTGCTCCGTTGGCAAAAACGAAAATTCGCATCCTTCAGTGTAACAAATGTTCTTGTACTTCTGCGTCCTCTTAAGTTTTTCTTGTACTGCAGTTGTACACGTTTACGACCATCATTCTTGTCCTCCAAACTATATATTACGACTATATTTACACACGCCGAAACTCGGATGAGGGATACGAGAAGATTGCTTCCGTCGGAGAGGTACCGTTCGCTTGTCTCTCGCTGTCATTTGCTCGCCGGTTGAAAACTTGCAGCCTACAGAGGAGTAACGTCTGGCTGCATCGAGGGCTTTGAATTTCGTAATGTATCGTAGGATTAGTCAGCAGCAATGAAGTACTGATGTTTGCTCACATGGTCATGCGATGCTTAGGAGTTACAGACATATATGAAACATATATGTCTACTCGAGACGTGGATTCTTCAAAGTATTCGTTGAACGGCGGTACGAACTTTCTGGTTGTGATCTTGATGCCACGTATGTGCAGAAACCGAAGACAGCCGATGTGGACACAGTGAAGAAGCATTCGGAACAGGACAATAAAACTCATGAGGGTGGTTCTTCTCCTAGTTCTAGTCCCCCTACCACCATCATCAATGTGCCCATAACTCGCAGAGCGAGTAGAGGTTCTGAATCCGATGTTTATTACATGTAAGGTTGCCATTCCAGGTCTCAATTTATAGATGCCACATGTATATCTCTATGTGATATAGCTGTTCTCAATTTGGCTGTTGGTAAGAAAACTTCGGAATCTTATGGCCCAGCCGCAATTCCATGACAAATTTTGTGGCCCATAGTGTGTACCTGGTGAAGGTCCAGTTATTGGAATCGTGACTCCGACTTGAAGATATGGATCTGATGTTGACTTGTGAGTGGCTGCATGTCTGACTGGTCGGAGGTACATCAGAATGGTTGTACTTGTACTGTACACCATTTGACCTGTGGTCTTGTTGGCATGTTCTTACTCAGGTCTGCAAGATCTCTTGCAAGCAGTCACGCCCCTGGAATTGGCTCTTATATGGTTGGATCGCGCGACCGCGAATCAGGAGGCAGCTCTGGCAACCACAGCTTTCTTCGTACCACAGTTTCGTCCTCTCCACAACATAGTTCTGTTTCACGTTCAAGCGCCACTCAGGCAGGATCTTTGCTGCGAACTGTACGAAACCTGAAACTCCTTACTTTCCTCGTACTTCTCAGATTTTTTGTTTTTTCCCTGCATTTGTGATATTTATGTAGAAAAAGGTAAACGGGTTCCAAGTCTTATTCTTTCCGTACGGTTTCCTCATTCTCATTTCGGAAGATATTTCAAAGTTTCGAAGTACAATTTTGCGAAGGTAGTGAATATGGTTTGGCAATTGGAGAAACTATCTAGAGGTTCTTATAGATCACTTTAATATAGCTTCAAATGCTGATTACTTGCTAATTGTGCTAATCTTGCTCTGTGAAGGCCGCATCAAGCGTTCTCCTCGTTGGGTCCGTGGCAATGACCTCCACTGTACTGTCTGGTGCTATCCCTTCCACGCCTCATAATGGTCCTGCGAAGTATTTTGTTTTCACAGGACGAAGACTGTTGCAGGTTTTACACTATCTCCCACAATCTCTACCATCTTCACCTCATAGATATTATTTAGTGAGACGTAATTAAGCCAATTGGTCCTGGTAGAATCCTGAAATCGACCATATTCAGTAACTGGCTGAATTTCCTTTCATTCTTATCGAATTAAGCTACTGAAATTCGCCAGAGTTGCTGTTCGTGAAGATGCATGTCTTTTTTTCCGGGCAAAATGACGATCATTCTTTCGATTGAGCACAATTGCTGTAGGTTGGTCAAAGGTGGAGGTCAAACGCTAGAAGGATCTAATTGCAATATCATAAGTAAGATCGTAGTCTCTGTCTGGGGAAAGGCCTACAGTACCAAGTAGGCCTTTCCCCTGAGTGGGATCTTAGATCTCTCACTAACACGATTGTTGCAATTTGGCGTAGCAGCAAATAAGCGTTTCCCACGGGAGATACTCAACACATTTCCCCAGGCGAAGTTTTTTAGGAGAAGAAGCCGTAGGTCCTTGGGGGGAGATCTTCGGCTGGTGCATGGCTGCAATCTACATGGGTGGCAGGTTGCCACAAATACATCTAAACGTAAGTGACTGGTTTCCAAAAGGTTGATATCACGCTCTGTTCAATTTCTGAGTGCTGTTTTCTTGCCAACAGCTTTTTGACTACAATGTACCACCTGCGAGTTTTCACGACTTTTCGTTGGCGTTTGACAACTTCGTTTCTTTGTGTGTTTCATGAAATTACCCGTTCACCACAACAGATCAGACGTGGAACAGTTGAGGTGCGTGATACCTTTTATTTATGTGAGAAGATGAGGAGGCTTGCAGGTTTGATAGAAAGGCGTAGTATGGCATAGCTTTTTCTAATGATTAGTGAATTGACGTCGCAAAACGAGTAGCATAAACTTTAGAATTGACGCTTTTGTTGTCTAAAACTGGAGATAAGAGAGGAGGTGTGAAAAATAACTTTCATCGGTTTGTTTGAACTATGCAGGGCCTGAATCCACTCATGTTCGTGTTCGCTCTCGTCGGCAATGCCACATATGTGGGAAGGTTCGTTCAAGCTACTTTCTACTTTTAAACTCTTTTCTGGAATTACTAAAAATGTCATTATTTGATTCACACGTTTGTGTGGAGATATCTTTTGTTGTGCAATTTACGCTAAGAAATCTGTTGGGATGTTGCGCAGTATTCTTGTGAGGAGTATCTTATGGGTCACAATCAAACCGAACTTACCATGGCTAGTAGATGCGGCAGTGTGTGTACTTCTCGACCTCTTCGTATCCTTTTCAATCTATATAATAAGCTCTGTCTGTTGTGCCTACTGGTTGCATGGTTTCCTTTCCTACCAATGTTTGAAAACCTCTTCAGGGTGTTTGTTTGGACCGTGTTTACTTTCTAGTCGTCGTGTACAGTATTTTTGTATCGTGTTATATCGTGGCCCAGGTTATCTCAATTGTAATACTCTGTTTAGCTTATTAATTTGCCATGTTAAGTCTTTGATATTTAGTGGTTCTAAAGTTTGTTTGTGTCTTCCTTCTTTCCTTCCTTTGTTGTAAACTACAGTAGATTTGTTAGTCGATGTCAGTCGATTGGTATGCAATGATTGTCGGGAACAGGTCATGGTCATTCTTTAACGACAACTTTGCAGATTTTGTGCCAGTTTTTTTATTACAGCACTAGAAAGGTTGATGACGGCAGCGACGATGATTCCAAAGACCAAAAGGAAGCTTCGAAATAGAGGCGTTTATTTATTATCGTTACCTAAGGATTTTTATTATTTATACATAGGCGGCTTCTTGAGTACTGTTACGAGTTTCTTGGGCTCGGGCGGGAGCTGCGTACAAAGCAATCGATTTTTTCAACCTACCCATTGGTTCTATAATCATGTAAAACAGTTGTAGTTAGCTTCAGTAGTAGAGCTTGCGGCTAAGGATCCTTGTAGTACTGTGTTTTTTGCGAGGTTACACGCGTATATATCAACTACTAGGCAATAAGGATCGAGGTATGATAGAACTAAAGTGTTCGCACTTAGCCGTGTTGACATGTTGTTCTGAGTGTATTTTGTCAGAATACCATTACTGTATATGCCATTGATCATTAATCACAAAGAGCAGAATTCAGTTATAGGTGAGTTTGGCACTTGGCCTGTGAATGTTGTGGTCCAATTCCCCCGCTTGAATATTGGGTATGACATGGCAATACTCTTACTCCCATTTTCTCAAAATCCTACATTGAACTGCATCTTTGCTTGTAATCTTATGAAATCTTATGAAACAGGAGTTTTATTGATGGTCATTGTGAATTGCTGTTTTATTGACATAAGTTGAGAGGAAAAGAAGGTGGTGCTTATGAAGATAAAATATATCACCGCGCAGTTTTTTGTACTCTAATCCGACTCGATGAAATTGCTCAAAAGATGTTCGCCAATCAGAAAACGCCAAGTTATGTCAAAAAAGCTGCAAGTTTCGAATGGAAAATTTAGAGAGTTAAACCTGTAATCCGGAGGTGAAACCCTACACATACGATCGGTAAGGAAAGGCCTAGAATCAAGCAAAACAGCGGAGCAAAGCAGAGCAGAGAAGCCAAGTGTGGTGCGCGGAAGATCCCAACGGGATACAGTGTATGCAAGAATTCTATAGTCTCTGCCTCCACATACTTTTGCACGTACCGATGCAAAAATATCCGCATCGTAATTACTTTTGACCGATTTCATAAGGATTACGAATTGAGCTGGACATTTCCAGTCTGCGGAGTCCGTGCAGCGAAATCGCAGTGATGCGTGTGCCCTACCGAAGCTCGTTTGCCCATTGAAGCTTGGAAAGCAAACAGCTGCGCGAGCCTGAAGTTCCCTCACCACGAGCGCCACAAGTAGGTCAGTGTTGTCGCACGTGGCCCAAAATGATTGTGCTGCGGCCGTGTCCGTGTCCTGCATGGCATGGGTAGATGTGCAAGAGTGATCCCAACTTTCCATGTCCGTCGAATTGCGAACGAGTCTGCAACTTTTGGGAAGCTACTTGCTGTATGGTGGAGGAGGGAGGGCAGGCAAGTCACAGAAGTGGCTGAATAGCAGTCTACGATGAGCATCTCGCTGCACATTACTGCCACCTTCGATCTCGATTCTCGAAATCAGTGCACGAGAATGTGTTGTCATTGCATAGTGAAGAGAGAGCCCGCTGCGAATGTCGTTTGTCCCAGAGGCTGGCGCTCATCTTTGAAACGCTGTCACGGTGGACGAAAATGTGTATCTTGTCGTGGGTTTGGGGGGTTGGGGTTTAGGCCAGATATGGCTTTCTTCAGTTAGGGGTGGGCTGATAATTTGCAACTCTTTTGGACATTGCAGTTTAAGCTAGTGCGGCTCTCACGTTAGAGCCCGGCAGGTCTACATTCAATTATGGCGATGTCAATCTGTGTTGGAGCCACTCCGTCAATTTCTTCGCTAGCCTCCGAGGTCCATTCAAACCCTCGACCCGCTGATCTAGCATGTTAGACGGAAAGCAATCCCATCAATATGTCTCGCAACATTAGGCTTTGTAGCTTCAATTGGGGCCATCTCCACCCGCCCTACTAGGTCCGCCTCCGTCAATGGCGAGAATCTGAAGGTCGCCCTTATGTTGGTGCGTTTCGTGTTGTAGATGTGGGGAGGAATCAACAGAGCGAGATATGTCAGTGGTGTCAACGCTTCCCCTCGCTGTGCGTCCACCACGAAACAAGGCGTTCCTCTGCAAGTTGCGTCCGCCCTTAAAGATCTGCAAGTCGTGCAAGACAGGAAAGTCAAATCAGAGCTTGTTCGGATTGGTGTGCTTGGAGCCAGTGGCTACACAGGTTCAGAAGTGAGTTCTCGTACCAGTAACTCATCCACGGGCTCAAGATGTTTTTAAGAATGTCAAGTGCACTGCTCGCTGGTCCTGGCTTCTAAATTGTTCTGCTTCTAATTCAGATTGTGCGACTTCTGGCGACACATCCAGCATTCGCTGTTACAGTAATGACAGCTGACCGGAAAGCTGGTCAATCCCTAGCATCCGTATTCCCTCATTTGATTACTCAGGTGAGCTATGAGTGTAAACAAAATCGAAATTTGCTGGTTTACGAAGATTAGTGAACATGTAGGCATAGATCTGGTGGATGTTGTAGTTTGTAAAGGTTGATTACATGTCACAAACGTCGAAAGGAGGGAGTGGAACACTTGAAGTTTGTGATAAGAAATATATGCTTGCATAAGAAGGCGACGCTGTTCTTTTACTGAATGGAATTTGGGTTGTTGGATGTAGGATCTGCCCAATATGGTGGCGGTGAAGGATGCTGACTTTTCAGAGGTTGATGCAATCTTCTGTTGCCTGCCTCATGGCACCACCCAGGTACCTGAACGTTACGATAATTTCGGTTTTTGACTGATGCTGATAAGATTATTGCTGTTGTCGTGTACACAAGATGTAATCCATAACAATTTAATCACCACCACTCTCGATGTTGATTAAATTTCGATCTTAAGAAAGAATCAATATGTGAGGACTGTCCACTTGTATTCTGAGTCTAAAGGCTTCCATGATATGTGTCGCCTTCTAAGGGCTAGAAATTGAATGTGAGTGGTTGTTTGATTCGGTTCATATGATAGCTCTCAACCCACGATTAAGTTTCAAACATAATTTGGTCGATGGCACTCGTGAGGCCTTTTAACCTGCTGCAAACGTGTGTTAACACTGGACTTTATTTTGAACAGGAAATTATTGCATCACTTCCGAGGAGTTTGAAAGTTGTGGATCTTTCCGCGGTAAGTATTTTCCAGTTGCGTATGATGTTCTTTCAGATACTAACAACAAATTCCACAGATCATCACAAATGGGATAACTGCTTGCACAAATTTCGTGATTGCAGGACTTCCGGTTGAAAGACATTGCACAATATGAGAAATGGTACAACGGAGCCCATCGTGCTCCTGAATTGCAGGCAATTGGCCCTTTTCTCATTCCCTGTCTTTAGCTTATACCGCTAAGTTCATTTCGCAGATTCCTATGTAATGATAAACCCCGTAAGAAGGTTTGCTCTATTTTTTGGCAGGAGGAAGCAGTTTATGGGTTGACAGAACTCCACAGGGACGAGGTGCGAAGTGCGCGGCTTGTAGCAAACCCAGGATGCTACCCAACAACAATTCAGCTTCCCCTCGTACCGTTGCTTCAGGTTTGTTGCTCTGTTTTCATAATTTGCAAGTCTGTCTTAGCAGTAAGCAAGGGGTGCGGTTGTTGAGCCAGTTTTTGGGTTTTTATGTGATGCTTGTTGATTGTCCTTCATGAACTCCTTGCCTTTGCTGACTTATGTGGAGTACATGACGTTTTTACAGGCTGGTTTGATCTCGAAAGATGGTATCATCATAGATGCGAAATCAGGAGTAAGTGGTGCAGGTACGAGTTTATTACTAGTTGAAGCTGGGCACTTAATCTTAGTCTTACATGTATCTTTGTGTTTACCCTGCCAAGAGCTTGCAGGTCAGCAACCTTGGGGCACCTCTTCTGACTTTTAGCGCTCAACGTCTTCGAGTTATCTTTCTAATTTAATAAGCTGAAATTGCATGTTCTTAGGACGGTCGGCCAAGGAGGCCAATCTTTACACGGAAATTGCGGAAGGCATGAAATCGTACGGAATCACAAATCACCGTCATGGTAAGTCCCTGCCACTGGTTCCTCTGATCCTGTGTTGTTTTCCCAACCATGAATGAAACCAATGATTTCGTAAGTTGCATTTGACAACTAATGCTTATATCAAATTGGCAGTCGCATCTTTTACAAGTTTTCCTTTGTTGATATTAGCTCCTCACTGTGCAGTTCCAGAGATCGAACAAGGTCTGACGCAAGCCGTTGGCTCGCAAGTTACCATCAGCTTTACACCCCATCTAATCCCTATGGTATGTAGAAGATTCTACTCCACTGACAAGGCCGTACGAGAAGTCTTCCAGTTCTAGCGAGAAATCAGCAGTGTAGTTTAAATGTGGGGGCCAGTAATTGTTGAGAAGAACATGTCTATTCTTTCTACTAACATCTTGCTCTCATCAGAGTCGAGGTATGCAGTCAACTATTTACATGCAGATGGTGAATGGTGTTACTGTTGATGATCTCCGTGCCCACTTGAAGAGTAAATTCGAAGTAAGCACCGTCTTGAATAAGCATTCTTTCTCAATTGATGTATTCTAGAAAGCTTTGTTGTTCTTCTAATTTCTTAGGACGATCCAAAGTTCCGGGCTTCTAAACCGACTGATAGATTTTTATTCAAGCAGGGGGCTTTGAGTAGGTAGACTGCTAGAAAGCAGCTTCATTTCTGGAGGGGTCTGCTCCACATTTCTTGTATAAGTCGTGTGTCAACGCGTATTGTTCGTGTTCTGTAGATAATGTGCAAACTTTTATGTTGTGGGATCAAGTAGTATGGGTGTGGATAGAAGAAGACACAATCAGAAGATAGAGAGGTGCTCTTTAAGGGAACGACATCTACTACGACCATCTACTGAACAGACAGCTCGTTCAACTCAATATTGCTCATCTTACATCCAATATGTTCTAGCTTACCAATTCGAGTTCTAGGTAACACCTGCCAGGAGGTATTGATGGCCTAGTTTGCTTCTCCAGGACGAGGAGTTCGTTGTCGTGTTACCCAAGGGGGTCGTTCCGTGCACGGCCCACGTTCGAGGCTCCAACTATTGTCTTCTAAATGTCTTCGAAGACAGAATCCCTGGAAGAGCAATCGTTGTTTCTGTCGTGAGTTTTTCCTCTTTTTCCTAACTTCTTGTGTCTGAGGATCGAAAGCTTTTATGATCTTAATTGGGGAAGCTCTGCTTGGTTCGTTTTGAAAATATGGAAATATGGACTCTTAGTCAGCAGCATCGCTCTTTTGGCGTCTTAGGAAGAGAGCACCTGGTAGTGTATGGCTCGTCCTTTTTAAAGCTATGGTTTGAGATGTTCACTTGTAGAGACTGCCGTAAGTGTCCTAGACTACTCAATTTTACTAAAATGTTTTTATTACTCTAGTTAATCTGGGCGTAATATCTGCAGATTGACAATCTGGTGAAGGGCGCATCAGGTCAAGCGTTGCAAAACATGAATCTGATGATGGGCTGGCCTGAGACCAGCGGTCTTCTTCAGCAACCCATGTTCCCCTAATTAGTGCTTCAAACATCGAGCCTTTTGTTTGTACAGGAGAGCAGCAATTATACTGTTCTCTGCATTATTTAAACCTGCGGTGGTGTTATGTTCCCTCGGAGGGAGATGTCTTGGATCAGCTTTGAGCAGTCGAGTGTAGCCAGTTTAGTTTCGGATTATCAATGAAGAGACGGAGATTCTGTTGATTCTCTCTAGTTCTATGTATTTTGTCATGAGATTAAAGCGCGGTAAAATTTTGTGTCCATCTAGAATATAAGATGGAAAGCCGTTAACGCATCAGATGCGTCCCCTTCTTCTTGAAGCACATGGTTCAGATGTCGGATCCTATGCTCTTCCATCAAGGTTCAGAAACGAACAGATTACCAGTCGCCTTTGAAAGGGTGTGATATTATTGAGGTTTCCCTGATTGTTGAACACATCAGAACGTACTACAGTAGTGTTAATTATACCCGTCAGCATCTGAATCAGGTAATTTGGAGAACTTTAACCTCGGAGACTACGAGAGGAGACTCGTTGGTATCTGAGTTGTCATGACACATGACCCGAGCAGACTGAACGGAGCTCGTACCTCTCTGTTCGTTTGTCTTTCTGGTGAGACCAATGGTGGTCCTGAAATGTCGAACCGACTAATGTGCAGTGTATGTAGAAAAGTACAGTACTGTAATTCACGCAAGGATACATCTTCGTACATTGAGATCAAGGAATGTGAGAATGAGTGGACAAAGAAAACCTCCATTGTTGGACAGAACCTCACGTTGATATAGAACGAAAGTCTACGGAATCGAGCGCGAATCTATGTGAAGGCAATAAGTGACAACTCACTAAGTTTAACCGGTGGAATTGTGTGAACTCCTCCGAGTCTCAGAAGAGGGAAAAGTAGAGATCAATGGAAGACGTCTCAAGGGACGAAGATGACTTGGCATGAGAATTGAGGTGGACATGAGCAGGACAGGTGAGGAGAATGTGCGAAATCCGTGAGCCTGGAAGAAATGTTTTAACGTGCGGCACCTTCTTAGGAGACTGGAAGGTTAGTGGGTCCCATGGGACCCACTTCTCCCACTTCTCCCCCGAACTCACCCCATCCCACCAGCACACGAAGGAGTTGCAGTTGCCTCGCATTCCTCTCGTGGATCTCAGACCTTTTCGGAGCCTTCGGGAATTTCTGCTGGTGGAAGCCGCTTCATGCTTTGAAGACCTGAGCGAACAAAGCTTCAATTCTGGTAAGTGCAGTTAGTGCAGTCCGGGCGTGACTCTGAACCCTGTCTCTTTCCCTTTCTCGTGTACGTCGTTTCCTTTTTCCAGTTACGTGTAGCAGCTGCTCCTTCATTTCGATCTGTGTAGTTAGTTTTACAATGTCCTTCAGCAACGAAGGACGAATTTCAATTGTGCCCGATTCCGCTCTGACGTCCCTGCCACCCTGACCCTAGAAACTGTCCTGCGTCCTTGCAGCATTCGGATTCCGAAAGTCCAGATTGGCCTGCACGAGGTAATATGCCAGTTTTGTCATTGCGCAGTCTTTTGCCTCCGTTCAAGGGCATGGTTTCTTTCGTCTGGGTATGGTTTGAGGTTCTCGGTGTGCACACTGTCAGGAAACAAAATCCCGATTCGTCCTGAACTGTCCGACCCCAGAAGCAGCCACAGCAGAAGCGTAGCCGCCACCGTCGGGTCGAGCCAGGTTCCAGTGGTGATACGCTGGTGCTGGGACTGGAACTGGGGCCTGAAGAATTGGGAGAATTCCTCGAGGTATAGGTCCAAAAGCTGCGCAGGGAAGTGACTAAAATTCCGTAGAGCGGATCGGTCGGGCACGAGCACAAGGGCAATTCTGAGCCCGAAGGCGGCCGTGGCTGGTGGTTGCAGGAAGCAGGAGACATGGCGTCCGGAGCAGCTGAAGCTGCAGCTGCAGCGAAGCCCATCGAGACTTCATCATCGGGATCGGTGTTCCAGCCGCAGAAGCCCAAGGCATGATCCATCTCGTTGCCGGCTCGTAGCAATTCTGCATTCGTCATGTCATTCTTTGCCTTTTTGAAATTTGTCAAATGTTGGAAATTTTCGGGCAATTTTCGGGCCGAACTGAGGTCCGTGGTCTGGGCCACGCAGGAGCATTCGTCGGAGCTGACGCTGGCGGCACCACGTGCGGGCAAGGCGAACCACCACCACGGGCACTCGAACCACGTAGAAATCGACGCCGACACGCCCGTGGATGCGGTGCGAGCCCCGGGCTGCTTCAACCGCGTCAAAGAGGAGATCGAAGCCATCGTGGAGGACATCGCCGAGAAGCTGCACCTGAAGAAACCTCCATCTTGAGGCGCCACCTGCTGCCGCCGGTTCCTGTGCCGGTGCTGGTTCTTGTATATTCCGAAGCAACGAACGCCCGTTCTGCTCGCACATACGTTCCTCCTCGACCACCGACTGACGTGTACATTACGACTTGTGTGCAAACGGCAATTTGGCGAGCAAGTTGTTGATATTTTTCTGATACCACTCGAGCTGAGGCGAAGCTGGAGAACGCAAACTTGAGTTGTACGAGACATTGCTCAGTGTCGAGTAGACGTGGGACTGCAACTGTTGTTACAACAGTGCAGAGTATTCGAGTCTGTGGTTGTCAAGTCGTAGGCGTGTAAGTGTTATTAGCTTACCGACTTGTGTTTCTCTCCCGACAGGCAAATGGTGTAATTTATTTTTTCCTTCATAAGGATGATGAATTGTTCGTTTTGATTGTCCGGTGTAAGTTAGCTGCTTGTCACAATTTTGTATTTTAGAGTGTATGGACAGATTTGGAATTCTAAATTTTCTGATGTACACGAAATTGTGGTTTGCGTTTTGGACAGTACACCCAATTGTAATCATAATCATGTTTCACTCCTGGAGACGTCCTCTCTTATTTTCTCTACTGAGACGAACGACTTTCAAGGTTGAAGGTGTGTGAAAGTTAGTACAGCTTCAGCTCAGCAGATCTTTTATGAAGACAACCGGTACCGTTGGGGAATCTCCCATGATGGTGCTTCACTCTCTTAGATCGCCATTTCATCAATTCGTATACGATGCAGAATGTATTCGACTCGTCCTCTACTTCAGTTCATCAATTTTCATGTTGATAAACCTCACAAGACGTTCTTCAAAACTGTCACCCTTCCTTACGTTCCAGTCCCGTTTCGCTAGATCTTGTCCCTAAGCTATAATTTTTACACCTGTGTTACAGCCGAACAGAAACGCCATTCCGTGGAAGCACATCCCCGACAAAACATATAACTACTATCAGGAAAGCCGGCCTTGCAGCAAATTACTTATTCCTCGAAAAAGGGGAACGAAAGGCATGACAGATTGCACCAAAAATGTGGTGAATACTTCCACACGCAGAGCAGGCAGATCAACCATACACTGCAGATTCTAAGAGCCGGCATTCACAATTCCACAAGCACATCTGAGACAGAAAAAACACGAGTGGCGGATTCTTGGCATAGACACATGAACTCCGATCCAGTTTGATGCCTTGCGGACGTTCCCACCGGATCGTATATGGTATATAGATAAGTCACGCTTTAGACAGGTTTGATGAAAGACAGATATCTTTCATGGTGAGGTCGACCTCACCACGCATTTGTATTTCAAATTGACCTGTCGATCACATACTCCAACTCCAATTCTACATTACGCATGAGCGTTGACTATCCTGTCAAAATTGCGCCTCAATGATGATACGGCAGGCTCAACGCCGCAAACCTGGATGGATCATCTTGAGCTCCTTCGTAAACCCATCTGAAGGTCTAGTAGAGCACTGAAACCTTTCATATGATGGAATGAATTAGTTGAGGCAGGCTATCAACAGCCGCATTAAGAATGTATTGCACTGTAAAGGCAGAGGCTCGTCTAGTCGAAGAGGCCGAATCCCATATCCTGCAAACACGAGCACAGAGTGATCAATAAAATAATCACGGAGGTAAAATGCGTGTTCCCTTGAAGCATTCCAGGTTACCGATTGTGAATCTTGACAGGTGCTTAGGGCCGGCCGACTAGCGCAAGGACTGACGCGTTGAACAAACAATCACACCCGCAGAAAAGCCGAGGAAGAATGTAAGGTTCAAATCACTTTCATTGAGATTGCAACATGGGAGAGCAGTTGAGGAGACAGAATCGATTAGGAAAGCCAATCGGGCAGGTGAGAAGTTGTTCTATGTGAGAATTCGTGGCCAACAATCTACTGATTTTCGAAGACCAGATACCAGATTCTACTAGATTCTACCAGATTCATATGGTACAGGAAAATTACTACGACGATGGGCAACAAGTGAATCAGATACTTACGTCATCCGACTCTTCCTTGGCCTCCTCCTTCTCTTCTACTTTGGCCTCTTCGACCTTGGCAGCAGCAGCTCCACCACCACCGCCAGAAGAGACGACGACGCCGCCACCACCTCCTGATGGGACTGACGCGAATTTCTCCCTACCGGAGGCAATAACCTCGAGAATATCCTTGTTCTCTAGCTCCTTGAGTAGAAACGCAATTTTATCCTTATCGGCCTCAGCTCCGACTGCTCAGCGAAAAATGCGTACATAAATGAGAGGATATGCATGGGACGTTGTTTATCCAGAAATTATGATACGCGTGATCCAAAATTGGCCCGGAACGACAAGTGGCAAAGAACATAGAACGTATAAAATGCTGTAAAGCCCATTCCATCCACAATTCTAACATCTCTTCCCAAAAGTATCGAAAGAGTATCGAAAGATAGCAGACAGAAGAAACGAGGAATCGCGACACAAAAAACCAAACCCTAAATCTCTGCAGAAATGAGGGTACCTGAGCTCAAAATGGCCGTCACATCCTTAGAAGAAGGGCTGGCGTTGCCACCCAGCAGAGCTAGAAGGTAAGCTGCGACCACCTTCATTTTGCCGACAGACAAGAGACGAGAACTCGGGGATGGCAAATCGGGAGCTGCAACAGGAGCTCAGAATGCGAAAGAGGTGCAGAGTGTGCATCATCCGATCTAAAGCATTGCTCGCACAATTTGCCATCGAGAGCGGAACCCTAACCCGCCTGACGGAAAGGCTCACTTTCTGTTAAGTTACACTTTGCCGTTCGGTTCGGAGTCCTGACTCACGTCCTACTATTCCACGCTTTGTGATTTCCGTAGGTTAGTGCATCCACGCGTTCCGCTAACTTGGCTGGCTACCACCTTGTCGTTTTATGTCGGTGACGTGTAGTTCGACCTACAAAGTAATGGATTCCAACGTAACTGCATAGCACTAAAACTCACGTAAAAAATCTATACTGACATATTATTTCATTATATCATATAAATTAATTTATATGGTGTAGAATATTTAACATTATCTTAATTTCATTTTTAGTTTTATTTATAATTTAATCGACCAACCTGAAGTTAATACTTTGAATCTATATATAACGATAAGAAAAACTATGTAATATAGTATAATATCTTATTAAAAAATATTTACCTGATAGATTTTAAATACCAGAAATGATTCATTAAAAAATGAAATTTAATAAATTCTTTATAAAGTTTAAAAAAGAAATTCTTATTTTGTTAAAACGATCTACTTAAAAAACCGATCCAAATTTTTTAATCCACAATATTTATTTGATTCTTTTAAGATATTAAACTACAATAATCTACACATGTGTTATATATTTTTCATTCTATACTGTTCATCAAGATTATTAATCTTTACATATAATTACAACCATCGAATATTTATTCAAAAAAAAATGAATATATCAATATCAGTTTAATGAGATTTCTATCCCTGATTCATTCATTAGAAAATTTCAGATAAAATAAAATGGATGAATATGTCTCAATAAATTTATGGGTAAGATCATTATTATGTCTCAATATTCAATATGACATATATTTCATGGTCTTATATAACTGGTTGTATGTATAACATCAAATTATGGATCTTATTACATAAGTATATTTTTTTATGATTTTTATTTAAGATATCGAAAAAATTTACATAATAAATCTTGATTATTGATTCATGTTGAAATTTGTTTTCATGTGGATATCGTACATAAATATAGTATTAAATATCAACCTAACTAATATTCATAATTTGTGTTACTAGAATAAAATATATTGATTTTGATTGAGTAATACAAAATTTCATACGAGGAGATATATTAGTAGTACTTGTATTTTGCATTGACATATATTTTTTTTATACTTTGTGTTTTTTTAGTCTTTCGACTTTTTGGTTATCACGGGCTTCATCCATTTACCATTTATTAAAAAAATCATATTCAATTTTACAATCAGTATTAATTTATTTAATAATGGATAAAAAATAAATTAAAATACTCTAAAAATTACACATAATTTATATATTAAATATATTAAAAATATGTCTTTTCTAAGAATTATATATTTTAAATGTCTATTAACAGTATCTTAATTTATTAAAATTTCTATGTGAATTATAGATAGTTTAATACTAGTACATTACATTTGAATAAATTCAAACATAATAATTTATAATTTACACTAATCTTTGAATTTTAAACATTTAATAAGTTAACTTCATACATCTCAAATTTATCTTTAATTATACATATCAATATATTGATATTTATTACGTGTATATATATATATATATCAAACCTTAAAAAAATTCAAATAAAAAATAACCCAAAGCAACATGATGTTTTATACTAAAAAATACTACTTACACTATAAAACATTTGTTTTTCTGAGTAACTTACAAATGGCTGCTCACTAGGTAAATATTTTGATTTTAGACATTTTCTAATATTTTCTTCCTATTATATGATATCTGCTCATTGAAGGGACATTGTTCATAATATTGCACGTTTTGATATCCAGCTAATTATCCTAATGTCAAAGGTATGTATTGATGAACTCATTGGCATTATACTTTATGTCTCCACTACCTTCTTGGATCCAGCATTTTCTTTAATGTTCAACAATTTTTTTGAACAGATATTAATAGCACAAGCTGCGATTAAAATTGAGTTTTTTGTATCATCACTCGTATAAGACACGTATATAGATGTGTTTGCATATCTGTTTTCATCGAATCTGAACTCACAGCCCATGCGAACTAAATACAATCTCAGTTCTAACTGCTAAAACTGTTATATTTCTTCGCAACTACCTCACTAGGGTTGCCCGTACACGAATCTACTTATGTGTAATATGTACATTCTCTTTACCATATCTACACATGGCTCGCAAAATTGCACTCGCTCTAATGTGCAATGTTGTGGCAGTAATGCCGATTGCTTTAAGATCAGCTCAAGTCACTTCACAAGTTATCTATTCTATTCCTGGTTGCATGGGCATGACAATGAAATCATCCATCCACTCCTTGTTCTATTCCATTCCTTGTAGCTACGGCATTACGCAACCAATACTTTTTTGCTGCTTCGGCATGATCACAACACCATCCAACCACAAACCGCTTTTCCAATTACCCCCTCTAGTTTCGACAAGACTGTATTGCAGTTTAACTCGACCAATTCGGGAGTCTTTGTCTCCCTCTTCTACAGAAAAATCTCCAACATAAAAGTTTTTCCAGTCAGTGTCTACTTCTTCTCGGTCTTCGTCATCGGATGAATGCTCACCTTCTGATGAGAATTGGCCATCTCGCAAAAAACTCTCTTTCTGAACAGTTTTATGATCATTGACTGACATCGCAAACTCAATCGGCCAGGTCCCCTCATGTCCGGTAAATCCATACGGGTCATGTCGGGTAAATCCAAACGCATCCTGCTCCAACGCAAACCTCCACGAGAGAGTGTACGTGCCAACTGGTAGGGAACACTCCATGCTCCCCTTAACATCCAACCAGCAGACTGCTTTAAGATACGCCGATTTGTCATATCTGCATTGTAATAGATTTTCATTCAGTCCAACCCTCATCCGCCCAAAAAAGCCTCCCGGTCAAGCCAATCTCAATACTCTAAGTGAGTTCTTAAGAACTTTCTCTATTCGGATATCAGACATCTTGGTTTGAACTGTCGTGATTCATGGTGGTTCAATCTTCGATGGGATTGTCCTATGTCCTATGATTTACGATGTTTGATGCAGAAAGTACGAACGCACTTCAATTTACAATGGTGTGCATTGTTGTTTACTAAAAGCTGAAACTTGGGCAAACAGCCAAGGATCCATTGATTTCAGGTGAGAGACTTTGGGCCCGCAATTGCGGAAACAATTGACAAAGTTCAATCGCAAGTGTACCTGGAACCAGGTTGCTGACGCCAATCCCAATATCGCTCATCAGAACCCCATACGACATCTAGGGCTTCAGCGCCTTGATGAACACAAACTCCTCCAAGCGATCTCGATAGCCAGAACTAAACAAAAATATCAAAATGATATTGTTAGTTCCTTAAGACATGGCAAAATTGCAATAAGAATAAGACGAAAAGCTTATCAGCATCTCCATTCTTCTTCGAGTAAAAGTGCACGAAATATCGAGGAAGAGGAGAGGCCTTACTAAGTCAACAAAGAATCGTGGCAGAGATCAAACAAACACGGAAAAATTACCCGTTTTCACCAACGAGCGGCGAAATTGATAGTTGGTCAGCAGAAACACCAGAAAATTGACAAAACAATTACTCAGGCCATTCACAGAGAAAGTTCGGAACAGAATTTTGATTGTGAGAACGTCGTCATAGTAGTGAGTGATGAATGCACTGAAGCAACAAAAGGTGGGGTGTGATCAATCCTTAGTACAAAATTCCCACATGGTACTTGGTACAAAGTATCCACATCAAAACTCATCTTCATAGATACAGCTATCAGACACCACAAGGGAAAAGTGAAGAGGTTTCTAATAGAGTGAAGTAACTTTAGTAGAGACGTAAAGTAAAGACGACTTTCCAATTATACTTTGGATTGGGAAAGGAAATCAACCTCGTGATTATAAAGAGTGCGCTTGATGCGGAGAAAATCAAAGATTTTCTTCTTAGAATCGAAGTAGCATGCGCCGTCCTTTGCCTTTGCAAGAAATTCTGTATAATCTTTCGGCAACTTGGCATGCCAGACAACATCCGAAAGAGATGCACCTCGGAACGTGCGATTAGTGCAAGCTGATATGGCTATGTCTCTGGGAGAAAGAAAGCAGAGGACAAGTTCTATACAGGACTCGGGCAAATCTTCAAATCCGGTGCCATCCAACTGCAAGTCGCAAGCCGCCTGATCAAACCTTACTTCACTAGGAGCACACGTACCCATCGGCTTCATAACCCCACCCATCAGGCTCCTCCTCGGTGTTCTCCAACAACAATACCACTGAATCTCCAAGTGATGAAGATTGTCTATTTCCGCATGATCAAGTTCGCTAATGGCTCCTTGTACTTGTCAGGTATATTAACTCCTAATATCTGTAAAGAACATCATCAAAATCTTATATTACGTGGGGAGTTTGTTGTGTTGGGAACTCAGATCCGCAACTGTGAGTTCCTGAACTCCATTAAGCAGTGTGAATCTGACCTTGCTACTGGCCCATGACTAGGTCGGAATTAGACGTGCTACGGTACAATTGCAGACATTCAAATGCGCATTCAGAATCCTGAAAGGTGGAGTGTTGTGGAACCGGACATACCAAAAATTCACACGGTTTAATACAATTGCCGATGCTCTGAACACTGATCTCTCTCAGTGAGGACTCCAAGGAAGAACAACATTCAATTCTTCCTCCATTCGCAATCTCAGGCTTCAAATAGTATAAACATAGTTGACGCTGAGCAATTTCTTCGCACCTCTCCCAGGGCCAAAAATGTCAATGTTCGGCTGGGACTCCGTTGACAACCTCGAAGGGACGAGATCTAATGCAAGGAGACGATCTGGTCAAAGCCACATAACCAAAGTGGTGAGCCGCCCGGCCACCTAGACTCCTTCTATTACAGATGTCCAAGAGAATCGTGCCACGCGTAACCTCGGCACGATTTTCGTTACAGTTACTCAAGACAAGATGGTGAATGTTCGCGGATGACACTTCTTGCCAAAGAAGCAATTGAAAGAAACTAAAATAGCTCAATGGAAAGCAAGAAAATGGAAATATCTTGTAAATTGGCACGGGGTAAAAAGCTTGATATAATTTTATATATTTTTTATATAAAGCTTGAGAAATTTATATTGTTTGCTCAATATGTTAGTTGCTCAATGTAACATCAATGATAACTTCATGTAAAATTATTAAAGATTGGTACAAAATATATATTAGAGAAAAGTACATGCACATTGAAAGTATTATAAATGTATGAAATTCATATAATTCTACTAATGTGGAAATAAAGTGGTGCATTCTTTACTTGCCTTTACATTTGAAGCATTGGATTGTTGTAGGTATAACTTTCATTCATAATATCATATAAATGATTTCTCATTTTTTGATATATAGATATATATTTATTTATTTATTTATTTATTCATAGAAAAGTGAATGATCTCTACAAGATATATTCAACGAAAATTTCAATTTAATTGAGAAATTCTAAAATGTGTCATTGAGAATTTTACTAAATAATTGTAAATTATGCCAATTTAGTTAGTTTTTCTAATAATGTCAAAACTAACTTGATTACTGATAAACTTGTAAAATTCTCAATATTTTTGATTTTTGAAATTGTATCGTTGATCCAATCATTGCATACATGCAAGATGAAATATAAACTGTAATCAAGCTTGTCATTTGATCAAATAAATTGTTGATTTCAATAAGCATGTTGTTTATGTCTTTCAAAAAACTAGAGATTTTTACTTATTGAATGTTTATTGCCAAAAATGTGTTTACACATATATGTATTCTCTGGCCTTCAACATGGTCATATTAACCCTTTATAATAAAGACTTGATGGAAATATACAATAAGACACATTCAAGTTTTTTTAGATTTCTTATGCTAAAGAAGATTACATCTCAACAAAATATTTGTCTATTCATTTTTATGCTATAAAAATCAATAAAACTAACAATATGCACATGATTTATTTTCTATTTTTCATGATGTACTGTTCATCATGATTTCTCAGCTATATCAATCTTTGCATCTTAATTTAGACATCAAGCATCAATCTGACAACACAACTCCAAATACATGAATGTTATCTTAAAAAAAATTTCTATCTCTATTTCATTTGAAATATTTTTTAAGAATATGGATAAAGTAACCATTATATCACTTCAATTTTCAATATGATATAAATATTTCAAGGTCTTGGGAGTTGCTCCTGATGTAGGCTTGCCCCGACATGAATATAACTACATGTAATATGTACATACTCTTTACAATATATACACAGGGCTCGCAAAAATGCACTCGCTGTAATGGCAGTAATGCCGATTGCTTTAAGATCAGCTCAAGTCACTTCATAAGTTATCTATTCTATTCCTGGTTGCATGGGCATGACAATGAAATCATCCATCCACTCCTTGTTCTATCCATCCACTATTTGTTCTATTCCATTCTATTCCATTCCTTGTAGCTACGGCATTGTGCTGCTTCGGCATGATCACAACACCATCCAACCACAAACCGCTTTTCCATCTACCTCCTCCAAGTTCGGCAAGACTGTATTGCAGTTTAACTCGACCAATTCGAGAGTCTTTTTCTCCCTCTTCTACAGAAATATCTCCAACATAAACATTTTTCCAGTCAGTGTCTACTTCTTCTCGATCTTCGTCATCGGATGAATGCTCACCTTCTGATGAGGATTGGACATCTCGCAAAAAACTCAATTTCTGAACAGTTTCATGATCATTGACTGACATCTCAAACTCAATCGGCCAGGTCTCTCTGGTAATATCTCGGGTAAACCCATATGCCCTCTGCTCCAACGCAAACCTCCACGAGAGAGTGTACGTGCCGACTGGTAGGGAACACTCCATGCTCCCCTTAACATGCAACATGACGACTTGTTTGAGAAACGCCGATTTGTCATATCTGCATTGTAATAAAATTTCACTCAGTCCAAACCTCATCCGCCCAAAAAAGCCTCCCGGTCAAGCCAATCTCAATACTCTGAGTGAGTTCTTATGAACTTCCTCTGTGTATTAGACATCTTGGTTTTAACTGTCGTGATTCATGATGGTTCAATCTTGGATGGGATTGTCCCATGTCCTCTGATTTACAATGTTTGATGCAAAACGTGCGAACACACTTCAATTTACAATGGTGTGCATTGTTCTTTACTAAAAGCTGAAACTTGGGCAAACAGCCAAGGATCCATTGATTTCAAGTGAGAGACTTTGGGCTCGCAATTGCGGAAACAATTGACAAAGTTCAGTCGCAAGTGCACCTGGAACCAGGTCGCTGAAGCCAATCAAGGCGCTGAAGCCTGTCATGTGGCTTATAAGGACCCGGAACAAAATCTAGGGCTTCAGCGCCTTGACGAACACAAACTCCTCCAAGCGACCTCGATAGCCAGTAGAACTGAACAAAAATATCAAAAAGATATTGTTAGTTCCTTAAGACATGGCAAAATTGCAGTAAGAATAAGGCGAAAAGCTTATCAGCATCTCCATTCGACTTCGAGTAAAAGTGCACGAGATATCAAGAAAGAGGTGAGGCCTTGCTAAGTCAACAAAGAATTGTGTGCAGAGATCAAACAAACAGTGAAAATTTAATCGTTTGAACCAACGAGCGGCGAAATTGATGGTTTGTCAGCAGAAACACCAGAAATTGACAAAACAATAACTCAGGCCATTCACAGAGAAAGTTCCGAACAGAATTTTGATTGTGAGGACGTCGTCATATTAGTGAATGATGAGTGCACTGAAGCAACAAAAGGTGGGGTGTGATCAATCCTTAGTACAAAATTCCCACATGGTACTTGGTACAAAGTATCCACATCAAAATTCATCTTCGTAGAAACAGCTATCACACACCATAAGGGAAAAGTGAAGAGGTTTCTACTATAGTGAAGTAACTTTAGTAGAGACGTAAAGTAAAGACGACTTTCCAATTATACTTTGGATTGGGAAAGGAAATCAACCTCGTGATTATGAAGAGTGACCTTGCTGCGGAGAAAATCAAAGATTTTCTTCTTAGAATCGAAGTAGCATGCGCCGTCCTTTGCCTTTGCAAGAAATTCAGTATAATCTTTCGGCAACTTGGCATGCCAGACAACATCCGAAAGAGATGCACCTCGGAACGTGCGATTAGTGCAAGCTGATATGGCTATGTCTCTGGGAGAAAGGAAGCAGAGGACAAGTTCTATACAGGACTCGGGCAAATCTTCAAATCCGGTGCCATCCAACTGCAAGTCGCAAGCCGCCTGATCAAACCTTAGTTTACTAGGAGCACACGTACCCATCGGCTTCATGCTATCCAACTGCAAGTCGCAAGCCGCTTGATCAAACCTTAGTTCACTAGGAGCACACGTACCCATCGGCTTCATAACCCCGCCCATCGGTCTCCTCCTCGGTGTTCTCCAACAACAATACCACGGCATCTTCTGGTCACAAGTGATGAAGATTGTCTATATCCGCACGATCAAGTTCGCTAATGGCTCCTTGTACTTGTCAAGTATATTACCTCTTAATATCTGTAAGAAACATCATCAAAATCTTAAATTACGTGGGGAGTTTGTAGTGTTGGGAGCTCAGATCCGCAACTGTAAATTCCTGCACTCCATGAAGCAGTGTGAATCTGACCTTGCTACTGGCCCATGACTAGGTCGGAATTAGACGTGCTACAGTACAATTACAGACAGTCAAAATGCGCATTCAGAATCCTGAGATGTGGAGTGTTGTGGAACCGGACATACCAAAAATTCACAAGGTTTGGTACAATTGCCGATGCTCTGAACACTGATCTCTCAGTGAGGACTCCAAGGAAGAACAACATTCAATTCTTCCTCCATTCGCAATCTCAGGCTTCAAATAGTATAAACATAGTTGATGCTGAGCAAGCAAATCTTCTCGAGTAATTTCTTCGCACCTCTGCCACAGTCTCTCCCAGGGCCAAAAATGTCAATGTTTGACTGGGACTCCATTGACAACCTCGAAGGGACGAGATCTAATGCATAGAGACGATCTGGTCAAAGCCACATAACCAAAGTGCAGAGCCGCCCGCCCACGTAGACTCCTTCCATTACAGAAGTCAAAGAAAACCGCGCAGCTTGGCTGTTCGTTACAGTTACTCAAGTCACGATGATGACTATTCGCGGATGACATTTTTTTGCCAGTTTTCTTCCACCTCCTTTAGTGATATTAGATATCAGACTGAGTGGACTCTGCTCTCGATTTCTCCTATAAAAAAAAAAAATCTCTCTCGACGTTTCTGGATCCTCAGTTTTACGATGGGTTTCGGCTTGAGGCCACGCATTCTGATTCATATTCTTGTCATCTCTCTGACAGCGTCAAGCATCGTCAATGTCGCCCAGAGTCAATCTACAGCAGCAAGTACAGCAGACGAGTACCTCACTCCGCACAATGATGCCCGAGCTGGGCTGAATCAAGGCATTCCGAGCCTGACCTGGGACACGACGCTGGAATCGTATGCTACTGACTGGGCCGCCACCAGAGCATCTGCGCTCTCATACACTCTGGAGGACCTTACGGGGAGAACATCTACTAGTCCAGTGGACCGAGCACCCCAGCGGATGCAGTGCAGGCCTGGGTAAGCGAGGAAGCATACTAGGACTACGCAACAAATTCGTGCTCGGCCCCAGAGGGCGAGTCATGCGGTCATTACACGCAGGTCCCATGCAAATTCCTCACGTGCTTTTCTTGCCTGGTGTGCGCGAAGTTGTGTTTCCATTGCGTTCTGCCGTAGTTTGATTTTCAGAGATTTCTAGATCTTGTGAACTAACCACGAGCCCAGGACCTGTATCAGCATAAAGCTGTTCCCACATATGTAAAAAAGATGATGGGCTTCATGCATTATCTGGAAACTCATGAATGGGACGAGAAACTGGAAGTCAATTTTTGTGTCGCTGTTTTTTCCACAATCGGGCATGCAATAGATGTGATGAGCCTCGCGGGTTTTGACACGGGTCGCACTCTTTGCAACAGGTCGTGTGGAGGGACACAGCGGCGCTGGCATGGGGGTCGGCCACTTGTCCCTCTGGTCCCTTGTTCGTCGTTTGCAGCTACGACCCCCCGGGAAACTTTGTCGGTCAGCTTCCTCACTAGACTTCCTCTACGAATAGCTGCGGCCGTCGAGCGACTCCGAGTTTCATCTTTGCTGAAGTGGTGGACATATAGTACTGTAATCTCAGTACATTCAGCACATGCACATCAGTGGGCAGAGATGAAAATTTCATAGGAGGGCACTCCACTGCTCGCCGTGAGGATGTAGTGAGGTGCATTTCGCAACGCGCGATTAGTGCAAGCCGATATGGCTATGTCTCTGGGAGAAAGGAAGCTCAGGACAAGTGCTATACAGGACTCCGGCAAATCTTCAAGTCCAATGCCACCCAACTGCAAGTCGCAAGCCGCAAGATCAAACTTGAGTTCATTTTGAGCACAGCTACCCATGGGCTTCATGACCCCGCCCATCAGGCTCCTCCTCGGTGTTCTTCAACGACAAAACCACGGAATCTCCTGGTCACAAGTGATGAAGATTGTCTATTTCCTCACGATCAAGTTCGCGAATGGCTCCTTGTATTCGTCAAGTATATTACCTCATAATATCTGTCAGGAACATCATCAAAATCTAATATTACGTGGGGAGTTTGTTGTGTTGGGAACTCAGATCCGCAACTATAAATTCCTGCACTCCATTAAGCAGTGTGAATCTACCCTTGCTAATGGCCCATGACTAGGTCGGAATAAGAAGTGCTCCGGTACAATTGTAGACATTCAGAATGCGCATTCAGAATCTTGAAAGGTGGAATGTTGTGGAACCAGACATACCAAAAATTCACAAGGTTTGGTACGGTTGCCGATGCTCTGAACACCCATGTCTCTCACTGCGGACTCCAAAGAAGAGCAACATTCGAATCTTCCTCCATTCGCAATCTTAGTCTTCAAATAGGACCAATACATTCGATGCTGAGCAGGCAAGTCTTCGAGAGGATTCCTCGCCTTTCTGGCACAAATGTCTCCCAGGACCAAGGTTCTGAGCGGAAGTTCAAGTATTCGCCTGAAACTCCGCTGAGAATTTCGAGTACGAGATCTCATGCATAAGAAGATTTGCGAATCCTACGTAACCAACGTGGCTGGCGACTGCCAAATCTTCCATTACAGATGTCAAAGGAATCATACCGTCGTAACGCGCGGGTTGGCTATTCGTTACAGTTAATCAAGACAAGACGGGTAATATTCGCGGAAGGCATTTTTTCCCATTTTCTTCCACTTCCTTTCAAAGAAGGGGATAGTAGAAACTAAAATGGCTCAATTTAAAGAAAATAATGAAAATATATTGGTCAATAGGCACAAGTAACATATTTAGAAAGTATGGATATTCTTATATATGATATTTAAATAATATTAATAGATAATAATTATTTATATTTTTCATGCTATATTATTAATCTTTATATCTTATTACAGACATCAACCATTTAAAAAGACAGATTTTTCAACAGAAATATAAATATATCAATGTCAGTTTAATTTATTCTTCTATCTCTGATTCATTCATTAGAAAAATTGAAATAAAAGAAATATTATGTCTGAATAAATGTATTGATAGAGTAAGTATTATGTCTCAAAACTCAATATGAAATATATATTTCAAGGTCTTATATACCTGGTTGTATGTATAACATCAAATCATGGATCTTATTACATCAGTATAAATTTTTATCTAAGATAACTTAAAAAGTTACATAATAAATCATGATTAATGATTCTTGCTGAAATTTATTTTCATATGGATATTGTACATAAATATGATATCAAAATATAAACCTAACTAATATTCATAATTTTTGAAACTAAAATAAAATAGATTGTATTGATTGAGTGAAGCAAAATTTCAAACCATGAGATATATTAGGAGGACTTGTATTTTGCATTAGTATTTATTCAAAAAATTCATATTTAATTTCACAGTTAGTATTCATATATTTATTATGAATAAAAGATAATTTTTTTTGAAACACTTTATTAGAAATTTTATGTGTTAAAGTGAATTATAAACAATTGAATACTAATAAATGATATTTGAATAAACTCAAAAATATAAATTATAATTTACACTAGATTTTATGTAGTGAAAATACATATCATCATACAACTTACATCGATAACATACCAAACATATGTACACACAAATCATAGACGAGAGTATACACAAATACAAGTGTATCACAACTTGACATAATGTCATAGAAGACGAAATGGAAAATCACGCATAGTCGAGCCAAGTCCACTCCATTCCATTACTAGAAAGATGCAGACCGATGCTAATGGGAATCTCAATATGCGGGTGCCTCCTCTCTATTGGTTTTCTAAGCCATTCCAGTCGTGCTACTCACGAACAGACTATCTTCCAACGCTGAAGTCTCAACTCGAAGAACTAACCGGTCTTTGAGCCAAATAAGATTATATACCCTTTACATATATAGGGATATATACTACCACAAATCTTCATCACTAGATCACACTCAAACCCTAATATGAATGAAACCACATACAACTAGTTAAGTAGTCCCATTCCACACTAAATACCTTGGCAAAGCAACGTATGGTCTTGACATCTTTAAATTTTAAGCAATTAATAACTTAACTTCATATTCAAAAATACTACCTACACTAGACAACACTTGTTATTCTAAGTAACTAACAAATGGCTTCTCACAAGGTAGATATTTTGATTTTAGACATTTTCTAATAATTTCTCACTAGTATATGATATCTGCTCATTGAACGGACATTGTTCATAACGTTGCACGTTTTGATATCCAGCTAATTATCCTAATGTTAAAAGTATGTATTAATGAACTCATTGGCATTATGCTTCATGTCTCCATTACCTTCTTTGATCCAACATTTTTCTTTACATTCAACAAATTTTTTTAACAGATATTAACAATACAAGCTGTGATTAAAATTAAGTTTTTTGTATCATCACTCGCATAAGACACTTATATAGATGTGTTTGCATATCTGAAAATAATTTAGGTTCATCGAACCTAAACTCACAGCCCATGCAAACTTAATACAATCTCAGTTCTAATTGCTAAAACTGTTATACTTTTTCGCAACTACCTCACTAGAGTTGCCCGTACATGAATCTACTTATGTGTAATATGTACATTCTCTTTACAATATATACATATGCCTCGCAAAAATGCACTCGCTTTAATGTGCAATGTTGTGGCAGTAATGCCGATTGCTTTAAGATCGGCTCAAGTCACTTCATAAGTTATCTATTCTATTCCTGGTTGCACGGGCATGACAATGAAATCATCCATCCACTACTATTCCATTCCTTGTAGCTACCACAGAAAGGTAGAAAGACTTCTTTTCTGCTTCGGCATGATCACAACACCATCCAACCACAAACCGCTTTTATAAATACCTCCTCTAGTTTCGACAAGACTGTATTGCAGTTTAACTCGACCAATTCGGGAGTCTTTTTCTCCCTCTTCTACAGAAAAATCTCCAACATGAAATTCTTTCCAGTCAGTGTCTACTTCGTCTCGATCTTCGTCATCGGATGAATGCTCACCTTCGTATGAGGATTGGCCATCTCTCAAATAAGTCTGAAAACTCTTAACAGTTTCATGATCATTGACTGACATCGAAAACTCAAGCGGCCAAATCCCCCCGCGTCGGGTAAACCCATACTCATTCTGTTCCAACGCAAACCTCCACGAGAGAGTGTACTTGCCGACTGGTAGGGAACACTCCATGCTCCCCTTAACATGCAACCAGCAGACTGCTTTGAGATACGCCGATTTGTCATAACTGCATTGTAATAAAATTTCACTCAGTCCAAACCTCATCCGCCCAAATAAGCCTCCCGTTCATGCCAATCTCACTAAACGGACTTCCTCTGTTCGGATATAAGACATCTTGGCTTGAACTGTCATGATTCATGGTGGTTCAATATTGGATAGGATTGTTCCATGTCCTATGATTTACGATGTTTGATGCAGAACGTACGAACACACTTCAATTTACAATGGTGTGCATTGTTCATTACTGAAAGCTGAACTTGGGCAAATAGCCAAGGATCCATTGATTTCAGGCGAGAGACTTTGGGCCCGCAGTTGCGGAAACAATTGATAAAGTTCAATCGCAAGTGTACCTGGAACCACTCCGCTGAAGCCAATCCCAGTATCGATCATCAGAACCCCATACAACATCTAGGGCTTCAGCGCCTTGACTTCGACAAACTCCTCCAAGCGACCTCGATAGCCAATAGAACTGAACAAAAATATCAAAATGATACTGTTAGTCCCTCAATACATGGCAAAATTGCAGTAAGAATAAGACAAAAAGCTTATCAGCATCTCCATTCGACTCCAAGTAGAAATGCGCGAGATATCGAGAAAGGGGGAAGGCCTTGCTAAGTCAACAAAGAATCCTGGGCAGAGATCAAACAAACACTGAAAAATTAACAGTTTTTACCAACGAGCCGCTATATTGATGGTTTGTCGGCAGAGACACCAGAAAACTGACATAACAATAACTCAGGCCATTCACAGAGAAAGTTCGGAACAGAATTTTGATTGTGAGTGCGTCATCATAGTAGTGAGTGATGAGTGCACTGAAGCAACAAAAGGGGGTGTGATCAATCCTTAGTACAAAATTCCCATTCGTACAAGATGACCTTGGTACAAGTATCCACATCAAAATCATCTTCATAGATACAGCTTTCAGAGACCATAAAGAAAAATAGATAAGGTTTCTAATATAGTGAAGTAACTTTACTATACTTTACTAAAGTTATTTACTTGAAGCCAACACTTATGCCCACAACAATTAGCAATATAAAGTAATAATGTTATAATAAAAGTAAGAACGACTTTCCAATTATACGTTGGATTGGGAAAGGAAATCAACCTCATGATTTTGAAGAAGGACCTTGCTGCAGAGATAATCGAAGATTTGTTTCTTAGAATCGAAGGCGCGTGCGCCGTCCTTTGCCTTTGCAAGAACTTCATTATAATCTTTTGGCAACATGGCTTGCCAGACAACATCCGAAAGAGATACACCTCGGAACGCGCGATTAGCGCAAGCTGATATGGCTATGTCTCTAGGAGAAAGAAAGCAGAGAACAAGTGCTATACATGACCTGGGCAAATCTTCAAATCCGGTGGGATCCAACTGCAAGTCGCCAACCATCGGATCAAACCTTAATTCACTAGGAGCACAGGATCTCATCTGCAAGTGGCAAACCATCGGATCCAACCTTAGTTCACTAGGAGCACAGGTTGTCATCTGCAAGTCGCCAACCATCGGATCAAACCTTAGTTCACTAGGAGCACAGGATCTCATCTGCAAGTGGCAAACCATCGGATCAAACCTTAGTTCACTAGGAGCACAGGTTCTCATCTGCAAGTCGCAAACCATCGGATCAAACCTTGGCTCACTAGTAGCACAGGTTCTCATCTGTAAGTCGTAAACCATCGGATCAAACCTTAGTTCACAAGGAGCACAGGTACTCATCGGTTCCATGATCCCGCTCATCAGTCTCCTCCTCGGTGTTCTCCAACAACAATACCACTGAATCTCCTGGTTACACGTGGTGAAAATTGTCATGATCCCGTCCATTAGTCTCCTCCTCGGTGTTCTCCAAGAACAATACGACTGAATCTCCTGGTCACAAGTGATGAAGATTGTCTATTTCCGCAATTTCAAGTGGGCCAATGGCTCCTTGTACTCGTCAAGTATATAACCTCATAATATCTGTAATGAACATCATCAAAATCTGATATAACGTGGGGAGTTTGTTGTGTTGGAAAATCAGATCCGCAGCTTTAAATTCCTGCATTCCATTAAGCAGTGTGAATCTGACCTTGCTACTGGCCCATGACTAGGCCAGAATTAGACGTGCTGCAGTACGTGCAATTGTACCGTACAATTGCAGACATTCAGAATGCGCATTCAGAATCCCGAAAGATGGACTGTTGTGGAATCGGACATACCGAAAATTCACAAGGTTTGGTACAGTTGCCGATGCTCTGAACACCGATCTCTCTTAGTAAGGACTCCAAGGAAGGAAAACATCTGATTCTTCCTCCATTCGCAATCTCAGGCTTTAAATAGGACGAACACAGTTGATGCTGAGCAAGCAAGTCTTCGAAAGTAATTTCCTCCCACCTCTGCCAATAATGTCTCTCAGGTCCAAGAATGTCAAAGTTCGCCTAGTCCTCCGCCGAGAACCTAGAGTAGACGAGATCTAATGAATAGAGACTATATGCTCAAAGACACCTAACCAAAGTGCAGAGCCGCCCGCCCACGTAGACTCCTTCCATTACAGATGTCAAAGAAAACCGCGCGGCTTGGCTGTTGGTTACAGTTACTCAAGACACGATGATGAATATTCGCGGATGACATGTTTTTGCCAGTTTTCTTCCACCTCCTTTAGTGATATTAGATATCAGACTGAGTGGACTCTACTCTCGATTCCCCCTATAAAAAAAAATATCTCTCTCGACGTTTCTGGATCCTCAGTTTTACGATGGGTTTCGGCTTGAGGCCACGCATTCTGATTCATATTCTTGTCATCTCTCTGACAGCGTCAAGCATCGTCAATGTCGCCCAGAGTCAATCTACAGCAGCAAGTACAGCAGACGAGTACCTCACTCCGCACAATGATGCCCGAGCTGGGCTGAATCAAGGCATTCCGAGCCTGACCTGGGACACGACGCTGGAATCGTATGCTACTGACTGGGCCGCCACCAGAGCATCTGCTAGTGACGACTGCGCTCTCATACACTCTGGAGGACCTTACGGGGAGAACATCTACTAGTCCAGTGGACCGAGCACCCCAGCGGATGCAGTGCAGGCCTGGGTCAGCGAGGAGGCATACTAGGACTACGCAACAAATTCGTTCTCGGCCCCAGAGGGCGAGTCATGCAAATTCTTCACATGCTTTTCTTGCCTGGTGTGCGCGAAGTTGTGTTTCCATTGCGTTCTGCCGTAGTTTGATTTTCAGAGATTTCTAGATCTTGTGAACTAACCACGAGCCCAGGACCTGGACCAGCATTAAGCTGTTCCCTCATACGTAAAAAAGATGATGGGCTTCATGCATTATCTGGAAACTCATGAATGGGACGAGAAACTGGACGTCAATTCTTGCTGTTTTTCCCACAGTCGGGCATGCAATAGATGTGATGAGCCTCGCGGGTTTTGACACGGGTCGCACTCTTTGCAACAGGTCGTGTGGAGGGACACAGCGGCTCTGGCATGCGGATCGGCCACTTGTCCCTCTGGTCCCTTGTTCGTCGTTTGCAGCTACGACCCCCCGGGAAACTTTGTCGGTCAGCTTCCTTACTAGACTTCCTCTACGAATAGCTGCGGCCGTCGAGCGACTCCGAGTTTCATCTTTGCTGAAGTGGTGGACATATAGTACTGTAATCTCAGTACATTCAGCACATGCACATCAGTGGGCAGGGATGAGAATTTCATAGTGGGGCACTCCACCTCTCGCCGTGAGGATGACAGAGAGTGTAGTGAGGATCGAGTTTCTGAATACAGCGCGTTGTAATTGCTTCTACGCTGGCATAATACTCACTGATACTCTGTACATGAGATTTTAAGTTGTGATAAATTAGTACAAACACTTTTAAGCATAACTCGAAACCCTGGTAGGGCATTGTGGTTGTATCTTGTTATCAGTCGTTGCGAGTAGCTTGAGGCTGGGAGAGAGCAAACGTAGTCTCCATTGATAGCTGAGTGGATTTCAGAAAGCTCAATCATAATACACATATTGTAGAAGGAGTTGCGATATATGTGGATCTTTTGTTTGGAAACCTGTATTGTTCTTAATTATAGAAGAAGTGCATGGCGACCTTAAAATCTCTGGCAGGAAACTATCGACTGTCATAAACTGGATGTTGATGTTTTCGACACGTACCTGATTTACAGATTGGCGACAAAATTGGCTTGTTGATCAAGTGAGCTTTATACAACGATCAACAGCTCGCGTCCTTATAGATGTCACACGAGGCTTCAGACTGAAGTCCTTCCATATCTCAGCTCCGGCGAAGAATAATTATTTACATTCGAAATTCTTCCTTAGTAGAAATTGTAACATCTCATCGCAGCACCTCGTCTCAGAACCGCTTTTATGGTCGAGTCCATCGGCTTAGACGTTTGGACTCCAGATCTCGCCCATGAAAGACACGTTGAGGCTAGTAGCTGGGAAACAGATGCAAACGCATGTCTGATTATCTTCGATGGCTGTTTTCTACTAATGTTGAAATTAAGAGATGCTTTCTTTACTTGCTTTTATAGTTGAAGAATTGGATTGTTGTAGGTGTGAATTTCGTTTATAATATCCCATAAATGATTTCTGATTCTTTATATATATAGATGTATATTTTTTTTCGTACAAAAGTGACTGATCTCTACAGATTATATTCAATGCACATTTCAATTTGATTGAGAAATTCTAAACAGTGTCACTGAGAATTTTAGCAAACAATCTTATATTGTGACAATTTAATTAGTTGTACTCATTAGTGTGAAAGCTAACTTGAGTTATTAAAAAAACCTGTTAAACTTCTCAATATTTTAGATTTTTTAAAATTTATTGTTGATCCAATCATGGTAGACCTACAAGATGAAATATAAACCCTAATCAAACTTGTCATTTACTATAATAAATTAATTTTTTCAATACTCATATTGTTTGTGTTTTTCAAAAATTAAAAAAAATAGAGATTTTTTCTTATTGAATGTTTAGTGCCGAAAACTTGTTTACACATGGAATAATATGTGTAAACAATTCATGGTCATATTGATCCTTTACGATAAAGACTTTATGGAGATACAATAAGACAACCACAAGTTTTTAAGATTTCTTATGCTGGAGAAAATTACATCTTAAAAAATGAAATTCTATTCATTTTAATGATTTAAACGTCTATGATATTAACGATCTACACATAATTTTTTATTTTTATTTCTTATGATGTCCTCTTCTTCAAGATTTTTCTTCTATATCAATCTGTAAATCTTAGTTTAGACATCAAGCATTTATCTGTTACACAACTGCAACACAATTCGAAATACATGAATGTTAGCTTAGCTACTTTTCTATCTCTATTTCATTAGAAATATTTTTTGAGAATATGGTTAAAAGAACCATTATATCTCAATTTTCAATATGATATAAACATTTCAAGGTCTTCCCGACATGAATCTACCTACATGTAATATGTACATTCTGTTTACAATATATACACATGGCTCGCAAAAATGCACTCGCTTTAATGTGCAATGTTGTGGAAGTAATGCCGGTTGCTTTAAGATCAACTCAAGGAACTTCATGAGTTATCTATTCTATTCCTGGTTGCTTGAGCGTGACGACTACAAAATTATTCATCCATCCATTGTCCTATTTCATATTACTCTGCTTCGATATAATCACGACGCCATCCATCCATTCCTTGCTCAATTCCGTTGCCCGTAGCTATGGCATGACGCAACCAATCCATTCCTTGCTGCTTTGGCATGATCACAACACCATCTAACCACAAACCGCTTTTCCAATGACCGCCTTTAATCTCGACAAGACTGTATTGCAGTTTAACTCGCCCGATTCCGGAGTCCTTTTCTCCCTCATCTACGGTAAAATCTCCAACATAAAGCTCATTCCAGTCAGTGTGATCTTCGTCATCGGATGAATGCTCACCTTCGGATGAGGATTGGCCATCTCGCAAAAAAATCTTTCTCTGCACAGTTTCATGATCATTGACTGACATCGTAAACTCAATCGGCCAGTCCCCCCCGCGTCGTGTAAATCCATAATCATCTTGAAAAGCAAGCCTCCACGAGAAAGTGTACGTGCCGACTGGTAGGAAACACTCCATGCTACCCTTAACACTCAACCAGCAGACTTGTTGGAGATACGCCGATTTATCGTAACTGCATTGTAATAAATTTTCAGTCAGTCCAAACCTCATTCGCCCGAAAAAGCCTCCCGGTCAAGCCAATCTCACTACTCTGAGTGAGTTCTTACGAACTTCCTCTGTTCGGATATAAGATATCTTGGCTTGAACTGTCGTGATTCATGGTGGTCAATCTTGAATGGCATGTCCCATGTCTTGAATAGTTTACGATGTTTGATGCAGAACATACAAACACAGTTCAATTTACGATGGTGTCCAGTGTTCTTTACTATGTGGGAAAGCTGAAACTTAGGAAAATATCCAAGGATCCATTCATTTCAAGTGGGAGACTTTGGGCCCACAGTTGCGGAAGTTTACCTGGAACCACGTCGCTTACGCCAATGCCAGTATCGCTTATCAGAACCCCATACGACATCTAGGGCTTCAGCGCCTTGACTTCGACAAACTCCTGCAAGCGACCTCGATAGCCAATAGAACTGAACAAAAATATCAAATGATATAGTCAGTTCCTTGAAACATGGCCAAATTGCTCACAGTCAGAATAAGACGAACATCTTATCAGCATCTCCATTCGACTCCAAGTAGAAATACACGAGATATCGAGAAAGAGGGAGGCCTTGCTAAATCAACAAAGAATCGTGGGCAGAGTTCAAACAAACAGTAAAAATTTAGCAGTTTTAAGCAACGAGTGGCGATATTGATGGTTAGTCGGCAGAGACACAAGTAAACTGACAAAACTATAACTGTAGGGATTCACAACGAAAGTTTGAAACAGAATTTTGATTGTGAGGACGTCGTCATATTAGTGACTGATGAGTGCTGCACTGAAGTAACAACAGGCGGCGTCCTGAAACCCTAGTACAAAATTCCCACAAGTATAAGATGACCTTGGTACAAACTATCAACTATCATAAGGGAAAAGTGAAGTGGTTTCTAATGTAGTATAAGTTAATTACTTGAAGCCAACACTTATGCCCACGACAATTAGCAATATCAAACAATATTATAACAAAAAGAAAGAAAAAAAGATTTTGCATTTATATGTTGGACTGGGTAAGGAACTCAACCTCGTGACCGTGAAGCGGGACCTTGCTGCAGAGATAATCGAAGATTTGTTTCTTAGAATCGAAGGCGCGTGCGCCGTCCTTTGCCTTTGCAAGAACTTCAGTATAACCTTTCGGCAACTTGGGTTGCCAGACAAAATCTGAAAGAGATGCATCTCGCAACGCACGATTAGTGCAAGCCGACATGGCTATGTCTTTGGGAGAAAGGAAGCTGAGGACAAGTGCTATACAGGACTCGGGCAAATCTTCAAATCCGGTGCCATCCAACTGCAAGTCGCAAGCCGCCGGATCAAACTTGAGTTCACTAGAAGCACTGGTACACATCGGCTTCAGAACCCCGCCCATCAGTCTCCTCCTCGGTGGTTCTCCAACAACAATACCACTGAATCTCCTGGTCACAAGTGATGAAGATTGTCTCTTTCCGCAAGATCAAGTTCGCAAAAATGGCTCCTTGTACTCGTCAAATATATGACAAACATATAGGTGGACACATTACCTCATAATATCTGTAAGGAACATCATCAATATCCAATATTACGTGGCGAGTTTGTAGAGTTGGGAAATCAGATCCGCAACTGTAAATTCCTGTACTCCATTAAGCAGTGTGAATCTGTCCTTGCTATTGGCCCATGACTAGGTAGGAATTAGACGTGCTCCGGTACAATGGTAGACATTCAGAAAGCACATTCAGAATCCTGACAGGTGGAGTGTTGTGGAACCAGACATACCGAAAATTCACAAGGTTTGGTAAGATTTCCGATGCTCTGGACACCGATGTCTCTCACTGCGTACTCAAAGAAGAACAACATTCGAATGTTCCTTCAAATAGGACCAACACAGTCGATGCTGAGCAAGCAGGTCTTCGACAGTGATTTCCTCGCATTTCTGCCACAAATGTCTCCCAGGGCAAACAATGTCGACGTTCGCCTCAGACTCCGCTGAGAACCTCGAGGTGCGAGATCTCATGCATAGAGAAGATCCTACGTAAGCAACGTGGCCAGGCGCGCACGGGCGCCCGCCACGTAGACTCCTTCCATGACAGATGTCAAATAAAATCTTATCGAGTTTAAGCGGGGTTTGTCTGTTATTTATAGTTTCTCTAGAGGGGAACATTCGCTGATGGTAATTTTTTATCCAATTTTTTTTCAATTCTTTGAAATCAAATGAAAGAAGTATTAAAAGAAACGAAAATGTATTAATTGAAAAAAAAATAAAATATTATCACTTGACATAAATAAAGTATTTAGAATATATGGATATTTTTATATAATATATAGAAAATAAATATTAATAGATGTACTGTATCATAATGAACACCATAAGATTATATATACTCTGTCCATAAGATTGTTGTACTTTTTATGACATTGATTATTATTTTCTGAGCAATGAGAATATTATATGTAAAAGAATTATATATATTATAGTATACAATAATTCAAAAGAATTTACATTGTTCCCGCAATATGACAGCTCAATGGGGTTAGGCCTGCACTGTGACGAAATTGGGGAGAAACGCCCTCTTACATAGAAAGTGCAACATTTGCACGTACCTTCAAATCCTGATACTGCGCAGTCACAAATTGGCATCGAAATTTGAAGTTTGCTTTCGTGTTCTCTTTCCGCTTGCTGTATCTGGGACTAAGCTTTCCTCCACAGCGTGAATGTCCACATTTGTTGTAATGTAAGGTCTTTTTGGGCTGTTCTTGTCCCTTTTACTGGGAGGAGGCATGAGAGCTTTCGTTTTCATGGGTGCAAGACTTTTACTTGGGCTCTTTATAGGCTCCTTAAAAGCAGCGGGGCAAAGCTGGTTGATGAGACAGTCCGTACAGTGAGGTCTTAGAGGGGTACATACAGTTTGACCAAAACCCACCTGCATTTGCGGAAAAAATGAGCTGTTAAAGATAGTTCGTCGGATAAAACATATCTGGAGATTTAAAAAATATAAAAATCTGAACATCCCTTCTTTCCATTGAGATCAAGAGTGAGATTTGTGTCTCAAAAGACAGGACACGAATTAGAGGCCAAACCAGTAGAGGATTGATCGAGTTCCATTCATCTTTGGGAAGCCACTATTTTGATGAGGCTCTGGTTTCTTCAGGAGTATTTGTTTTCTGCCAAGAATAAATGCAGAGCATCAGGATCAGCAGACGAAGACAGGCTTAAAAGATATCAAACTACTTCACGGTGCGTGCTGAAGACACTGCATAAGTTCAAATATATTGCACGTCATGCGAAACCTTCCGAAACGCAATGAGGTGGCTCAATTTAAGCTGCAAGTTCATCATTCTAATTGGTACTTCGAACAACGCATACCAGTCGATGGCTTGCTTGGCGTGCTTAACCCACTCCAGTCGGTTGCATATGCGATGAATATGAGTGTCAACACAGATACCTTGAACATCCGCCCAACCTACATTCATAATCTGGAGAGAAAAGGCCACTAAAGAGGTAAGTGACGAAAAGTACGAAGTTTTGATGTTTCGTTTATTGATACGTAGCAAAACCGGTGACAGAGACCAGTTCATTTAGCGCTATCGAAAATGAGGTCTACATAAACAAATCAGTTCTTTACACATTACATAAGTAATCAACAGTTTACTACAACAAACAGTTAGAAGCCAACACCATGCATCACCTCATACCAGATGGGCCATTTTGGGACCAATCCCAGGCAATGCGAGTAGTTCTTTTGAAGTACTTGGAATGTCTCCATCACACTGCTTATTGCAGATCGAAGCTACCTTTTTCAAGTACCCAGCCTTTCTGGTGTAAATTCCAACCTACAAATGAAGTTGAAGGTCAATTGATTTCTCCATGAAGTGAAAGAACTGGACATGTGCCTGAGTCATGCGAGAACATGAGTTACTGACATACCATATATATCTTATTACTTGCAATTACATGTAATTACATGTAATTCCTGTAATACTTTTTTACTCACTGATAATGAACATAAACGGACACAGTATTCACATGATTCAGGTATAAGAGTTCTGCTAGTATTTCTGATCAGGGAAAAGCTAAAATGGACGCTCAATACAACAACTAATTACTATGTGTCTGTCAAAGCCTGAAGACCATATACCCCGCGCCTTGGCTGTGAGGTGATGGAAGGAACGGAATAGAAAAGAGGGGTACTAATAAGGAGCACGAGAGTGGACAAATTGAAAGTGAAGAATGTGTCTCTTGTCGTGAGATTTTCCACGATAAAAGCGATTTTGGTTAAACAAGAAAACTTTCAATGTGTCATTCACCTGAAAGTTACAAGAGCCCACTTGCTAGGACTGACGAAAGTGTTATATTAAAATACTTCTGTTATAGGAGCCAAATCTAGTACCGGATAGATTGCCTCGCTTATAGTCGCCTCCTCGGCTTCTTACAACCCTTTGATCGATAATAAACCTCTTTCCTGCATCCGTCCTGCTGCAGCTGCACAGCATACCACCATCCAGTTTCGCTAAGTGAAGAGCGACACCCAGCGATGTACATACTTACAAGTCCACTTCCGTATATTGAAAAAGAGCTCTAACGGACGATTCAAATTGTGATGGCGTGAGGATCCAATAATAAACTAGAGAAAGTAATTTCCATCTACACTGAGTCTTGCTTGTTAAAACAGTTCACAGTAGAAATCAGAAACGATGGACCAGGAAGCAATGAATCTGTGTACGCAGGCACTACAGTCAAGTAAAGGAAAAACGTAAATAGAGACTTTTGATGCTTACAAATAAATTCCTCATAGGTTCAAACCAGTAGCATCCCTAGTCGATAGAAGTGCTTTGACCAAAACAGCAAATCCCATCTCCTGTGGAAAGGAAATAAGAAAAAATTCAGGCCATTTAAATTCATGCTTGCTAGCTAGAACTCAAGATATACTACACATCTACAAAAGGCACCGTCAGGAGAATCTTCACCGTTATGTCTTTACATTTCCTGTGACTTTTTCTCATCCCATAGTGTCCACCGGACCATCTCGGCCAGCTCTCATGATCTCTTATGCCATCTTGAATTTCTTCCCATCGAGCTGGTCTTGCTGAAAGACATGTGACGTTACCACTTAATACAAAACAAAATTCTGGTTCTGTGCTACCAATGTCAAAGTCATTATTCCACTTCACAACACAATACACAACGTAAACTTACATACACACACAAAAGGTTCTCCGTACTGAACCAGTTCCTAGAACAAGGAAAAACGGTTGACAAGCCACAGCGGTGAAAAAGAGAAGCCGCAGACGGTAAATGGTGTGGAAATTGCAAAAGAACTTCATTACAGGGATCAAAGTTGACAAGAGACACGTGTAAGAGAATGATTTACTTCTATAATCGTCCAGTTCGCTACCTCTTGCTTGACAGTTTGATGGTCCTCGTTCTGTTGGACGATGTCTTTGTCATCATAGGCGACAACTATAGATGTTTTTGTTCGTCTTCGTTGAAATGTCTTAACTACTGATCAGCGACAAGTACCAAAACGAGATCTCATCGAGTTCAAGAGTTGAAAATCGACCAACACCATCACTGCCCTACACAGATGTGCCGGGAAAAGGAAAAGCTTAACGATTCATTGAAATATTGAATACGCCTGCCGAAACAATAACATGTGACGAAAACGGTGCGAACAAGTCAAAACATGAAGTTGCAATTATACAACTATTTCACAACTTGTAAAATACAACTCTGTGTGTGCAAAATGGCCAGCAGTATTAAAAGCCTACGGTCAGAAGCCATATCTGTTTGCCATTGTAAAGGACAGCTATTTCGGTTTTAATTCAGAGTATAGATGTCCCCAAACACAGAGTCTAATTCTCGTTTTGTCTAAAATGATTTCACGACAGATATGATCCACACTCCACAAAAGCTTCCGATCAGTGCTATTAAAAATAAAAATATCACTGAGTAACTGCGAGCTTCATCGTACTAGCCAGATTGGATGAAAGGAACACATTGAACTTAAGATAAATCCCCTACTGCACCTCCTTAAACCATTAAATTAATGAATAGTCATGGAATATTTCCATGATAGCAGTTTGCATTTCACATTAAATATAATAAGACATTCAGATTTCTTTGAGACCACACACCAAGAAAAATTCACACATCTATATTGATAAGAATCCACTTCTTTCCAATTTGCACAGTAATGACAAGCAACTGCACACGATTATAATCTCATGAATGAAATTTGAATCTACATTCCTCTAAACGCACCACAACTGCTACAAAACTAAGTTCAGAGAACATTTACCAGCACTGCTGAAGGTGCTAGAAGTAGGAGTAGTTATCCGGAGAAACGATCGAGAAAGCATGAAATGGCAATGAGTCGAAGATGACCCTCGTCACACTTCTGCAGTTGGTATATTCAACCCCAAATCCTGAACAGACGGCAGTAACTTAGGTGAAGAAATACGCAGCTATCCCCTCGGGCGATTGAAAGTGCATCAGCTCAGCGTCAGAATGTGACGAAGCTCTTAAGAATCACCATAGTGAAAATCCCCTTGCCGTGACTACGCAACGTAACTCAAGTGAGGACATCGCAAACGGGGGAGGAAAATTCAAGGCAGAAGCTCGCGATCAATTTTGTGACTCTCCTAGCCAGCAGGATCTTGAGGCCCGTGTGGAAATATTGCGTTAGGGAACTTCCTCCGGTTCGAAAACCAGGAACCCAGTAAGAGTGATATAATTATCAGTAGAGAATCTATCAATGAATTAATACAAATTACACTCCAAGAAATTCAAAGGCGCACACTATGACGCATTTGCACTTCACCACGTGGAACAAGAATAGCGAGCGTGAGGCGCAGAATTGTTGAGAGGCCAATAGATGCTGTCCTATCACTGCGAATTAGTTCTTCTTCGGATCGCAAAATTGACGCCAGTCGAGGTCAATTCTCAGAGTATCAGGAGTAGCGGAATAGAAAAAGCACGAAATCATCCAATTGTTGATCTACAGCAAATGCTGTTACAGAATTCAGGTAATTGCCACCTCATACTCAAGCCTCACTTCTCAAAAGTACTATCTCTCATCGTAGAGTTCAGACGTCTCGATTTCGAACTCATCCAAGTTGTCCAGCTGCAATGCAGCCAGAGGGACATGCGACTCGAGGAACAGAGAACTCTCTCTCTGTGCAATTCAAACACGTCCACATCGGCGTTGACACACTGACAGAAGAATGAGACAGACCACCAATTTTGCACTGAGCTCGGAAAGCGCATTTGGCGTGCGCAAGCAAGCAAGCAAGCATCCATCATCGAACTGCGGCCCGCCCTCGCGGACAAGCAACTGGCCAAACACGAGGTCACATCCCGATTCCACAGACAGCTTTGTCTGGAGCAACTGGCGCCAAATATCCGCATCCGCCTCGCCCCGAGAGTTCTCAGCGCCTCCCGACAAACTGTAGCGAGTGCGCACGAAGACTGGGATGACCGGCAGCGGCAGTGAATCCTCGATTTTCATTGGCAGGCCAGCTCCCCCTTTACCTAGGGATGGGCACGGCTCGGCTAACAGCTAGCCGGCTAATATTTTTTGTTAGCCGGCTAGCCGATAAATATTGTCACCTCTATCCGACGTCGAAAAAGAACCGTAAACTAGGACCGAATTTACGCTTTTGGCCGATTATTTCCTCAGCTTCGACCGAAATTATCCAACAAACATTTATTTCGGACGAATATTTCGGTTGATTGTATTTTCTGGCGAGAGCCGATTAGCCGACGGCTAGCCGGGTAAATTTGAGGCCAACCCGGCTAGCTGAAAGTTAGCCGGTTACGTGCCCATCCTTACCTTTACCACACGGGAGAGAGCGACAATTTAACATGTCCCGGGTGTCAAAGAAATCGACTGTTCCGAATTACCAGACACTTTGGTTTTGGAAATCCGGTAAATCGTGTAAAATATATAGAACCCGATTTGTCCGGAATATATAGACTCCACGTGTATTTTCGCGACTTCTTGGGTTACTCTTCGAGACGAAGTCGACGACAGAGCTAGGCAGAAGGTATTCCTATCAAGCGGTAGCGACAACGTTCGCCACGACAAGGCTACACCGCCGCCCGCATATTCCGAAAGTGTACAGTACTAGCATTTCCTCCAAACTGTTTGGTGAGTTTTTCCATATATGCACGCATGCTTATATTAGTCATTTGCCTAATTTAACTTAATTTAGTGTCATTGTCCAATTTGATTTAGGATGCTATTAGTTTCTCACCAAGAAACTCTTCCAAATGTATACGGGTGGAGACCTATACTGTATAAGAGTCCAAACATAATTTTATCGTTTGTTGTACAAACTTAATTTCTTCGTAGTGAAAAAAATTGCATCTATATTCACAAACAATCTGATAAATTGCATTCAGCACTACACTGAGTAGAGTTACCGTCAAAGTTAGAAGTGCGACTAGTATCTCTCATAAAAGTGATGGTATAGTAATAGTAGCAACGGTAAGTTCCATGGGTTATTACCTCACAGAGAGATGATAATATTTTTTTTGCAATTATGTTTTTTAATATTTTTTTGCAATTTATATATTTTTTTAAAATCATTTTTTTGCAATTTTTTGAACTTTTATAAATAAGTAATTTGCATTGTTTTATAAATTTCAATGCAATCCACATATTTTTTGGAAAATCTGATTAGATTCTTTAATAGTATAATTTTACAATCTACTTGAGATAGGTTTAATTTTATGTTTTTTTATAGTCTTGTAAAAGATTAAAGCTGCTTTACTTCTTTATAATTATAAGTTTATGATTCATGTATAAGTGCATGTAGTCATATACTTGTCAAAATAGCATAGTCATATATATTCACACACATATAAATACAATAATAATTTTTTTTAAGATCATATTTCAAAAATAAAATGCATAATTAAAAAAATTCAATAGCTATAAATATATAGCATGATCCAAAAATATTCAAATAAAACTGAATCAAATTTTGAAAATCTACACAAACTCATATATATATATATATATATATATATATATATACCTAAAAGAAAGTGTAATTCTTCTATCTTGCAAGACAAAATTTAATTTTTTATCATATTATTATTGCAAATGAGCAAATCAATGTTTTTGTTAAATTTCAAAGTGAATTTCTTTTCTTACTGAGTTTTAACCAATCATACATGAGATCAAAAATTATAATATGTTTGAAATAGAATATTTGATAATCAAGATGAATGTTAATCAACACATAAGTATATACAATTATGCATGATGTTTGGTAATATCTCCTTATGATTGAAAAATCACAATTTATAGTATATAAATAAATTTCAAATGAAGACAATGTCTCACATAATACAAACTAAACTAGTCAAATCAATATGTACATTCTCTTTGTACAATATGTACATGTATAGTAACACTATTATGCAAGTTTCTACTAAAACTTTTCAAACCAACAACTTTGATCAACTGGATTTAACTTAAAGTCAATTCTTTTTATCAAAACTTACAAATCTAATAAAGTGAAATCTGATGTCTATTTCAAAATTTATTCATGTTTAGGCGTTAAGCATTAATGAAATTAACAATCTGCAAATAATATGTTTCTATTTTTCATGATTATTATTCATCTATGTCAATCTTTACATCAAAAGAAAGACAAACTTGTGAACAAAAATAAAAATAAATTTTCGGTTTAACTAATTTTGTATCACTATTTCATTTATTAGAAATATTTTTAAGAATATGATTAAAATAATCACTATAACTAAATTTTCAATATGATATACATATTCCAAGTTCTTTTACGAAACATGACTGATTGTATGTATAACATCTAATTATACATTTTATCACATAAGGATAATTTGTAGTATGTTATGTTAATTTTTTATCCAAGATAATTGAGTTAGATAATCAATCATGATTGAGTATTCATGCTGAGTTTTATCTTCATATGAATTTTGTGAATCAATTTGTGCATGTATCTTGTTGATAAAATGATTCTTTTTCTGTTTAACTGCTTATCACCTAAATTTTTTTCATAGTTTGTATTATAAAAATGAAATAGACTGTACTGATTAGGTAATAGAAAAATTAAAATTATGGGATATCTTAGAATTAATTTTATTATTCAATGACATTTAAAAAAAATCATTATGAACTTCACTATCAGTATTCACATATATATTGATAAAAAATAATTTAAAATAAAATAAAAATAAAATATAGTTTATCATTTATACACCAAATACATATAAATTGATTCTGTCTTTTATATTATTCAAAATAATATCAAAATTATTTTACTCTATTAGCACTTCTTTATGTCTTAGTGTGACTTACTAAAACTTTAATACGAGTACATAATATTTGAATAAATCCAAAGAAATAATTCATTATTTGCACTATATTCTTAATCTCAAAGAATTAATATTTCCCTTTCATTAATGAATTGTCATGTCAAATTCATTTTGAATCTTTATATATCAATAAATCGAGATTTATATAAGTAATATATATACCGTAAAAATAAGTCAAAGAAAAATTCAATTCCATCATTACTACTTTCCCAACTCAATATGATGTTTCGTATTCAATCAAATTACTTACCTTAGTAGTCACTTGTTTTTCTAAGTTGCTCACTAGGTAGATCTTTAGATTTTAGATAGTTTCTAAGAATTTCTTCATATTATGTGAAATCTGCTTTTCGAATGGACATTGCTTAAAGTGGTGCACATTTTGATTTGGATCAAATTTTCCTAATGATAAAAGTAGGTTTTTAGGACCTCATTGGCTTTATACTTCACGTCTCCAATACCTTTTATGATCCAAATTTATCTTGTCATTTAACAAATTTTTAAAACAGACATCAATTGCACGAACTGTTCATTCATTTCGGTCCATTGAACCGAAGCTAACAGCCCATGCAAATTAGGTACAATCTCAGTTTTAAGTGCTAAAACTGTTCTAACTCTTCGCAACTACCTCTCTAGGGTTGCCCCTATATGGATCTACTTACATGTAATATGTACATTCTCTTTACCCAAATCTACACATGACTCGCTTTAATGTGCACGGTTCTCTCAGTAGTGCTAATTGCTTGAAGATAAAGCTCAAGGCACTTGATGAGTCATCTATTCTATTCCTGGTTGCTTGGGCATGATGACAAGCAGCCCATCCATCTATCACATGTTCTATTCCATTCCCTACTGCTTCGGCAGAATCATGACACCATCCATCGATTCCTTGTTCTACAGTATTTCATTACCGTTGCGGCATAACGCACCCCATCATAGCGCAACCAATTCTTCGGCATGATCACAACACCATCCAACCACAAACCGCGTTTCCAATAACGGCTTTTAGTATGGACAAGACTGTAATCCAATTTAACTCGACCCATTCCGGAGTCTTCTTCTCCCTCTTCTACAGTAAAATCTCCAACATAATACTCGTTCCAGTCAGTGTCTGCTTCTTCTTGATCTTCGTCATCGGATGAATGCTTAGCTTCTGATGAAGATTGGCAATCTGGAAAAAAACCGTATGTCTCAACAGTTACATGATCATTGACTGACATCGCAAACTCAATTGGCAGTTTACCCCAGCCTCGTGTAAACCCACTCGACGTCTTATCCAAAGCAAACCTCCACGAGAGAGTGTACGTGCCGACTGGTAGGGAACACTCCATGCTCCCCTTAACACTCAAAAAGCAGACAGCGTTGAGATACGCCGATTTGTCGTAACTGCATTGTAATAAAATTTCAGTCAGTCCGAACCTCATTCGCCCAAAAAAGCCTCCCGTTCAGGCCAATCTCATCAAACTGGATGGGTGCTTACAAACTTCCTCTGCTCGGATCACACATCTTGGCTTGAACTATCGTGATGCATGGTGGTTCAATCTTGAATAGGATTGTACCATGTCCTATGATTTACGATGTTTGATGCAGAACGTACGACCACAGTTCAATTTAAAATGGTGTGCAGTGTTCTTTACTATGTGGGAAAACTGAAACTTGGACAAATATTCAAGGATCCATTGATTTCAAGTGGGAGACTTTGGGCCCACAAACACTTGAACTTTGTTCAATCAAAGTTCAATCGCAAGTTTACCTGGAACCACCTCGCTGAAGCCAATGCCATTCTCTATCAGAACCCCCCAGAATGTCCAGGGCTTCAGCGCCTTGACCTCGACAAACTCCTGCAGGCGACCTCAATAGCCAATAGAACTGAAAAAAAATATCAGAATGATATTGTTAGTTCCTTGAGACATGGCAAAATTGCACACAGTAAGAATAAGACGACAAGCTTATCAGCATCTCCATTCGACTCCAAGTAGAAATGCACGAGATATCGAGAAAGATGAGATGCCTTGCTAAGTCAAACAAAGAATTGGGGCAGAGATCAAACAAACACTAAAATATTAACAGTTTTGAACAATGAGCGGCAATATTGATGGTTTGTCAACAAAGACAAATCAATAACTCTCGGCATTCACAAAGAAAGTTCAGAACAGAATTTTAATTGTGAGGATGTAGTCATATTAGTGAGTGATGAGTGCTGCACTGAAGCAACATCAGGCGGTGTGATGAATCCCTACTACAAAATTCGCAATAGTACAAGATGACCTTGGTACAAATTATCTACATAAAAAATTACCTTCACAGATACAGCTATCAGAGACCATAAGGGTAAAGTGAAGAGGCTTTTAATGTAGTAAAGTTAATCACTTGTGTTAATTAACACTTATGCTCACCACAATCAGCAATATCAAATAATATTGAAACAAAAGTAAAGACGATTTTCCAATTATACGTTGGACTGGGAAAGGAATTCAACCTCGTGACCATGAAGAGGGATCTTGCTGCAGAGATAATCGAAGATTTTTTTTTTGGAATCAAAGGCGCGTGCACCGTCCTTTGCCTTTGCAAGAACTTCAGTATAATCTTTCGGCAACTTGGCTTGCCAGACAACATCCGAAAGAGATGCACCTCGCAACACGCGATTAGTGCAAGCCAACATGGCTATGTCTCTGGGAGAAAGGAAGCAGAGGACATGTGCTATACAGGACTCGGGCAAATCTTCAAATCCAGTGTCACCCAATTGCAAGTCGCAAGCTCCCGGATCAAACTTGACTTCACTTGGAGCACAGGTGCTCATAGGCTTCATGACCCCGTCCATCAGTCTCCTCGGCGGTGTTCTCCAACAACAATCGCACAGAATCTCTTGGTCAAAAGTGATGAAGATTGTCTATTTCCACACGATGAAGTTCGCGAATGGCTCCTTCTACTCGTCAAGTACATTACCTCCTAATATCTATAAGGAAAATCATCAAAATCTAACATTACTTGGGAGGTTTGCAGTGTTGGGAACTCAGATCCGCAACTGTAAATTTCTGCACTCCATTAAGCAGTGTGAATCTGTCCTTGCTATTGACCCATGACTAGGTCGGAATGAGACGTTAAACAGCAAATCCTACCTCCTGTAGAAAGGAAACAAGAAAAAGTTCAGCCCATTGGAATTCATGCTTCCTAGCTAGAACTCAAGATATACTACACATCTGCAAAAGGCACCGTCAGGGGAATCTTCCGCGTTAGGTCTTTACTTTACCTGTGACTTTTTCTCATCTTTGTCATCATAGGCGACAACTATAGATGTTGTTATTCGTCTTCGTTGAAATGTCTTAACTACTGATCAGCAACAAGTACCAAAACGAGATCTCGTCGAGTTCAAGAGTTGAAAATCGACCAACACCATCACTGCCCTACGGAGATGAACCGGGGAAAGGAAAAGCTTAACGATGCATTGAAATATTAAATACGCCTGCCGAAACAATAACATGTGACGAAAAACGGTGCGAACAAGTCAAAACATGAAATTGCAATTACACAACTATTTCACAACTTGTAAAATACAACTCTGTGAGTGCAAAATGGCCAGCAGTATTAAAAGCCTACGGTCAGAAGCCATATCTGTTTGTCATTGTAAAGGACAGCTATTTCGGTTGTAATTCAGAGTATAGATGTCCCAAAACACAGTGTCTAATTCTAGTTTTGTCTATAATGTATTCACGACAGATATGATCCACACTCCACATAAGCTTTCGATCAGTGCTATTATAGATTCAGTAATCATAATAATATACTGAGTAACTGCGAGCTTCATCGTGCTAGCTAGATTGGATGAAATGAACACATTGAACTCAAGATAAATCCGCTACCACCTCCTTAAAGCATTAAATTAATGAATAGTCATGGAATATTTCCATGATAGCAGTTTGCATTTCACATTAAATATAATTAGACATTCAGATTTCACTAAGACCACACACCAAGAAAGATTCACACATCTGTACTGATAAGAATCCACTTCTTTCCAATTTGCACACAAATGACAAGCAACTGCACACGATTATAATCTCATGAATGAAATTTGAATCTACATTCCTCTAAACGCACCACAACTGCTACAAAACGAAGTTCAGAGAACATTTACCAGCACTGCTGAAGGTGCTAGAAGTAGGAGTAGTCATCCGGAGAAACGATCGAGAAAGCATGAAATGGCAATGAGTCGAAGATGACCCTCGTCACACTTCTGCAGTTGGTATATTCAACCCCAAATCCTGAACAGACGGCAGTAACTTAGGTGAAGAAATACGCAGCTATCCCCTCGGGCGATTGAAAGTGCATCAGCTCAGCGTCAGAATGCGACGAAGCTCTTAAGAATCATCATAGTGAAAATCTCCTTGACCGTGATTACGCAGCGTAACTCAAGTGAGGACATCCCAAACGGGGGAGGAAAATTGAAGGCAGAAGCTTGCGATAAATTTTGTGACTCTCCTAGCCAGCAGGATCTTGAGGCCCGTGTAGAAATATTGCGTTAGGGAACTTCCTCCAGTTCGAGCCCCCGGAACGCAGTAAGAGTGATATAATTATCAGTAGAGAATCTATCAATGAATTAGTACAAATTACAAGGAGTTTGTAGTGTTGGGAACTCAGATCCGCAATATTAAATTATTGCACTCCAGTGTGAATTAAGCAGTGTGAATCAGTCCTTGCTATTGACCCATGACTAAGTCGGAATGAGACGTGCTACGGTACAATTGCAGACATTCAGAATGCGCATTTAGAATCCTGAAAGGTGGACTGTTGTGGAACCGGACATACCGAAAATTCACAAGGTTTGGTGTAATTGCCGATGCTCTGAACACCTATCTCTCTTAGTAAGGACTCCAAAGAAGAACAACATTCAATTCTTCCTCCATTCGCAATCTCAGACTTCAAATAGGATCAGCACAGTTGATGCTAAGCAAGCAAGTCTTTGAGAGTAATTTCCTCGCACCTCTGCCACCAATGTCTCACACGCCAAGAAAGTCAACGCGACCGCTGAAAACCTCGAGAGGACGAGATAATGCATAGAGAGAAGATTTGCACAAAGCCACTTAAGACTCAAAGAAGTACATGTTGAGTTTACGCGAGGTTTTGCTGTTCGTTACACTGAGACAAGATGGGGATATTTGCGTATGACATTTTGTGTCCCATTTTCTTCCACCTCCTTTCAAACATGCAAATGAAAGAAACGAAAATACTACATTGGAAAGCAGTAATATCACTAACATTCGATAAGATATTACTGCTTTGCTTTGCTTTCCACTGTAGTATATTTTAAATTTACACTAAATAAATATATTTATATATTATATTAACAATAAATATAGGGAATGTTTAGTTATACTTCGGTTTGGGTTACTTACCATTCACACTACTATACTATACATAACAAATCTGTGTGATCAATCAAAACTATGTTTTCTAGAACTATTTGATACAGTGAACACAAAGAAAGTGTTAGAAGTAATGTAGCATGGGAACATTAACCTAACGTGAAGGATAATTAGCCATTCACTAAATATACTACATTATATTTATGATATATTTACTTTTTTGACATTGATTATTTTCTGAGCAATGGAAATAGTATGAGTAAAAGAATAGTATCAAAATTTAGAGAAATTTATATTGTTGTCTCAATATGATAATTGCTCAATGTAATATTAAAACGAAATTCATGTAAAATAATTACATATAGTAGACATCGAGAAAAGAAGATTAGCATGGCATCTGCAGATCGAGAAATGGTACAAAATATAGATTAGAGAAAAGTATGTGTCCATTGATAGTATTATTAATGTATCAAATTCATATAATTCTACTAATATATAATAAAAGTGATGCATTCTTTACTTGACTTTAAATTTGAAGAATTGGATTGTTGTAGGTACAAATTTCATTCATAACATCATATGAATGATTACTCATTTTTTCATACATAAGTGATTGATTCCTACGGATTATATTCAACGAATGATGAGATTGAATTCAAATGATGAGATATATTCGGAATTATTTGTATTTTTCATTAATTCCCAAAAAATCATTATAAACTTCACGATCAGTAATCAAATATCTAATTATGAATTATTGATTGAAACATAATTTTTTATACTCTGAATATTTAATATGGTTTATCAATTTTTTTAATCATAAATTTATTTTTATTTCTTAAAAGTTATATATTTCAAATTTACATGTAAAGTATGTTAGACTCTACTAACATTTCTTTATGTCTTAGTGTGACTTATAAGAACTTTAAAACGAGTACATAATATCTGCATAAATCCCAATTATAATTTGCTTCATATTATATATATATATATATTTATATATTTAAAAAAAATTTCAATAAGTTAAATTCATAAATGAACTATCATCTTGAATATCAATAAATTGAGATTTATTTTAGTTTTATTTATATAACACGAAAAAGTAAGGTCGAAGCAAAATTTATCCAAATCAACTTTATGTTTCATATTAAAAAACATTACTTACCCTACCAACCATTTATTTTCCTGAATAACTAACTTATAGCTGCTCACCACATAAATATTTGATTTTAGACATTTTCCAATAATCTCCTCATATTACATGAAATCTGCTTGCTGAGTGTACCTTGTTCAGAATTTTGCACATTTTGATGTCGAACTCATTATCCTTAAGTCAAAAATATATATTGATGACCTCATTGGCATTAGGCTTCATGTCTCCATTGCCTTCTTTAATCCAACATTTTTATTTTTATTTAACAAATTTTTTAAACAAACATTAGTTACACAAGCTGTGAATATTATCAATAATATAATTTTAACTTCACTATTACAAGACACGTCTATAGATGTCACTGCATCTCTGAATATTTACTTAGGTCCACCAAACCTAAACTCAGAGCCCATGCGAACAAAGTACAATCTCAGTTATAATTGCTAAACCTGTTCTATTTCTTCGCAACTACCTCTCTAAGGGTTGCCCCTACATGAATCCACTTACATGTACTATGTACTTTCTCTGTAACAATATCTACACATGGCTCGCAAAAACGCACTAGGACTAATGTGCAATTTTGTGGTAGTTTGCCAATTGCTTTAAGATAAAGGTCAAGGCACTTCATAAGTTATCTATTCTATTCCTGGTTGCTTGGGCATGCCAACGAAGTCATCCATCCATTCCTTGTTCTATCTATTCCACTCCCAGTAGCTACGGCAGAACGCAACCAATCCTTCCTTGCTACTTCGGCATAATCACAACACCATCCAACCACAAACCGCTTTTCCAATTACCCCCTCTAGTTTCGACAAGACTGTATTGCAGTTTAACTCGACCTAGTCCGGAGTCTTTTTCTCCCTCTTCTACAGAGAAATCTCCAACATATAACTTCTTCCAGGCAGTGTCTACTTCTTCTACATATTCGTCACCGGATGGATCCTCAGCTTCTGATGAGGATTGGCCATTTTTCAAAAAAACCAATTTATGAACAGTCTCGTGATCATTGACTGACATCGCTAACTCAATCGGCAAGGCAAACCCCCACACACTCTGCTCCAACGCAAACCTCCATGAGAGAGTGTACCTGCCGACTGGTAGGGAACACTCCATGCTCCCCTTAACATGCAACCAGCAGACTTGTTTGAGATACGCCGATTTGTCGTAGCTGCATTAAAATAAAAATTTCAGTCAGTCCGAACCTCCTTCGTCCAAAAGAGCCTCCCGGTCAGGACAATCTCACTCAACTGAGTGAGTTCTTACGGACTTCCTCTGTTCGGATATAAGACATCTTGGCTTGAACTGTCGTGATTCATGGTGGTTCAATCTTGGATGGGATTGTTCCATGTCCTATGATTTACGATGTTTGATGCAAAACGTACGAACACACTTCAAATTACAATGGTGTGCAGTGTTCTTTACTATGTGGGAAAGCTGAAACTTGGGCAAATATCCAAGGATCCGTATATTCAAAGTGGGAGACTTTGGGCCCACAGTTGCTCGTTAATTGACAAAGTTCCATCGCAAGTGTACCTGGAACCACGTCGATTACGCCAATGCCAGTATCTCCGATCAGAACCCCATACGACATCTAGGGCTTCAGCGCCTTGACTTCGATAAACTACTGCACGCGATCTCGATAGCCAATAGAACTGAACAAAAATATCAAAATGATATTCTTAGTTTCTTGAGACATGGCAAAATTGCACACAGTAAGAATTAGACGAACAGCTTATCAGCATCTCCATATGACTCCAAGCAGAAGTGCACGAGATATCGAGAAAGAGGAGATGCCTTACTAAGTCAACAAAGAATCGTGGGCAGAGATCAAACCAACACTAAAAAATTTACAGTTTTAACCAACGAGTGGCGATTATCGATGGTTTGTCGACAAAGACATCAGAAAGCTGACAAAACAATAACTCTCGGCATTCAAAGAGAAAGTTCAGAACAAAATTTCGATTGTGAGGACGCTGTCATATAAGTGAGTGATGAGTGCTGCACTGAAGCAACAACAGGCGGTGTCATGAAACCCTTGTACAAAATTCCCATAAGTACAAGATGACCTTCGTACAAACTATATACATCGAAAATCACCTTCACAGATACAGCTATCAGATACCATAAGGGACAAGTGAAAAGGTTTCTAATGTAGTAAAGTTATTCACTTGAAGCCAAAACTCATGCCCACGACAATTAGGAATATAAAATAATATTACATCAAAGTTTAGACGATTTTGCATTTCTACGTTGGTCTGGGTAAGGAACTCAACCTCGTGACCACGAAGAGGGACATTGCTGCAGAGATAATCGAAGATTTGTTTCTTAGTATCGAAGGCGCGTGCGCCGTCCTTTGCCTTTGCAAGAACTTCAGTATAATCTCTCGGCAACTTGGCTTGCCAGACAACATCCGAAAGAGATGCACCTCGGAACGTGCGATTAGTGCAAGCCGATATGGCTATGTCTCTGGGAGAAAGGAAGCAGAGGACATGTGCTATACAGGACTCGGGCAATTCTTCAAATCCAATGCCACTCAACTGCAAGTCGCATGCTGCATTATCAAACTTCAGTTCACTTTCGGCACAGTTACCCATGGGCTTCATGACCCCGCCCATCAGGCTCCTCCTCGGTGTTCTTCAACAACAACACCACGGAATCTCCTGGTCAGAAGTGATGAAGATTGTCTATTTTCGCACGAGCAAGTTTGCGAATGGCTCCTTCTACTCGTCAAGTATAATACCTCCTAATATCTGTACGGAACGTAATCAAAATCTAATATTACGTGGGAAGTTTGTTATGTTGGGAACTCAGATCCGCAACTGTAAATGCCTGCACTCCATTAAGCAGTATGAATCTCTCCCTGCTATTGGCCCATGACTAGGTTGAAATTAGACGTGCTCCGGTACAATGGTAGACATTCAGAATGCACATTCAGAATCCTGACAGGTGGAGTGTTGTGGAACCAGACATACCGAAAATTCACAAGGTTTGGTACGATTGCCGATGCTCTGAACACCTATGTCTCTCACTGCGGACTACGAAGAAGAAAAACATTAGAATCTTCCTCCATTCGCGATCTCAGGCTTCAAATTGGACCAACACAGTCGATGCTGAGCAAGCAGGTCTTCGAGAGTAATTTCCTCGCATTTCTGCCACAAATGTCTCCCAGGGCAAACAATGTCGACGTTCGCCTCTGACTCCGCTGAGAACCTCGAGGTGCGAGATCTCATGCATAGAGAAGATCCTACGTAACCAACGTGGCCAGGCGCGCACGGGAGCCCGCCACGTAGACTCCTTCATTGACAGATGTCAACTAATTTTTTACCGTGTTTTTTAATTGCGCGGTTTGGCTGTTCTTTACAGTTACCCAAGATGGGGCATATTCGCGGATCGCAATTTTTTCCCCATTTTCTTTCGAAGAAGGGAATAAAAGAAAAAAAAAATATCAATTGAAAAATATAATAAAAATATTTTGTCACTTGGAACAAGTAAGATATTTAGAATAAATGGATATATTATATAGAAAATAAGCATTAATAGATGCAGTCTATCATAATGAACAACTACAAGATGATATATATGTACTATGTGTATACGATTGTTGTACTTTTTATGACATTGATTATTATTTTCTGAGCAATGATAATATAACCTGTAAAAAAATTATATGATTATTCAAAAAAACTCATATTGTTCTCTCAATATGATGATTGCTCAATGGGGTTAGGCCTGCACTGTGACGAAATTGGGGAGAAACGCCCTCTCTTACATAGAAAGTGCAACATTTGCACGTACCTTCAAATCCTGATACTGAGCAGTCACAAATTGGCCTCGAATTTTGATGTTTGCTTCCGTGTTCTCTTTCCGCTTGCTGTAACTGGGACTCAGCTTTCCTCCACAGCGTGAATGTCCACATTTGTTGTAATGTAAGTTCTTTTTGGGCTGTTCTTGTCCCTTTTACTGGGAAGAGGCATGAGAGCTTTCGTTCTCATGGGTGCAAGACTTTTACTTGAGCTCTTTATAGGCTCCTTAAAAACAGCGGGGCAAAGCTGGTTGATGAGACAGTCCGTACAAGGAGGTCTTAGAGGGGTACATACAGTTTGGCCAAAACCCACCTGCGTTTGCGGAAAAAATGAGCTGTTAAATATAGTTCGTGGGATAAAACATATCTGGAGATTCAAAAAATATAAAAATCTGAACATCCCTTCTTTCGATTGAAATAATCCTGTAGAAAGGAAATAAGAAAAATTTCAGGCCATTGGACTTCATGCTTGCTAGCTAGAACTCAAGATATACGACACATCTACAAAAGGCACCGTCAGGAGAATCTTCACCGTTATGTGGGACAAGAAAAATTCACACATCTGTATTGATAAGAATCCACTTCTTTCCGATTTGCACAGTAAAGACAAGCAACTGCACACGATTATAATCTCATGAATGAAATTTGACTCTACATTCCTCTAAAGGCACCACAACTGCTACAAAACGAAGTTCAGAGAAAATTTACCAGCACTGCTGAAGGTGCTAGAAGTAGGAGTAGTCATCCGGGAGAAATCATACAACTATTTCACAACTTGTACAATACAACTCTGCGAGTGCAAAATGACCAGCAGTATTAAGCCTACGATCAGAAGCCATATCGGTTTGTCGTTGTAAAGGATATCGGTTGTAATTCAAGAAATTGTGTTTCCAAGAAAAAGTTTTCTTGGAACACAAACTGTAGCGAGAGCGCTCGAAGTCTGGGATTCATACGAAGTCTACGACAGAGCTCGGCAGCAGGTATTCCTATCAAGCGGTCGCGACAACGTTCGCCACGACAAGGCTACATCGCCGCCCGCATATTCCGAAAGTGTACTAGCATCTCCTCGAAACTGTTTGGTGAGCTTTCCGATATATGCACGCATGCTTATATTAGTCATTAGCCTAAATTAACTTAATTTAGTCTCGTCATGCAATTTAATTTAGGATGCTATTAGTTTCTAACCCAGAAACTCTTCCAACTGTATACGGGTGGAGACCTATATAAGAGTCCAATCATAATTTTATCGTTTGTAGTACAATTTTCTCCTTTGTACTGAGAATAATTGCATCTATATTCACAAACAATCTGATATATTGCATTCAGCACTACACTGAGTAGAGTTACCCTCTAGTATCTCTTATAAAAGTGATCTTAATAGTAATAGTAGCAACGGTAAGTTCAATGGGTGATTTACTCACAGAGAGATGATAATAATTTTTTTTGAAATTATTTTTTTAATATTTTTGTAATTATTTATATTAAAAATCAATTTTTGCAAGTATTTGAACTTTTATAATAAATAAATAAATAATTTATATAATTTTTTTAGATTCAATACACTCCACATATTTTTTGGAAAATCTGATTAGATTCTTTTATTGTATAATTTTACATTTAATTTAATATAGGTTTAATTTTATGTTATTTTATAGTCTTGTTAAATTTAAAGCTGCTTTACTTCTTTTTATACAAGATATTTGAAATTTTGATTCATGAAGAGAGGAAAAACTGATTAGATATGTGTACTCCTTTCATTACATGTTATCAACTATTTTACGTTTTTTCATATATACTTATTGATGATTTTTATCTGATATTAGTAGCTGAGCTAATAGTCTTAGTGAATAAAAAATTATTTTTTATCCGAAAAATCTCCATATCGTATGTTAATAAAGTCAATATGGAAATTGAGACTTGTAATTATCTTATGATCTCATAGAAATTACAAAATGAGCATTTAGTTGTAGTTGTTTTTTTCATCAAAAACTATAGTTTACTCATTTACGAAGTAAGACATAAATTTTATTCATTTGGCATATTCGTTTATGTTGGTTTGTTCTCTCTATATACAAGATTATTATAGGAAACTTGAGAATTCACATATATACGAACAAGAATGTAAAAAAAATATATAGCATACACAAATCCAACAAGAAAAATAAGTGGTTTGTCATTCTCGGAAGTCTTTACCGAAAACGTACAAAGTATTCAAGGCAATCTGTGTTTAGCTCCCCTATATATACATGTAGCATAAATCCTATGTCTAATCTTAACTATAATAAGTCTAATACTAATTTAAACCTGAATTGAAACCGAGACTTAAATTTACTCCTAACAAAGATAACGAGTGTAAATCTACAAATGAGTGAGTACTTTCTTAAGTTGAGAGATTTAAAACTAAATTATAATGGCACCAATCATGTTTTTTGAAACTATATCATTTAGTTAATCTTTGTTGTGAACATGTTATGTTGTTTTGAAATTGAATTTATCAATAGATTTTAGAGCAAAGTAAAACAAGTCTTACATCAATTCTGATAAAGTAAAATGTGCAATTGATAAACAAGAGTATAAGTTAATGAATCATGAACATGCATATGGATGCTAAATGTCATATCACATGAAAACTTCTTCTGCAATCTCCAACTAAGTAATTTAAATGCTCAATTGTTAAAGAAGTTGAGCACGAGAACTACATTCTCATCTTAACACTCCATGAAATCTCAAAAGAACGTGTGGCGAAGCTAAATGTATTGCACTTTAATATCTTACTTTTTTTAAAAACATTATTCCTCAAATTTCATATTCACGGTGATTCATTTTCACCAAAATTGACATAGGTACTACATGTGGTACTAAGGCCAAGTAAATATGCATAGTGCATTTGTAGCACACAAAATTCAAAGTAGATTTCTTATGTAGAAGTAACTAATCTTATCCAATCAACCATAGTCTAATTGATTAGAATTAACCAGCACCGGAAATAATTCTAAGCTATAACCATATATACCACTTCAACATGTTTCTGCGAGTGAAGACATGTCACATCAAATATAGTGCTCCACAATTAGACGTTCAATGGCGCTCTCAAATCAACATGAAACAAGTTTGGTCATATACGAACTATTTTGATTTCTTTACAAAATCTCTACTCATAAGGTAATCTCTACTCATAAAGTTGTTGTTGAGAATTTTTATTCTTTGCTTCAGCTTGAACCTTATGATTTAGGTTGTTACATTAGGGATGTTATTAGTTACCGTTCTAGTGCTTTGGACACTAGCTAGGGGTTCTTTTGGTTCTCTCCTTGTTTGGAATTGGATTCTTTGTATTGTGTTTTTTAGCCTTTTGACCCTTTGGGTCCCACGGGCTTGATCTATTTACCATTACCATAACTAGTCATATAAAGCTTGCAATGTATGTCATTGTAGATTCTTACGTTAATAATTTATGTAATTTGATGATTCTGTTATTACAAAAGGTATCCAGTAAATATAGTAATCTATTAAGAAGATTGTATTAAATATATGCAATCTAATGTGCTGGTATAAATCTGAAATGCTTAGGTGATTGATTGGTCAGATGATTTTTCAGAACTCTATATTTTTCGAGCATACGCGATTCTATCCAACGACAACATTTAGTCAGACTCTAACTACAAAGGAGTTACAAAGAATTGATTTCAAGTGCAGAATACTTAGTTACCACATTCATGAGCTGAGTCCCGTTATCACTCATGTTCTCGACACTGAGAAAAATGAGTATCTCACAGGATACTAAGGACTCATTGTTACGAACCACACTAACTATGGTGAAGTATGCAAATGTGCGAGTGTAATGGTAGGCGTTCACAGTTAGAAAAGGGGGCTTTCGTGCTCTTTATCAATGCATCAGATGGTATAGTTCGAGTTCATTATGAAATCAATGCCCTTATGGTTATTTCCAAACACAAAACACTGTACAGGTTCATGGAATGCAACCACTCCATGAATGGTTGCACGCATATGACACAACAACACTGCTGTGTTAAAGAATAAAGTAGATTTCAACCTTGTTCCTGTTGCTTAAAACTCAAATCTTTTTGCTTAATACGTTTGTTTGCACGTATCCCCTCCATTGCAATACATTTCTTTTGGTTGTAGCGAGGATAACTCGATATCCTCTTCTTCTTATTCTTTGTTATGCAAAAAAAATGTTTTTAGTTTTTTTCGGAAGATTCTCGCTTTAGCCGGAGCCATGCAGATTGAACATAGCGAACTAACTAACCAACAAAAGCCAAGGGGAGTTGGAATGCGCTGGACGGGATATCTTGTGGCTCTGACACGCGTCACCCTCTGCTTAAGCCACGACACACGATTCCAGTTGTCACCCAGTCGAGAGAACGAGCACTGCTCTCAGTCAGCTCTTCCTTGCACAGTTCTCGTAGGAGCAGCAGCTGAGCTCCGACTGAAGTCTGTCAGTACTCCAACGAAAAACCGCTGTTTGTAGTCCTTCTGCAACTGCAAGCTGCCGTGTTTCATACAATGCGGCTGTTTCTGGAACCATGCCGTTGTGAGGCCGGTGGAAAGGATCGCTCGGCGACAAGATGGTGGTGTTGTGTCCGTAAGCAGGTTGCAGATCAGATCATGAGCTCACACGGCGGGCATTGGGATTATAGTTCGATTGCACGAAGTATGCGCGACATCGTGCAGCTTGCTTTGCATGGGATTTAAAGTCGATGCTCGATGGAGAGGAATTCTCCCAGTAGCTATGCTGGTTCTGCTCATGGTTTGTTCCAAGGATTATTAACAAGCTCTCGGCGTTCTGCTTCTCGGGATTCAGCGCGAGGTAGTAGAGGAAAATTGCACTTGTCGAAATCTTCTGAGCATGCTCGACTGTTCAGCTAAAGCCGAACGTTTGCCTGGTCAGTGCACTGAGATGTGAGGTCCTTGGATTGAATGTTGCAGAGTCTTCGCGACCGGAAGAGGAGGGGTCGGAAAGGAACACATCTCTGAACAGAAAGTTTTTGCGTCGTTTGGCCATTGCCCTCGTTACGTATGGAAGCTCTTCTGTAAGAACTGAGTACCTCATCGGACAAGCTGCAGAGAGGCTGAATGAAAAAGTCAACATTGGCGTTTTCTCCTCTGCCATACTTCTGATCTTTCCTGGAGCAGGTGACCCGTCTCGGTATGCTGATTCCTGAACCTCACTACACCTATCTCACACAGCTCAGAGGACACCAGCTCCTGAGCCGAGGCGGATGTGCGCGGTTGGAACCTTCTGATTTCCGGGACAAGTATGCGTGTAACTTGGGAATCACTTCACGGCTTTGGTGGCCAGCACAGGCCCAGAGTTTTAGCAGAGACATTAAAGTGCACTGGAATGTCAGTTGGACAAGTTTCCTTTTATCGTGATGATCAAACTCCTGACTCCTTGGTGATGAAGCTGGCTGTTTTTTCGCTGGTTTTTTCCACAGGGATGAGACGCACCTTGATAAAATACAAATCGATTTTGATGTTGCCAAATTACAAGAGGCAGATGAGCTCGCCAATAGCGTTGGCCTTCCTGATACTCCTCTTACGGCTGCATATCGGCAGCTCAGCGCGATTGCAATTAAAGAGTCACCCTTTGGTCCATGGAGCATGCTTTTGGGTTACACTATCTGCGCACCCACGTCCTCACTTCTCTTCTTCAACGGTGACTGCAATAAAAACAGCTCCTAAAATAATTTTACAGCAACTACCTTCTACGTTTGCAATACTCTACGCCATTATTATTTCACTTGATTCATACTATATATTGGGGGTTTAGAAATGAAGACCAAGAGAAGGATTTTAGGCAACTTGTTGAAGCTTGTGGACAAGGAATAAGAATGTCAGTCATTCTTAAAAAATGCACATCGCGAAGAGCTTGTTACTCATCATTTGATACTTAGTTGCAGCGAGCTTGCTGAATCTTGCTGTAATCTTGGGGAATTGCAGGCAACTTGTGGGATGCAGTTTTTTCTCTGTTTTTGGGATTTGGTGTCGGCCTTCTGGATCTCAACTCATCAAGGTTCCCTGCACTCGGAAGTACACTTGAGTTTCTCTCGGCCATCTTCGTGTCATTCGTAGCGCGCATTACTTCAGTGTACTTCAAGCATCTGGATGTTTGCTACTTCTCTATGGCCTTGTCAGGCCTAACGTGGCTTCTTCCAGGTTAATTCCCTATCCCTCGGCATACGATCTGCATGCAAGGGGTTTCTGGTCCAAGCAGAATCATAAAAAATCAGTTAGTAAACGTCGCATGTTTTTGTTGTTTTCTGTATGCCCTCAGAGAGCATCGACCACCCAGGCCGCTGGGTCTGTGGTCTCCAACAAGCTATTACAAGCAAACACCAGTGAATTCGTTGATGTTTTTCTGGTTTGAAACGAATTTAATGGTGCATGCGACGGCAGGCTTGCAAAAAGTGTAACCCATCCCTCGTCTGCAGTTGAGGATCAGCTATGTGAAGAGATACCTCATTAATCTCACATCAGGTTTCAAGGATACGCAGTTGTAATCCAGTTACTCACTGCTCATGGTCAATAACTGCTATTAGAGATGAGTATTGCTAATCTACGAAAGCAGATGAGTGGGAGGTGTCTTTAGGCCTGAACTCGAAGCTTAAGGGGTCCTCAAATCTTGTTCTGACTGTTTTGATTGATCAGCTTCTAGAGGGTGTTGTTTTGTAGAAGAGAGTATATATAGTGTCTGTGAAAGCTGTACAACTGTCCGCATTGTGATGACAATGGGCACTGAGCCAAATCTCAGCGCGCAGGTGTCTTGTTGTATCACTGATCAGCAGCTCTATGAATACGTAATCTGCAGGAGAGGGACTGACTGTTGGAATCAGCGAAATGGTTGAGAATTCCCTTATTTCCGGTACATCTCGTATTGTTCGGGCTCTGATCGCATCCTTACAGTTAGGATTCGGGCTTTTCATTGGAGAAAAAATGGTGTGGTGGACCCATGATGCAGTTCAGAAAGACTGCACCTCGCAACAACTATCTGAGTGGTGGGATGTGATATGGTAAGATTTTGAGTGCATGTCAGGCTCTTTTTTTTTTCCCCAAACACGCGGCTCTAGTTGTGAATTCATGTGACAACCGCATATTGTTCAGGGTGAGTGAAATATGTGCATCGCAATTGATATGGACAGTAATCAATTTCAGGGCATTGGAGTGCTTCCTTCAATATTTGATCCACTAACAACACTGGCGGACAAGCACTTGTATGGTGTACCAACATCAGCGCTGTATTATGAATTTCATCCAGCAAGATGGAGGATGGAAGAGTGTCAGCATTGCGTAGTACGTTGCTGGAAGACAGACAGTGAAATTACACCGATGTTACCGGAACTACTAACAGAGATGAGTGCCTGCCTTGTGTGGTGTGTCTGGTGTGCACGATGATCTCACAGGTTCTTGGGATTTTCACTGGCAGTAAACGTGCTGTTAAAAGCAAGACCGTGGCAGTGGCCAGGAATGACTGTCGCTGCTGGTGCTGCTGTACTCGTAGACAAGTTCACTGGACGCTTCGGATCAGAGATTTCAGCGGTTCTCTCGTCGTTCACCATAGGGATCACAGGTCCATTGATTTCTGCTCCTTCAGTGCGGTCTTCCGTTTGATAATCAGGTGCTGCGTAGACAGAACGTCCAGATCTCGTCAAAGAAGTTGAGTCCGACAATTCGACCAGTCTGTGATTCCAGACACTTTTCTCAGGCTCAAGGAATGTTGTATGAATCTGAGACGTGTGTGTTTGCAGGAACTCTGTGCTCTTATATCTCAAGGGACATTCCGTTGAGCATGACATTATCGGGTATCCAGGTGATTCTTCCAGGCGGGCTCGGAGTGCAGGGAGTAGAGGCTTTGATGAATCAAAATGTTTTGTCAGGCATAGGGTTTGTCATGAGTATGATAAATATCAGTTTATCGATCACTCTCGGCCTTCTCATATCGAAGATCTTTATCAAGGACACAGAAGCCGGATTGGCGACTGTATTCTCGCACAATAGGCGCACCCTTGCCTCGTCTTTCCGAGAGGAGACATGGAAAGAATCTAAGGAGAACGAAGCAGAAGAAGACGAGCAGATTGCAATCTGATCACATTTTTGTCCACCTTTAGTCATTGACCATGCATCTCTCATATAATCAACCACGACATTGTGAGCATCTCCTTCGTTTTTCCACAAATACCTGACCTGCTTTCTGAAATCGAATTAGGGGTCACAATTTGGCATTGCAAGCGGGTCCCTCTAGTGGTTTTCAATGTCTTCCGTCAAATTCATCTGTCCTGTAAACTCGATGTCACTCGTACTACGCACATATAGCGGACTGTTTGAAATTACAGCAATTTGAAGTGGTGCTCGCGATTTTAGATTTGATAGTAATCTCCTCAGAGGCTGCGAAAGGAAAAACATATGTTTTTTTAATCTCTTCTTCTTCAAGACATTCAACTTTGGAGACTTCTGGAACCCAATGGCATTGGGTGAAATATCAAACATCACCACACAAATCACTTCCCAGAGAAAAAGTCTCCATATTAGCAACAGTGTTCTGTTAAAGATAAAATGCGCTTATAATACCTCGACCATATAGCAACGCGTATGTACAAACTCAACAACCATGACATCCAATCTATAAATCTCCTCAGTAAATCAACGCAAACATGTACACAACTTACAGAGGAGGGGACTCTACTGTTTAAACCCCCAATACTCAGGACATATGAGCTGCAGCTACCATACTCCACACCGACGTGTCTCGACATGAATTGAAATCTCGAGATGTTGTTTGGCTAGTGGGACTAAACAATTTTCTGTTCCAAGAACCCAGCGCGCCCCTCCAACTTCTGCTCTTAACAACCGCAATTTCTCACATCAACACAAACTTTGACAAACCTTAACATGATAACACCATCCTTCGCCGTTTACATACATCACACCAGTTCACATGTGTACTGTAGAACACCTTGTCAATGGCTTTCGTCGACAAATACTGTCATTCTTACTGCAGGAATCATACCTCACCAGCAAATCTGTCGTCAGCACGAGATGGCCGCCAAAAGTAGCGCTTCCAGCTTCAATGCTGGGCATCCAATTCGAACTCAAGAGTTTGTGTCACGACTAAGGTCATGAGAACCAATAAATATGGTTGATTTGGATGAGAGCTGCTGAGCATAGAAGATTTACCGACAAGGAGGCTGATTTTGGGTTTCCGATCATCCACTGCTAAACGACCAGAGATGTTGACAGAGAAATGGACGGATATCTAAAAATGTGTTTGTTTGTTATTGCATGACAGAATGCAAGATATGCTTGTCGCCTCCAACTGCTGAGAGACGAGGGCGAGTCGATCGGTTCATTCGAGTTTTATGGTGGACGCAGGATACCTGATGATGACCGTGTAAATCATGAATCTGCGTGCTGACGGTCTGTTCCTTTTTGTCCTCTCCTTTTCCGAATGCATGGACTCCTTTTCCTTCTTGAGGAATTCCACGGTGGCAGTGCCCATGGGAGTTGGCCGGTGGGTCCCGGAACTCGTTGCTGCAACCGGAAGACGACAAAATCGAACCGCATAAACGCGAGGACAGGAGAAGGGTTGGCTTTTGGTTGGCAACGTAGCTCCGACTCCCTCACCCTGGGAAGAATGTGCGTTGTGCAATGTGCACTGACAGACACACAGACGCACACAGAGAAGAGAAGAGAAGTCTTTGGGATCGCATTCATTGTGTTGATTGAACATTATCGGATTAGACTGGATTGAGTAGTGACGATGGCAACTATTGGTGTCCAATTTCCCACCCTCGGCTGCTTTCCACGGCTAGGTGCCGGAGCTGCTACCAAGGTGTGCACAGGACCTGTTAATCATCCACAGTCAAGACTTCCGACGGGCGTGGGCCACCGACCATGGGTGCGTCGAAGAGTTTCGAGCAGCCCTTTGAAAGGCAGAACGAGTGGAATTGCTTTCGCCATGGAGGTTCCTGATTTTCTTCCGGCCACATGGTAATCGAAATTCAGTTCGAATTATCGCGTTGATGTTGTTCGAATGGCAATTCTCTGGACGTGATGATGTACTCAGTCCCTCTTCATCCTATTGCTAGTGTGAGGTGACTTTCACTAGAGGACTTCTGTCTTTGAAGTATACCTCTAATCTCTCTATATTTCTTACGAGCTTGTTCGTCGAACCTGTTGGGAGTCTTTACAGGGCTTACTGGTTGCCCAATTTCAAACCTTGGGGGTCCAGAAATATAGAATCCAACTGCTGAAGTTGAATTCTAGAATTTGTAGAAATTCTGCAGCGGGATTTGGATTGAACCTTTTGTTGCTTATGTTGCAGGAGTAAAGGCCCCAAGCCCAGAATACCCGGACCCAGCTCTGAGGTACGGATACGTGTCTCTGTGCTGATATTTTTGCAGTGAGCGTGATGGATGCTTGTCAAACTCAATCAGAAAAGAAAGAGGGAGAATTGTTTATTGTCTCTACAAACGAGCTACCGGATTTTTGCCGTCACATATCATTGACGACGAAAAGCAGGCAGCGCTAGCTGTAAGTTGGGCTCTGAGCTCCTGCAAAAGCATCTCACAAGCGAAAGGGACATGTAAGTCACTTGCGAGCATGAAATAAATTGGAATGGAACGTATGCAGGTCTTCGATGGGATATCTTCCTCGTTCTTCTAACCTGATTCATGTCAGAGGACGGTTTTGCTCCTGAACCACCAACAGATGAGCAAAAAATGTGATGATCACACGACATGCCCTATTTACTGAAATCCAAGTCTGACTGTCACCATGTGTCTTAAGCCACTGGAGTCATCCCTCCTTACAAATTAGCACAACCTGTTCAAAAGCAGGGTAGAGAGACCGCATGATAAATCTTCACAGTGCAATGCTTGCATCTTATCTACCATTCTCGTTGATCAAATAAGGAGAACGAAGATGTAGAGAAGTCCAAATGATTTTGGAGTCCACCGAATCCCCAAGACGTGTAGTCGGGTCCTTGCATGGTTACAAGACTACACCTCTGTCCTGTCGTCTGCCAGGTCGAAGTGGACTAAGAAAAGTTGGGTTGTAGTTGACAGCTGAAGAGGCGACACTTCGACAGTTGGAAGCGCTCAGCCAAAATGACGAGCCCTATCCAGATCACGGAGTCGAAGTAATGTATCGGGTAAGGAACACAGCGCAACCTCCAACGAAGTTGTCGCTTTGAATTTGTTCATGTCCAGAAGAAACTGCCTTAGCGAAGTGCTCAGGCACAGAGAAGGAGATTACTGCCTTGGACTGAACTCCGAATTAGGAAGCCCTGTGCTGAGTGCTCGAGCAAAGTTAACCTAATGTTGTCTTCTCTTCTCTGTGTGGGTGCAGTTCGCAGGATTTGATCCGTTCGAGCGCTCCCAGTACTTCGGGCCTTTCTTTGATCTAGGTCAGGTGAGTTATGAGAAGGGCGGGGGCTGCGGTGACATGGGCTTTTTTCCAAGCATTTGATGCCCTAGGCTGAGAAGAGATCGGTTGTAAGCTTTTGGAACATGAGCTTTTCAGCGGACCACAGCAACTAATTCCATGGACTTTTCTTCTCCACGAGCAGTTTGAGCGCTTCAGACGTATCTTTCATCATGCTACATATCGAGTTCTTCTCGGCCACAAAGAACGGCGAATCCTGAGCAGTCTTTACATGAGTGAGGTTCGATGCTCTGCCTCTCTCGAATGCGTTGTTTGTATTGAAGGACGAGCAAACCCGTCAAGAACGCCTCTCGTTCAGAGAATCTAACATGCTCGCATGTCACCAAGATTTCTTTCTCAAGTGCAGCCGTAATCCGGTAGAGAGTGTTGGGAATTTTTGTGATGGACGTGGAATGTAGGAACAAAGGAACAATCTTTGTGATGTTGCTGTGTGCTACCTATCTGCAGCATACCTTTAAACAACGAGTTTGGATCGGCGGCTCGCGTCCTGGAGAAGAGGAGATTTATGAGTTCACTCTAGTTCAGGTATTTGCAAGAGCACGGATTCTTCGTCACCATAAATCATTGGCTACACTTATGCTCTCTCGTACTCTCAATGCTTCGCCCGACCTTTCTCGGTTCAGCACACACATCAATGTTCTGAGTGAGTGCTTTGATGTCTAGCCGAATTCTGAACTGTATTTCTTAATTCGCAACTCTTTGGGTGAGATGCAGAGAGTTGGAGGCAGCTGGGATGGATACTGGCTCACCGACAGCCTTCGTCACGACGGACAAGGCATTACAGGTGGCATAGCCTATTAGCGAAATAGTTACTGCATCAGAAGACAGACCCCCGAAGCAGTAGACCGAACGTACAAAACCTTCATAGCCAGTGTACAGAGAAGCCATGTGTGAATTTGTAATATAGCCTCTAGCATGTGATTACATTTCATGGTTCTAGGGATGCAGGGAAGACTTTACAGCAAATTGAGCTCGCGTTACGTAATTCTTTGACGTCTGAGAAGGCCATGGCAGATGTTATGAGTATTCAGACTTCGACTTGATCTTCGCTACTATCTGAAATTGTTATAATAGTTGCGTTGTTCTCTGCAGTCCAGCCTTCATCTTGTCTTAAACTTGTCCATGATTGTCTCACAAGACACATGTTGAAAGACATACCGTAGTAAACTTTTAAGGAGGTTAAAAAATTTACAAGAGTTATGAAAATCAAGAAGTTCAAGGACTTGGAAGAGCTTCATCATGATGGCGCGCACTGTAGCACACATTTGGGGATTTGGTCTGTGTGATCCTCTAGAGGTAGTATTTGTGTTTTGATCGATCATGATGCATAAATCCCAATTAAATTATATTAATGGTGCGTTTTCTCATTTTTTCGGTAGATTATCTCATTTGTCAGAAAAGAAAGTGCGAAGAGTGAGTTATATACCTATAATGAGTATATACCTATAGAGTGAGTCACCTTATAATGTTGTAAGATGCAAACTCAATTGACTTTACTTTAAGACGGACCATGACATATACTGGCTCGTAGATTATACATCTGAGACTTAACCGTAAAATGTGACTGATTAGTAGTAATCTGTACACGTAGAGTGAGTTACATAGTTACTCTAAATAGAGTTAGAATGTGACTGACAAGTGGAGTGAGTTACATAGTTATTCTAAATAGAGTTAGAATGTGACTGACAAGATAACCATCTTGTTTTAAGCATGTAAGAGAAGAGATATCTAGTGTTACCATCCCAATCGCTATCCCTAATCTGTTCTCGCAACATGGTCTCACAACATACACTCTAAGGAACACACTTGTCCTCGATGTCTCTTATCGGAGTAATGAAGTTGATTGGAGCTTGCATTTGCGTGCTAGCAGATCTCTCGGCATCATGTGTGGGATTGATCATACGATCTTCGAGCAACTATTTCAAAGACTTGACGCAACAACTTCAAGGAGAGAACAACTTGGAAAGACGTTCAAGAATTTGTTTTGTTAAAGTCTTTGGAACAACGTCAAGATTTTATTTTTTAATTTTCCCGATCCAACCATGTTATCTTACGTGATGGTGGATTGAGTGCGAGAATCGGTTCTTTGAGCGTCTACAAAAGCGCCGATCATTGTCAAGACCGTGTGGAGTATACGAGGCAAAACCAATGTATCATAGTATTATAGTCTTCAATGTCATCTAGTGTCAATAACAACAAATTACTATAATCTTCAATGTACTACAATTTTTGTTAAACCCCTTTGTGCTGGGACTTTCTTGGCTCAATAGATACAGTTGTATATAAACTTATACATTCAAAAATCATCATTTCAATAGGAGATTTCTCTTGATATCAATATGAATATTTCTAAAACTAAAAAAGCATAGATATTCTTTTGATTAGAACATCAAAATTCCAAAAGCCCATATTTTTTGGCACTAGATAGTTCATGGAAGATGCAAAGTAACTATGTTTGTTTTCCATGGAACTCCTACATCTGAGTCACTCCAAATTGAAGCCAACCTTAGATCTAACACAAGGAGTATGAAAATATATTAAAAAATAACAATGTAGATATACTTTTTCAACAAGGATTTTATTGTGGAACGTTCAAAGTTAAAAATTTTATTGTATTGGATCACTTTAGAAAGATGACACACACTTTGTGCCTTGCAACGAGATTATCAAAGGTGAAAAAAATGCATGATTTTTCTTGAAAAATGTTTATAAATATCATGAACTTCTCAACAACATCATCTTTGATTGTAGTTCGCAATTCATATCCAAGTTCTCACATGTTTTATTCAAGATATTACAGATGAAGATAAATCTATCATTGGCCCATCATTTTTAGACAAATAGAGAAACTAAACGAGTATATCAAGTGTTGAAATAGTATTTAAGGTAATCCATCAGATAATCAAGAAAAATGGAAAAGTATGTTTTCAATTGTAGACTTTATCTACAACGAATTTTTCAAGATTCCATTCATCAAACTTTGTTCTTCACAAACTATGAATATCATACAAATTTTGACTCTTTGAATTGGAATTCGGCAAATGATCTTGCTGTGCAAAATCTTATCTCCAAAGTTTTGAAAATCCATAAAGATATGAAAGCAAAGCTTGAAGAAGCGTAATAGCGTCAAAAGAAAAATGCATACAAATCTCAAAATGAATTTAAACATCATAATTGAAGATAAAGTTTGACTATTGCGTTGAAATCTAAAACTTTGCCGACCTAGCAAAAAATTTGAATATCTTTGTCTTGGATTTTTTCTTGTGAGTAAACATGTTAAGAAGGTAGCATACATGTATCTGTCATCATCTATGAAAAATCAGACCGTGTTTCATGTTTTTTTCTTGAATCATATAGAGAATCGACTAGTTCAAAATGACAAGTATTATCTCACCATCAATCGAGATGACGGACAAAGAAATTAAAATTTTTGGAGATACTCCATTTTAGCATAAATAGAAGAACATTATAATATTTTGTATATTGACAACGCTATAAAATAATCAATCTGACTTGAAAAACTGATGAACTAAAATGATCAAAAAATTTCATTGGTAATTTTCCACAAAGGTGAGTGACAAAGATTTTTCAATCCAACAAGTCTAGACAAACAGTACTATCAAAGAGATTTTTTGTTTTTGTGTCTTATAAAATAAATATAACAAATTGTCAAATTTGTTGCTTGAAAGAGAGTGATGTCATAAAAGTAACAATCACAAACAATTTTAGAGTCAAAGTAACCACTGCAGTGCTTTGTGCTTGCTTGAAATAAATAATTAAATAATTAAATAAATATATATAGCTTTGAAGATTGTATTTCATTCTTGTCAATTTTGGTTGTTGACTGCTCTTGCTTTCATGAATCATACTTTTTTTTTTAATCTACTTCAATTTTGTTTTTGTTCCAATTTGAGGTACACTCTTGATTTTGATATGTGTTTTGTCAGAGTGTTTAATTCTCGGTAATAAATGCATCATAAGTAGAATGTATGATTGAGATCTTATTTAAAGATTTGAAGAAATATACCAAATCTAATCTATAGATTTTTCATCTTCAAAGTTGTCTTCATCTTAACTAAAAATCAAAAGAAATTTCTCTCTTAATTTGTAATGTTACATAATAAATTCTTATGTCATATCATAAAAATTGTAATATTTGATTTTCTTTTTAATAATATTTAAAGCATATTTTTCTAGTCATTATAAGATGTTTGGATTTTTTCAAAAACACTACTTCATGATATTCCTACGGAACACAAAACATTATTTAGAATTCAACAAGATTAATTTTACTGGATAGAATTTCTTGACGATCTTATAGCACATCGTCATCCATGTTTTAATACAAAATCTATGTTGGTGTAACCATCCTTAGTAAGTTAAAACTAAAGTAGAGGTTACTGTAAATGTTTGATATAGATAATTTAGCGTGCTCTTGGCATGGCAACTATGTCTAGTGCGCTTGGTAGTTGGAGAAAGAGTAATTCTTTTGCAAATGTTTATCAAACTTTGTATTCGAGGAAATCATGCATGCAAATAGATATTGTTCATAGAGTAGTTCTAGCATTAAAAAGTATTAACCAATAGTTTTTTACTAAATAAAGCAATCATTTGCGCCTCTCCTAAACCAACCATTTCTAATGCACAAAATTAAGTTAATTTAAATAATGCAAGCAATTGCTTAGTATAAGCATGTCTACACATTTTAAATGAGCTAGAGCTAGATAGGTTTTATATGAAGGAAAAATTTCAATAAATCAGCTATTATTTGTCTGGTTTGAATCATAGCAAACATCAATGAACCTACATCACTTAAGTGATCACCTTCTCTTTATTAATTTATGCCATGTGTACTTTGAATATGCTATTATTAACCAAACAAACTACAATAGAATTTTTTATCATTCATACTAGGATTTGTACAACAGTCTTATTGTACTTGTATCTCCTTGATTACTATACTTGCTTCCTACTCATTTCAATGTTGATACTTAAAAAGAAAGTTGTAGATCATCATCAAAAATGTAATGTAGATGTAGGAAAAATCAGTTTTTAGACTACTTGAAATCCCTTCTCCATCAACACTAGACCGTCTACATACACTGCAATGTGAAGCATTTTATCTTTACTTTACACATTCAAAATTGATATGTAGAATAAGAAAATAATACAAAGCAAAGATTTTTGAGACAGGAATACAACTTTACATAACAATTACTTGATGCTTGCTTAAGTCCATAGAATGCTATTTTCAACAAGCACATCTTTCCACTTAAAGCAATGTAATCATGAGGTACATCCATTTGCATATTCTCTTTCAAAACTCCGTTGAGAAAAGCAGTCTTGATTGTACTAGAATCACTAGCATCACACACCAATGTACGTGGTTCATCTCCATATGAGGCTAGGTCCACGGCCAAGATAAAATCTTCACTAAAGCAAGAATGTTACATCAATCTTCCATAGCTCAACTCTCCATTCTCTGCATGCGAAACTAAAGTGAAAAGTGCTCATACTAGGGTTAAGTATCTCAAACCCTAACTAGAGAACAAACCCAACTACTATTAACAAGACGCGGGTTAACCTTACATTGATATCCAATTGATATACTTCTCTAGATCATTCTCACTCGCTAGAGCTAACAATATTGTGAAGCAGCTATACCTTACCTATGTTGATACTACTTTAAAGTCATTAATGCTTAGTATTTTGTAATATAACCCTTGCTAACAAGCAAGATTTGTGCTTGAAAATCTCTTCAAGGTTTCGTATCTTGAGGTTGAAGATCCACTTGCATCCTCCAGTACTTACTTCTTGTGGAAGATACGTCATTTCTCCATGTCTGATTCTTTTCAACAGATTTCTTCACTTACTTTATAATGTGTTTGCAATTCTTCTCGTCTATTCTATTGCTGTTTCATCATACTCAAAAGTAAATGTAGCATCCTCCATGACAACACCATTCTGAATTGAGACATGGACGACCTTTGTAACAATCTACAATCTCTTTATTTGAAAATAATGGTTGTTAGATCGACTAGAAAAAGCTCCATGTGCCTTCGCAGAATTACCATACTCAAATATTTTTAGGAGTCTTTTCATGCCCTACGGAAATAAAAAAATGTTCGTAGAGCATGAAAACATCAAATCCCTTGCTTATCATCCAACTTTAACGTCAGGTGGTGGTGCCACACGAAGGGGTTCATGTCCAGGGGCGGAGCCAGGATTTTTCCGGTGGGGCTCCCAGCCAGGTATTTACGTATCGCCGCAGGCGTTACGTAAATATTTTTCTCGACCGCGTTTCCACAATCTGTAGCTCACAATCTGCAGAACTTTCCTGGGCTGAAGGGGGCGTGCCCCCCTGCCCCGCCTTAGCTCCGCCCCTGTTCATGTCTGCGATATCATCCATAAAGAGGAGCAGTGCAGGTTTTCTCGTTCGACGCTGTCGAACATCCAAAGACGAAACTTTAAAAAGCTCTGATGTGTGGATCTTGCCCGAATCATGAACGTGACAGATTGATTGGATGCGTAACATCATTGCCCGGGCTGGTCGACTCATCTGGCAGGCTCATCGATGCCCGCCCGAGTGTCGTGTATGCTCACGGGTCGACTGGGACTGGAAACCGGAAATTAAAACGGCCTTCTTCCAGATTCATCAGTCGTGGATTCTCATCTGTGTCTACGTGTACACCATCCGCTGGCCAGATCAGATCAAACATCAGCCAGGTCAGATCCAGCTGGCGTGATTTCAACTTCCACTGTGTACTGTGTTCCTAGCACCCCATCATATGCGGGTGGTAACCTTCCTTTACACTTGCTGGACCCATTCTTTCTTAGAAATCCACACAATGTTTTACGCATGTCGTTGCTCTGCGATACCACTTAGTCCCAGTTTGATAATTTGATATATTTGGGATGATCATCATTACATAAAAAGAAATTAAAAGTCTTATAGAAGAGGCATCTCTCGTGGGAATCAAGGTATGGAGTTGGCGATGTAACCGCATCCACTTGTCCACGATGTAGCCGCATCCACATCCACCATCCAAAACCGAATGAAAAGATGGGAGGGAGGGAGAGCTAAACTCGCTATTGACAAATACCAAACAATGTCTTGAACACAAGTCTTCGATGTCTCCTAATGCGAATGTTCAGGAGGAAGGGGTGAATACCTCGAGGTCTAGAACAAGTGTCACCAATCCAATGCATCTTTCTCTCGATGACAAAAGCGGAGGTTTCAGTCGTATACGTTGTATCTAATATATGATACACGATGAATGGGAACAAGATTCAATGTTTGTTAAATAATTACTATTTTATTTATCGTATCATACAACGTATCAGACTCTAGCAAAACTATCTCATGCAAGTGGAATAAAGATACAAAGTTCATGCGGATTTTTGCCTCAATAATGATCTCCCAACTTCCTCTAGCGTGACGTTTAGAACAACATGTGTCGTGTAGCATGCCAAGTGTATTTTCCACATATGTATATATTTATATATAGAGAAAATATATAGACGTCTACGTATATAGAGGTCACCCCACATAGTCCTTGGGGATGTGAGGGTGTGCCATCTCCCTCCACACGGCAGGCAGGCAGGACCACCCTCTCCAGCAATGTCATAAGTTAATCTCCAATGTCATTTTTTATACTGACCCTAAAGCTTAGGGTCAATATTAAACGTGCCTAAACCCTTGGCGGTTGCTAAATGAACCCCGAACCCTACCTCTAGCCTAACGAATGGAGCTCGGGTTAACAGAAAGAGAGGTTCCAAATGCGGAACAGAGTGAGAGCGGTCTTTCAGTCCAGCACAGGATCAAAGAGAGGTTCCAAATGCGTAACAGAGTGAGAGCGGTCTTCCAGTCCAGCACAGGATCAAAGATTCGGGTCGTGCACGTGATCACAAGCCGTCGAAGATTTTCAAACTAGACAAACGCACACGTTGGCCCAACACCGGACTGCCGTCACATTTACCGTTCGCCGGTGTGCGTTATAGAGAGGCGCGTGGCGCGTCTCCTAGACGTGCCGCGTCTTCACGCCAGATACTTGTCGAGCTTGAGCTGGATCGAGTTCTTTCGGTGCCGTGCCCGGCCCGAGCCCGAGGCGACGATGCTCCGCCACTGAAGAAATGCCACTGAGCGTGAAATCGACGGAATTTGATTTGCACTGCGGCGATTTGTGGTCAGAGATATCTGCTCCAGAGACTGACTCCGAGAGCGAACACTCTCGCTCGTTTGTAGTCTCGGATTGCCTTCTTGATCGATCGATTGATTCTCGATAACTTTCATTCCCTTTGTGACACCTTGTGCATTCTTGCACCTCCTTGTGCTTTTCGATCTCACCTTTAATTTGACTTCTTGGCCTCTCTCCCTCTTTTTTTTTTTTCTCTCTCCAGATGATTTCTCTTATCCTAACATCAGTGTGGATCAGTGGAGTGGAGTGGAGTGGACTTCAGATTTAGTTTCAGTCTTCCCTGATCCTCACATCCGGCCTCTCATTTAAAGGCCTTTACACTTCTCTTGACTTTTTTTTTTTGGAAACAGGATTTCAGTACTACGTGGCCTTGGCCGTGGTCAATGTTACACCCAGCGACGGTGCTCTTTTCCACTGAGAAGCCTCTGCCTTCCGATGCAGATGCGACTACACATGTCATTTTCTGGGAGTCGTTTTGACCACATCTGGCGCATAGTAATTCCAGGCGTTCTGGACTTTGAAGCGGTTCTTCTGAATCTGAAGATTGCAAAGTTGTTATGGTTTCGAGAATTTTAGACGATATAAATCATCAGATAGAATCCGGTGGATGTTTCAGGCGATGATATTACTTAAAATCCAGTGCTTGACAGTCCCGATCAGAAGCAGCGACAAGTGATTACAACTGGTGACACATTGAGGTCTGCCACGAATCTCATAGACTCACTAGTAAGCCATAGAAGAACCAAATTACTTCTGGCACTCGCCCAGTGACGAGCTTGTGAATTAACAAACACGCATGATCTTCACTTTCCAGGTGTATGAAGAAGGTGTCACCGACACCTTCTGCATGCTTGAAAGCGAAACCTACGGCACTAATCAGCTCTAGTACTCAGAAATAATAGCGCGAGAGTGAGAGTGAGAGAGAGTCTCCTTGGGAGTTTTGACCAGCAGAGGACTGCGTAATGGTATTAGTAGGACGCAATCGGTGAATCCCGGAAGTTGACAAAAAGCGTCAACACGGCAACGAAGATTCGGTGACGTTATCTTAGACCTCATCCGTGTCAAAGTTCTCCCAAACCTTAGAATGAAGAGAGGAAGGAAACAAGGTATAACATAGGAGCGATGACCTGCTCCAACGACAAAGTATCAGGTTAACTCCAAGTGATCGAATACTCCAATCATGCAAGTAAGGGGACTAATTTTAGCGAGAGCCCCCACGGGCAGGGAAAAAGATTCTGCCATATCACGGCTCTGCCGTAGCCCCAGAAACATGCAACCAAGCGGATGCTTGACTTCTCACCGGCAATCCCAAGCCCAAGGGACCCGAACCAGAGCCAAAGACGCGAGACGCTGCGTTACAGGAATCTCGACATGTGAAGTGTTCGGCGTCTGAGCCAGTAACAAGGGATACGCAGAATCGGAGAATCGAAGACGCCAGTTATCCTCTGCATCGGGGGAGAACGAAAGCAGGACTAGGAGGTGGTCCTGCGTCTTATAGTTGCGTGAAGCGCAGGGTTGCGTGACGGCCGGCGTCCGTGATTGAATTCTAGTCAACCACGCCTCTGCTCCGCTCCCTTCTTTTCTCGTCTGTACAGAACGGGAGGTCTTAACGCTAAGCCCGCATTTCCATGTTTGCTCATTAATCCATTTGGGGTCGAGAGCAGCCCCGGTGGGGCCAGCCCAGGTGAAGAGCTCATGGCCAGTTGCTGTGGAGTGCAAGAAATGCACTTTCTCAACCAACCGCAACTTTTAAGTGCACTGAACGTCAAACTGCCTCGCTCCCGAATCGGCGGAACGGTCGAGCCTGAAACTGCCCCACCCCGGTGCCCCTGCCCCGCTCTGCCGCTCTCTTTTCGCTCGACTCTTGATTACCGATCGATTATTATCGCATCAGGATGTTATTGTTCATGTATTCACCGATACGCACGTTGCTACTGAATCTGTCTCTCTCCCCTTTTCGTATTTATAGTTAAAGCAGTTCATCGTGGGCTTCTTTTCTTTTCGTTGTTTATTCTCTTCCCAACTCCATTCATCCCTCCCTCCCTCCCTTCCTCCCTGGCGGATTGCTGGCAGTTGGATCTACCCGAGACCTGCTCCCTCCGCCTCACTGTATATACGATTTCATCACTTGTGCATCCATTCGTTCGCTCGTTCGTTCATTCTTCGTTAGTTCGTTCCCGATGAACTAACCTCGTTTGAACGAGGCTGTAAAGATTCTATTGAAGTTTGAACAATAATTGTTAATAAATCCGGTACAGTGTAGAAGTGTACAGAGTAGAAGAATGGCGGCAGTCTCTTTGTGTCAGCCTCATGGGCTCGTGTCTGCACTTCCTGTGAAGAAATCATCCAGATGGCGCGGGTTCAGATCCAGAGAAATATGGGAAAGGTCTCAGAGCGGAGGTCCCATCAACTCTTGCACCGACATCATCAGCTCAGCTTGCGTCGCCAGCCCCGCCAATTTCAAGCAAGCAGCCACGAGACGAGCTCGAAACGCCTCCTTGTGCAAAAGTTCTCACTCGGCTGGAAACGCTCTTTCCTCTGGTTTTTGGTCCTCGGACGACGTCATTAGGAGATTGCGCCGGAGTAAGAGTGTTGGAAGTTTACACTCCAGCTCGTTGACCTGCTATCCTCAAGTGGTACGTCTCCGTCTCTCTCTCTCTGCAGACAGCTTGGATTCTGAATGTGTTTAGAAATTGGGGGATCCCATTGCCATGCTATCAAATCCATTACGGACGTTGACGAGTGATATATCCCTCGTTATAGCATGGAGGGTAATAACGTCCTTCGTATCATGTCACAAGTTGCATATCACACGATTTAAAAATTGGCACCTGCACAAACGGATTGATGCACAAGTATTCAACGAAAGAGAGACTCTCTGACAGGGAGTTCGTCGACGGAATCTACCACTGAATTGAGTAGAAGCTTTCGTCCGAGTACAGTTGATTTGGACAGCTGTTTGCATCCAAGTGTACGCCTCTTTTCTCAGCAGAAAGCTCCGAAATCAAGATAACCTTCTCTAATGCCTACTCCTTTCTCCACGATGCCTTGTGTTCCATTCCGTGGTACACAAGCAAGACAACGTTGCATGATGTTGAGAACCTAGAGGCAAGCATGTGGTCACAAAGCTTCTCTACCAAGCAGACCCGTCTAAATAGCACATACTCGAATACCAGAAAACAACGAGAGGAACATTGATGCATGCGATTTTCTCGCTCTTGGAGATAAAATTGATCTTTTGAGAAGACGCACGAGCCTAATCTAGTTCTGGACTTCGTGAGAAAATTCGAAAGGCATAATTTTTTCTGACGAATTCGAGAGAAGAATCGATGCCTTTCGACTTTTCTCTTGTTATCGTCATGTATTTGGACAGGACAGCTTGTCAAATCTTGGTCTATCCATGATTTCATGATCTGATGGAACAATTTTAATCTCATGCAGGAGGCTAGGTTATTTGGCCCAGCTATATTTCAGGCAGCCAAGCTGCGCGTGTTGACATTGGGAAGAGAAAGCAAGAAAGGTCCTTCTGAGGTGGTCGAGCCTCCTCGTGTATATACCGTGACACATAGTGATCTTACTGCTCATTTGACCTTGGCCATAGCCCGTGAGATCAACAAAACTCAGGTACAAATGGAAGTTTATTACAAAATGAATTGTCTAGTGTTCCATGTTTTGAGATTTGGCACATGTTACCAGTTTAGATAGTCTATTTCAGATCAGTTGAAGTGAGAAATAAATTATAGAAGTTTCTATTTACCTCTTTGGTTTTGTTAAATTGGGAGATCAGCTCTGATTTTCTGGCCTGCGTTGTCTGATTTTTCTGCAGTTTATGGGTTGGTACAGTCAGTTACAACGAGATGAGGTGTTAGCAGAGTGGAGAAAAACCAAAGGTGTCCTATCACTGCACGTCCATTGCCACATAAGTGGCGGCAACTGGCTTCACTACTTTATAGCCAAGCTCCGATTTTTCATTTTTCAGAAGGAACTGCCCATGGTACGGATTAGAAACTCCAGTTCTATCATTGACAAGGAAATTGTTGTGTTCCAACTTCTTCATATTATATGTTCGTGGGACTCTATAGTTTGTCATATCTACAAAAATCAATTGAAAGATGGTTATGTCGGGATTTTTAGTTCTGTACGCCACTATACAGGAACTCTCGCCATCTATCAGAGATTGGTAGAATTATAGCTTCCTGGCAAACCCAAGAAATTTTGAATCATCCTGTGATCTGGTAGTTTCTGGGGTTTGTTGCACACCCGCAGATTCAATTGTTCAGTAACGCGAGCTGCTCTATTTCCGAATGAATGTTGCAGGTACTCGAAGCCATCTTACATGGAGACACTGAATTATTCAAGAAGCACCCAGAGCTACAAACTGCACCTGTGTATGTGTATTTTCATTCGAATGTAGAGGAGTACAATCGCTTGGAATATTGGGGACCTCTAGTTGAAGCTACTAAGGTAACACATTCTTTCTCTCACAGTAATCAACTGGATGCAAAGAGAATTTTTTTCGAACTTCTTTTTGTATTTCTTCTCATACTCCAAACCTTTAATTCTACCATTTTTCTATGTCTTCTTACCTGCAGAGACCACCGCAGATGGGCAACACCCGAAAAGCTCTTGACGACTTAAGGGAACAGCTTTTGGCAGATGGAACGTGTGTGGATCCATGTGAATGTTGTTCTCGTCATGAGACGGTTATGCCTATCCCAGACTCTCTGCGAAGATATTTTGGTTTTAAAGACACTCAAAAACAGGAGCAACAACTATAACACCGACCTCCAATGCAACTTCCTTCAATTCTGAGGCCGAGCTTATGTATATGGTAAGAGTAGTTGTCCCATTAATTTTTAGAATGGACGATTATTTCAGCACCTCGGGAAGGTCATAAATCTGACGACTTATCATCCTTGAATTCCGTCAAAAGATCTTCACAAGCGTAGATATGCACTAACCAACTCTGCTCCCATTCTTTCACCAATGATCCACAAGGTTTTGTATAGTCCCGGGACGGTTATGTGGACCGATTGACGATAGATGATGACGAAAGTAGCCGTAGGTCTTCGAAATGACATATATCGAATTCTTGTTGTGACCAGATTAGTGAAGTAAGATACAGAAGTTACATATATATGCTACAATTGGTTATTGTCAATGATTAAGGGGATTGGTACGGGCTGGAACCTACAGAGTCACGTAGGTGTAATTCGACCCTTGTACACATATAACGTTCATACGTAGAACTTGTACAGATTGTTACAGCCAAGTGGCTGATCGTAAATGTAAATCATGTAGATTTGTACAGAAATCGAGTTGTTATACTGATTGTAAACTCGTAACACCGCTAAGCCGTCTCTCAAGACATGGGTAAAATTTTTGTTACATGTACTATAGATCTGGTGTTGATTATCTATCCTCTGGAAGCGTTTGACACGAAGATTATCACGACTAATTTGGCCTTGAGCTGCTTACGAGATACATACAGTCCATCATTCCTACGTATATTCTTCAATGTGTATTTGAAACAGGTGATCGGCTATTTGACCGCGGCACAGAACTGCCTTCCTGCTGGGTTTATTTTTATCGTTTGATATCATTGGAAACTATGTTACTTGCCTGTTTAACAATATGTATTACATACATATGTTATTGCCTGTTTAACGGATGAGCATTACATACGTGTTCATCATTCGCTTGTACATTACTTGTATGGATATATGAAGAAATATAGAACTATTTAAAGAAATATGTAACTCCGCACTACCCAGGTGTGGAAGCAAAAGACAACGTCAACTTGATATCTCGTTTAGTACCGTGGCATGTGCCAAGCCCTTGTCAAACACACCATATCGATGTTGTAACTCTCATATCTCACGCTAACACTAATCAATCGAAATATTTGATTATATGATTATGAAAGAATTTCTAACGACTTCCGTTGGAACTTTTGCCTCGTAGTTTGTGAATATTCATGTTTGATGATCTCTCCTCAACTGTTCTCAACTCCACTATCACCGAAGTCAAGTAAAGAGAAAGAATCATCATCGTCGAAACTATGTAAAAGAAGTTTATGGTGAAAATTGATTTGGTTTCCGTGACTCAATGCCCTCTCAATGTTAATGCTGAAATTTCTTATCATCTGCTGAAATTATCCACTCCAAGCCTTCAACAGAGAAATAATGTAAATTATATAGGGATGGCTACGTGAAGTTGTGTAATCCCCCTTAAACACACCATGAATAAAATTGATTCATGAAATCATTCAACTTCGTGAAAAGTTAAGTTCGGACAGCATCTAAAATGCCTTAGTAATTAATACGTATTATGGGCGTTCTATAACAAGGGTGAGACTTCAACTCAACTTGGACATTTTCTAACACCAAACTTTCTTTCTTGCTTGTTAACAATAGACGTTTTCTGCACTTTACCATTGGAGGAGACTCGATATCCTACATAATGTAAAGAATAAGACCACAGACGGGCCATGTCGTCCGGTATAAGGTACTTCAATCTGTTTCTCTTTGTAACTGATTGTGTTTGCAAGCATTGATTCCTGAGAGCACAAAGTGGTTGATATGAGTACGAAGCTTGCTATTGTCAAGATTCTTGATGAGGGACAGAGCATTGAGGCTGTCGCTAAATAAGTTCAGCATTTCGAAAGTGACAGTCCAGGCTGCTAATGAGAGGAGATACTCGATACTCAAACAAGCAGAAAGCAATTGCTCCTTTTAAAAAGTTGGATGGCTTCAAACATAGAAGCAGCAAAACAATGCTCTTTCCTATAAGATCAGCGGCATATCTGGAAGTATTGATTTTGAGCGCGCTGAACAGTGGAGATCTTCTAAAACACTGCTGATTTTCTGTGATCTACAAAAACGTGTTTAATGTATATGTCACCTGATTTTTCTTTTCTGCACTGCCGGATTCAACTTTCAACTATGTCGAGCAGTCGCACAATGCATTGGTGGGAAACAAGGAAAAGATCGAATCATTGTGCTTTTGACGTGTTCTGCATTGGAAGAGTTATTGCCGCCGTGGAGAATTTGGCAAATCGAAGAATCCAAGATCACTTTGTGGACAAGATATGGGCAAATTTCAAGCAAACTTCCAGCGCAGTCATTTTATTATTGGTCGTCACAACTGTAAGTAGCTTAGGTCATATTTATCCAATTTCCTATATGTCCGACGATCCGCATATGTGTGCTTAGTTTTTTCGTTTTTTACATAATTGATAAAAAATTTAAACATATTCGGGTTAGAAAGTAGTCATACAGGTCCTAAGTCGTAGGAGTTAGAAGAAGTATGGGGAATTTAGCTAGACGGAGATGGAAAGTAGGATTTGACTTCGGCCGAAAATCTTCGGACCTTCGGCGCAGTCATTCTAGAGGATGCAAGATCCAGGTCTTCGGCGAAGACGAAGAAGATCAATTTGAATTCGCGAAGGACCGGTCAAGGTACGTACGCGCTGAGGGTACCGATTCGCGCGCAAGAGGATGTTAGGGCATCGAGGGTAAGGGCATGACGAGTACATTCGCGCCGACATTGCAATATTGAGCGAGAACAGAAGCGAGAGCTAGAGAGAGTGAAATCGATCGACCTTGATAGCAGCGAAGACGCGATTTGAAGATATGGCACCCCCAAGACGCCCAAGGTGCAGAAATTGGTTCCGTTGAAATTAACTTACGAGAAATTGCGGCCCTTTAGGCGAGAGCTCAACGAATTAAATCTAGATTTCCTCTTGTGGAATTGGAATTGCGTATCGGCCAGTATTTGTAAGGAGATCATGGACAAGAATCGGAACAAGGGAGAGGATCTCGGAGACAACCCGATGTTGTGGACGGTGCAGCATTGGACGAGAGTTCTTGGGCCATGCGCAGGAGACGACGGAGATGTTATGTTCGAAAAAGATAGCGTGAAGATAACCCGCACAGAAGAATTTTACTTTCGTTCCTCTCTTCCGGAACGCACGATCAGGAACAAATGGATGGAAGACCGCAAATTACAAGGATCCGAAGAGACGTGCAATTGCTTTGGGGGTCATGCACATACTGCAATTGCAGCGCACGACTTATGTCACTGCTTGGTAGGTTGGCTTCTTCGAGCGCGTCTTGAAGGGAAGTCGAGTACATTGGGCGAGGATATTTCATGATCTAATTTGGGTCAATGTGAGTGCCCGATGGTAGGTGCGATTGGTTAATCACCTAACCCCTTACATAATGAAAATCTATCGGGGATGGAATTACTCACGAAGGAGGAGAAGAAGCGATTTCTGAAGGAACGTATTTATACTGGAGTCGTGGATGGCAGAGATTGAAATAGCGGGAATCAGGCAGTCAAGAACTTGAGGTAGGCCGAAGAAGAAAGCGAATCGCGGGATGGTTGTGATAGATTCTTCAAAAAGCAGTGTGAAGAAGACGGATGCAGCGGCTTTAGCGACAGACAGAGAAGAAGAATGAGTCTACTCTTTAAGTGTTGGAAGGAAGACCTTCGGCGGTACCAGCTGAAGTCCCAACAAAGGTAGGAGTGGAACCTTTGGAGGAGAGGATGAAGACAGCTAGTCCAAGTTTTCTATCTTCGGAGCTAACGCGATTTGTGGGAAGTGAGTACATCAGCCAAAGACAAGTAAAGAGCTAGCGAAGGAACTCACGCTAAGCGAAGCGATACTTGAGCAGATTGTTGCGCAGGTTGGAGGGACGGTGGGAGACTTACTGAAATTCCAACGCCGCCATCACTTGAGTAAGAAGTGAGATCCGAGGTAGCGGAGAAGACTTCGGAGGTGGAACCGCAAGAGTTGGAGTTTACTTTTCCTGATTTCTTGCATTACAGTGTAGTACATTTATTGAAGTATCTAGATAAGAAGAGAGAAAAGTATGTTGTGAGGAGAGAATCAAGATCCTATGTAGAGATGGTGAGGGATAGAACTTAGCTCATGAGGGCAATGGTAGTGAAGAGGGAACGGGATTCTGTAACAGCAATGGCGAAGGAACGAGTTGCAAGCTTGACAGCCGAGTGTGCGATCACGAGGGCGACATTGCAAGAACAAGAAGACCGACTTCGAGCGAAGGAGATGAAATGCGAGGTCCTACGACTGAACTTGATAAAGGAGTTTGAACTTCGTGCGACATTGGAACAAGATTGTAGTAGTCTTCGGACCGCCAATGAGAATGTACAAAAGGTGACAGTGTAGTTGTGCGAAAGATTAGAGTCATCCAAGGGAGCCTACGCCGCGGAAGTGCAACGTGTGGAGGAATTGATTGTGGCGGTAGAAAAACGTGATCAGTTGCACGCCAAAGAATTAGCTAAAGCGGAAGAGCGAAGAGCCGAAGAGGCACGGATCGCCAAAGATCTTCGGGGACAGATTACTGCGACGAAAACAATATAAGAAGAACTTCGGAGTAGGATCGCTGAGCTCACGAATGATCGTGACAAGGAGTTTAAACGCGCGGAGTAGCTTACGGAAAGTCTGGCGAATATACTCCGGAAGCACGACGGCGAATTGACGGATTAGCCCAAGAAATTGGCAGATTGTGAAGCGGTCGGATGAAAACTAAGGTTCGAATCGGAGTGCGGACGGTTACGGGAGCAGATGAAGTTAGTTACTATGCAACTGGAGGAAACACAAGCGAGAGTGGAAAAGGAGGAGACAGCACACCAACAGTTGCGGGACGAAACAACCGACGAATTGCGATTGCGTGTTGAGCGGTGCCTGTGCGGATTTGCCATGTGGGAATTACAAACGGCTAAGTGGCTGAAGTTAGATTTGTTGGAGCGATGTTTGACGACTGCTAAGGCGAGCGGATCCGCGGTGCACAAGCAATTAGTAGAGTTAGTTAATTCTTTCTCTTCGGGATTGGAAGAGGCTCGAGAGAACATAGACATAAAGATTGTAAACATTTTGCGTAGGTTAGGAGCCAACGGAAGCTCAGAGGACGCGGTAACCGCTGCGTCGGATGGCACCGCACCTGAGAGTAGTTCGCCTTATGCGGTTGAAATGTCTAGGCTTTTCTGTCAATTGGCTTGTCTTGGCTGTCAATCTGTATCCACTGTGCGTGCCTGTGTGTTTGTGTGTGATCTTGTGCAATTCTGAGAAATCTGCAATTCTGACAAATTTCCCCTTAAATCATAGTGTGGGGTCCAAGGCAATTCTCGCAGGTGTTGTTTGGAAAAATTTCAGGCTGTGAGTGTGAGAATACTTTGCTCTTTGGGCCTTTGGCTGTAACTGAGCAATGTCTTCTGGGAATGACATTGGCCTAAAAAGTAAAATTATTCAATAAAATGTTAATTCGTGACAAATCATGACTCTTGGTGTTGCATCTGTCACTGTGGTAACTAATCTATACCATTATGCTTCACTTTGATATTTGTTGATTATCACAACATATTCCATATGTTTTTTACTATTTGTCAATTTTCACTTTTTTCAAATTTATGTTGGTAACTGGAGATATTGCCATTCAATTATTTTGAGGGTGCGAGGGAGATGGACTGATGTTATACTTATTGATAAATTTTGGATTTACGTGCATTTAGTCAAGTAAAGCGGCTACTATAGCTATGTTCATAAATCGCATAAGTGCTTTTGGATAAGCTCTCGTGGATCCGATCTTCAATCAGCACTCGAAGGACGTTCGAGGAATATCTGAAGGAAAAAGGAGTAAGATAATATGCATTTCTGGATATCGCTCCTGTGCTTATTGTTGATGAGTACATCATTTTCAAAAACGTCGACGTCATTCATTTGGCCTGCCGATGCGGGAATGATTCGAGCTCTGGAGGCTGTTGTGCGGAATAGTGAGGTGTAGTCCACATTGTTCATTATCAGCGTTTCACTTCACATACAAATACCCCTTTAAATCAAATCTAATCAAGTTTGTTGACAAACCATGTTTCATGTTGATAACTAAAACAGGCCACAAGTGATTTATAGTTGCTCCCTTGTTAACATCGGAGAAAAGTCTGAAGAGATTAATAGACTGCCATTAGAAGCGATTAGAAGCGCTGGTAACGTCTGCAGTTACATTAGTTGTATAAAAATCCAATAGTGTCATACAATTACATACTTAACAGAGTTTCAGGTTGCTATGGAACAGTATACTACTGCAACATTGGTCGAGGAGCTCACCGAAGTGGCCCGTGACGTCGAGGTAGAAGGAATAATCGTTTGATGTGAGTATTTGGTGCGGTCCGACTACCAGTCACTTTTCTCTAATAAGCAAGAGAGATGGGTTACTGTCTGTCTTATGCTCATCTCATTCATTGTTCACTTGACAGATAGATCAATTCGACTTGTATGTTAGATATTTACAGAGCTATTCAAATTACAAACTACTGCGGATTGAAAATCTACGTCTGTAGTATGAATATGAACTCCACAGTAGGGTGTAAACAACCCTGCCAGATTCACTTTACCTACAAGGCAGATTACTCTGGGCGGAGAGACACGATGCATACAGACTAGTCTGCGCTGATAACTGTATTTATATTGTCACATTCACACTCTTGAGCAAAGACACTTTGATTTCCTCTTACTTGCTGAGAATTTGGGACAAAATTACACATTTATCTCCAAGCTAATGGCATGTGGCAACTTGTAAAATACACTTCTTCATTCATGAAGCATGCAGGTCCTGCTGTAACTTTCGGTGAGAACGTAATCTAATGTTCGGTATGTTACGGGGTAAAGTGTTTTTGCCTCGCTCTGTGCTCCGATTCAGGTTCAAACCTTCATGCGAGATCACTGCAGAACGACGGGTAAGTTTAGAGAAATGGTCTGCGACTAATTCGATCATCTTTCGCGACTCCATTGACAACCGTCAGGACTGTAAACGTCGCAGTGCCTCCGACGGTAAGCACTTCAATAGACTGCTAAATGTCGTACGCCCATAGCCAATGTGAGGAATCCACCACATAAACGAAGAGAGAACTGCAGTCTCGATCATATATTCTATTTTCTAGTAACTTGTCGTGAATGGTTTTCTGTCCGCGCCACAGCGAAACCGGGGGGCCAAACTGGGACACTACCGTTCATTTAAAATAAGGCAACTTCCAACAGCGCAGGGATCGAGTTTCACCAATTGAAATATTGCCACTCACGGATACTGACCCCAACAATATCGACGACAACCTTCACGTGTGGGCCTGCTACAATCTGACACCACGCCTCCATCACTGGTGCACATTTGGCGTTCGTTCAGTTCGTTTCACGTACATTTCTACCAGACATGCATTTGATGCGTTCGCAGCCCCCGGTCATACATGGTCTTGCATCAGAACATACCTGATTTACTAGAGCTGAAAACTCCGCTCTGGAAACTCCGGGTGGGTGATCTTCGTGGACTTCGAAAACAGTCAACGACGTACAACAGACTCGGGATTCTCCAAAACTGGAGATCGAGAGCGTGACGAACACTAGCAGCGTCTCCATTGCATTTAGGTACGTGAAAGTTTGGATAACCAAGCCTCAAGCTCCTTCAGATCTTTAAAGCTGAGCTCAAACGCCCAATCGCTACCTCCCGGATCATTTTACAAGTCTTAAATGTACAAAGTCCGCACGATACACATTGTTTGCACAGAGATTACTCCCAACTGCCCTCAAAGTACTCTAACATGAACGACGGTGCTAGGAAGCCTAAAACTCCATAACCTGTACCATAACGACTCCACAAGGTATCTACACATCTACTGTAAGATTCAAGCCGTCCACCCCTCATGTAACTTCTTTACAAGGACGGGCACCTGGTCAAGTTGCTCTAATCCCCGTGGTACAGCTTTACTTGCCATCCAACGGTCCACCCTCCAAGGCGTTGAAAATATCAGTTCTAGTTACAATCCCTGGAAAACATGACAATGAAACAGTATTAGTTCCGTCCTGTTACGGCTGCTATCGTCTGCACGTACAAAAACTGCGGGTGAAGGTTCACTTCAAAACCGGCAGTGATGCTGGCAGATAGCAACAAGATTGAAATTCGATATGCTCACAAAATAACAAGTAACTATCATTCTTACTTACCGACAACTTGATTGGTAGAATTCACAATCGGTATGCGATGAATTTTGTTCTTCAGCATTAAAACCGCAGCATCTGGGCACAGAATAAAGAAGATCATTTAGTGCCGACAGACAGGATCCTGCTGCGTGACACCGTTTGAAGCTACAATCTAAGTCAGACACATCTAAATTTGGGCTTAAAGGTAAAATCGGTACCTGAGACGGTCTTATCAGCAGATAGAGTAATTGCAGGTGTAGACATGACATCCTTCACTAGGCTTGAGTCCTGCTACAATACACTTCCGTGGTCAATAGCATGCCCTCAATGCTTCAGCTTACAACTCACGATCCCTACGATTCTAGAGGAAAATGAAGTACATAAAAGCTCAACGACTTCTCGCGCATAACACTGTACGTACCCCATCCTTTGCCTTACTTCTGTCCTTTCTGGAAAGGACGCCCACACACTCCAAATTGCTGTTCACTACCGGAAGACCTGAAATCTGGTTAAAAAAATGAGCGACTTCGGACAACTTCTGCTCCGGGTAGGCAGTGTATATGGTCTTCGACATGACGTCGGCCAAAAAGGATCCTGGCTGGGCCTGCAACAACAAGACACAATCAGAAATTGAGACGAATCCGAGTATACACTATTGCGCTGGCCGTGAATCAAAGCAAGGAGAACCCATCACATGCATTGCTCCTCGAGGCACTGCGCCTTCACTCATGTAGCACAACCACGCGGAGGGAGTAACCACAAGCCGGTCGTCCTTGCATAGCTTGTGAGAGGAGCCCAAGCCCTTGATTGGGGTTTGAGATAAGAAGAATCGGAGTCTACATAGATCTCAAATATCGATAGTTTGCCAGACCTGAAGGATTGAAACTCCAAAACGAAGTTTACGAATATGATATTACCAATGCTGAATGCGGTATTCAGTGGTTGAAAACTCAAAAACATGAAAAAAATGGGAAGTTTCGAAGGATGGAGAATTAAAGAATCCCAGACTTCCACTCGACTAACAGTGACTCCACAAGTTCTACATCAAAAAACCCATCACTTAGACACTACAACGTTTGCAGTCTCAGAGTTGGTAACTGAACAAGTAAACAATCTGCTGATCCCTTTATCCTAGACGGTTCCACGAGGGGAAGCGTGCAAGGAGCGTAGCATCAGTAAGAGGTCACAGAAGAAGACCGTGGCGACATTATCGCACACGGAGAAAAAGCAAGTCGATCGAGACTCCTGCAGGAAAGGAGTTGAGGCAACTCGAACAAGATTAGGTGGGAGACCAGACATCCGGCACGATACGAATCCACGAGAACAAAAATCACCTCTTCCTTGAAGAGCACGGGCTCATAATGCTTCAGCAGATCCTCGAAATTCAGCAACGAGAAGTTCTCCGGCCACTCGCCGGAGGGGAGCACATCGGCGTTGTTCTTGGCCTCGACCTCGACCTCGACGCCATCTCCGGCAGCTCGGACGCGGAACGAGCTGCGCCTCGCTGCTGCTCCTGCAACGACGACGATCCTGGAGTCGCCAGCACGAGCTGCGCTCCGCCACTGCGATCTCGCCCCGAGAAACCTCGCGGACCTCACCTCGCCATGGACTCCTTTTCCTGCTCCTCCCGCAGCCAAAGCTGCAATCCTCGCACCCGCTGCCACTGCCACCGCCATTTCAATTCCGCCCGACGCAATGTCTCGACGCGATGTCTCTTCTCGTCTGCTCGTCCGTCCGCGCCTCTCCCTCGCTCTCACTCAAACCCCAACGCATACAACTCCCGGGGAGCGTCCCGGCGCGCCTACTTACTCGCTCGCTCTCTGCTCCGCCGCGCCCCTCGTCGCCCGCGCCCCCGCCCCGGCGCCTCTATCTTTGTCCTGCTGACCAGTCCCGCGCCTCCAAACTTAGACCGCTCTGACACCCCGCCTCACCTTTACCACGCCCCATCTTACCACGCTTACCTTGCTACGCAGTCGGCGCGCTCGCTTCTCAAATCCTCCTTGCAGGTTATCATTGCCCTGTCTGCCGTATTTTGTTTGTCCTCGTCAACGTGGTTGATTACGTTGTCCGTATCGCCGTGCGTGTGTCACAGGAGAGGGAATTTAGACTGTGAAATAAGGGCCAATGCGTCGTCGAGCTTTATGAGCAAGGAATAAACCACGGGGATAAGATGGGGCTTGATCCAAAAGCATGAAAATGGAGAGTGGGTGTAAGATATTGTAATTGTCGTTTTTAAATTGGCCCATTTTCTGTAAGAGCAACCGCATAAATATTGATGTCTTATGTTATGTGTTACACCTCCCACTTTTGTTCCAGAGCAATGGGCTGATGTCTTGTGATGTTTTCAATACAATGTGATTGTCACATGCAGCAATTTTCTGATGAACATGTCAAGGTTATATAGTTTAGTATAGCTCAAGTAATAAAGAAAAAAAATGTTCATTCTGTAAATAAACTCTATTTTTCTCTAAGTCCTTATGAGACGATGTCTCGTGTAATCTTGAACCATTTTATATCCTGTGGAACCCGAGTTGTTACTGAACAAATACTGTATAAGTCTACACTAATTAGACTTGGCTACGCAATGTCATCTCCGTCGAATTGTTTAAAATCTTGTGAGCTGTTGATGTGCAGAGAGTCACATTAATCTAGCTGCATCCAAGTTGAAAGCATAGTCACAAAATATTATTGAATATGAAAGTTAAGGAGTTGAGCCAAACAATATTTCTTTGACTCTTCCATGAATACAAGACAAAAGCTTGGATTCATGTTCGAGTGGATATCTAGGCATATTTTATGAATAAGAGGATAAAAAAAATCTTACTATTTTTTATATTTGTAAAAACTTACAAAGCATACTTGTGAATTTTTCTGTTTTTTTGACAAATTTTATTTTTCAAAGTTTACTTGTGAGCAACATGCAATATCAACATATTACATGCAAATTATCATGTTACACATATAAATGAAAAAAAAATTGTGAAAAATTCTTAATCATAAAAAATTATATTCTTAATAATTATTTAAATAATCAAAAAAAATTGATAAGGTCATCTTAATTGGTTTTAGTATCAGATTTGTAGATCCAGAGATCCACAGACAACCGAGCTTATATTGAGTTGTATTTTTGAACAGCACGATGCACGATACATACGTTGTTGCCATCCACTTTGCCTCCCGTTTGCCATACTGAGAAGATGCTCACGTACAGTACATTGACTCATAGTCATTACTCTCAAGGTCAGGTTACCGTAGGTACAGTACTGTACAGGATAATAGGAGAGAACAAACCAAACCCCTTAATTCTTGACGGGACCGACATACATAGAATACGGCACAGGCGTACGGCGTTAACCATCGGATTATAAAAGTAAACGGTGGTAGAGCAGCTTCAAGATACCGGACCTCATCCAAGATCTAGTCAGCATCGTAGTCAACTACGTCGAGTCAGCATGTAACCTGACAGATCCTAACCTAACCCTGCAGGGATGGGGATCTTCGAGTACGAATCTTACGTACTGTACAAAGTTCGCTTTCCTCCACCAGAGTTAGAAGATTAACCACGAGGGTTAGACAAATATCCTGTGGACCACCACCACCACCACCACCGGAAGGAAACCTGGTCGCAGTACGCGGCGGCCAACTGCGTCGTTTGTCCATGTTCGTCCTCCCACGTGCGGGTATCCGGGTGGGCCCACCTCGTGTTCGAATGGGCTGCTCGAGCTGGACGAGGTGGGACCGGCTTTCACGTGCTCGTGCTAAATATCTTTTCTATTAACCCTGCACCATTTCATTTTAGGGCCGTAGGGAAAAAGTGCAGGAAATATCAAATGTTATTTCCACGGCAGCTTCAAGTTACTCTGTACTGAGCGGTACATCCTTTCCACTCGTTCCTGATTTTTGCCACCCCCACAAATCATGGTGCACTGGAAGGCTTTATATTCCGCTTCGGAGAGTGCGCAGAGAATGATTCATCAGTGAATTTATTTTGGATCGCGGATTGTATTCTTTGTCCATTTTCATGCATTGTTCCTAAGGAACGGGGTTCGAAGTATAGGTCGAGGCCACCAAAGGAAATAAACTTCCCACTCGTGTAATCTCGGTTTTTTCGCTCTTTTGTTGATGTATTTCTGATAACCTTTGCCATTCTCATTTGAATATTACTGCACTCTTTACAATTTGCCTCGTTCTCCTCTTTCACATATTTCTAATTTTTTCTGACTTGCTGCAGTTTCTGTACTTTGATTTTGCTTCACATTCACATGTCAAGGCAACTAGTCCGGGAAGAGGCCCAAAGCTATCTATCACCCCTCTTATAAATAATATAATGTAAATCATTTATCATAATCTCGAATTTAAGTTGTGAGTCTCAACTTGAGACACGATCACAGTGTTTCCGAAATCTCAGCAAGTGAAGATAACAGTGCACAATACCGAGAATCCCATAAATGTTACGACATCCTTGACAATAATAGTACTGGCATGTGTAAATTCAACTGTACTGACTCTCCATGCCATGTCCACGACCAAAGCCACCAAATCCTATCAACTTCAGGTAGATACATTCCTCTGAACCGTGACGAGACAACTGTCGCGTTCAGGATTCTGAGGTGGAATCGAGTTCTCCGAATCCTGACCTGAAACTTGGACAGTAATTGAGAGATCGACAGGCTCTAAATGGTTGGTAGTCATACTGGTTCCATATAGCAAGGAATGGAAGAGAGGCTGGCTCGATGGTGGAAGGGTGGAAGGGTGGGTGGGTGGGCTGGACGATGAAGAATGTTTTGGATTGTCCGTGATTATCGACACCCCTGAAACCAGTTTCTTTGTCGTTGCTGCGAGACGGACTCTCTTTTGATGGATGCTGTGTTGGATAGTGACTTCACACCAGAGTCACGACGTTGCAGCTGCTAAACCAAAGTTCCTAACATTCTTACCTGAGACGAGCAGATTGATTTGTTTGAAGATTTGTATTGCTCTCTTTCTTCAAACGTGTGCGGAAGAATTAAGCTCGATTTATACTGTGACGTTCCACGTCCTCCGCTCGCCAGATAAGGTAGAGTTTGGGATTAACAATGCGGCTTCCAGGTCTATGAGGTGAAGGAATCGGACATGTAATCATTGTTCGCACAACATAATTTCTCCCACCTGCGTCTGGTGACAGCGACAATCGTAATAGTGCCTGTTCATCCTTGCGTGGAAAGTTTCGTCCGGCCAAAAGTGTGCATATTGCACTCCCGATGACGACGATCTGATTCCTTGGTTTTTCTTATCACAACATCTTGTGCTAGTTCCTAGTCATAGCTCTGATGACAAGATATGGATCAGATGATTTATGCAAATACGGGGTATGAATGACATGCGTGCTTCATCACTTACTAATTTGTTGGCCTATTATGAACTCTACAGTATCGCATTCTATGTCCTGTTATAGTTCTCCAGAGCTACCTCATCTAGGCTCGTGGATCTCAGGAGGTTAGAAGGCATCCTTCGGTGAGTTTCTAGCCTGTCAAAATAATGGACATTGGCATGATATCTGGTGGTTCTTATGCATTAACTGTCAAGACTAGTTCCACCATGGTCGTCACAACCAACGAGAACGCGGGTTTAAATTGACGAGAATGAATGCTCACTAGAAATATCGAAGTCTTGTACCTCCCCCTCCAATACTGATGGAAGACAGCTACGGTAGGACCTCGAGATAAGCAGACTCAACTGTATGGCAGGCCATCGAAGGAACGGAGTAGCGCATTAACGCATTCTTCTGTAGCTCAGAGGAGAACGCGACGTGGTGCCCGAGTGGACTTCACGTAGAGTCACAAGTTATTAAACTATAGTTGATAATTGGTCTACTGACATCTACCAAAAAAAATCCACGCTAGATAGCTTTTAAAAACTACCACATTTGTTTCCACATTCGGATTTGTCAATCCAGGACCGTGTTTACGTGAACCTCATGTGACATCTTTGTTATCATGTGGAAAATATCCTCGGGTCCAACTGCGAAAAACTCCATTATCCTGCTACCAGGTATATTTAAGCCGACATTTGACAAATGGTCCACCGTTGCGAAAGTGTTGCCGCGAATTGACAGTACTGACTCTAAACCTCGAAATTCAAAGAACAAAACGGCACTGCCAAACAGGACTTTGACAGAGATGTACACAACGATGAAAGTACAATACGCGTTTACATATATTGATGCAAAGTGGTGTCAGAAACGAATCACCAGATAGCTGCACTCCCAATTGAGCACATACTGCAAAATTGAGTGAGGAAAACTCACAGGTACACCCTTCTGGCATGACTACTGTTCAGCTTTCTGAAGTGGATGAAAATAAGAGGATGACCTACACGGATGAGCCACTAAGTTGGTTAATCATAATCGCCCATTGAGACGATGATGATTCAAACACAAGTTCAGAACTTGGTTCAGTATTTTTGTGAGTTTTCAATCGTATTTCTATCTTCCCTTTCATTTAGTTTCGGGATCAATCTTTCTCTAAAAATACATCATAAAGTACAAGTGAGTTTCTTCTAATGTCCTCAACAATCGAGTAGATGATGCTCAGAACGGTGAATTGTTTCGAAATATATGTTCCTAACGTTCTGATAGTACCGATTCAGTCCACGAAAGCATCAACTCCCGAGCGACATTTGGAATTCCTGCCAATTGAAAGAAGAAAGGAGATAAATTAGACATCAAGACGACCATATCAGATGTGGGAACAGTTGGAAAACAGTACTGCCAGTGGGGATCAAGAATGTCGCGCTACCTCGAATGATATCTGTCGCAACTGTTGCCGGGTCGAATTCTCCTTCAACCAGTCTATAGATGTCCACAACCTGGACATCATGCAAACAGCCAGAGTTAACACCATCAAAAGTCAATGGCTTAGTCAATCATACTTTTGCAATCAAAAGTAGAAAGAAAACGAAGTATTTCATGCGTACCAAGCGCTTGCTCACTTCATACAAAACCGTACCTCTTGTATATGTAATCTGGAGTCCTCTGTGAAGGCCAAAAGGAGCTGTCGGCGTAAAGCAGCGTCAGTCACCATAACGCGAGCACCATCTTTGATCGTGTCCGTCAGATCTAGCTTCCCACCGACAAACGTCTTCCTCCTCTCCCTGTTGTTTCTCAGACTGTGAAGACATAATGGAGCAGATAATGAGAATGAGAGGTACTCAACTTCCAAATGTGACTTCCAGTCAGTGAAAAGGGCATCATAACGCACCCAATCGTTAACCATAAAAAAGTAACAGGAATCAGTAATATTGAAATCGTTGTAACAAACTGTCGCTACAAACAGTGACCTGAACTCGTAAACGCTACGAAGTTCCTAGTTGGTAAAAGTTCGTGCATCGAGAAAGTTGAACGCCGAGAAGACGCGACAAATCATGCAGACAGGGTGGTGGTGGTGGTTAAGGGTGGACATAAATAGATCGCGTGGACACAGAGCCATCTGCCGAACCAAGACAACAATTTTCCAGACTTAATAGTACCTTGTATCTGCAGCAAGAGTTCTCTGTAACGGTTGATTACGATTCATCATTGTAACCTGCTCTCTCGCCAGCTGTATTAAATTTTCCAATCTTTTCCACTGAAAGTGGCCGTCTTTGAAAAGGACCTTCAGAGACAAGCACACAAAAACCTCATCACTTTGAATAATCGAAATTTTCAGGTCAATGACCTAGATTTCGAGCAAGTGCAAAATGAGAATGAGAAAACAAAAGAATAAAAGGATTGAAAAGATCCAATGCTGGCAAGTAGGATATATTACCTGCAGGAGTCTTTCTCTCAAAGCTGGATCTGGGTCTGTCAAAAGACGCTTGGCCACGTAAGGATAGGCCACCTGACACAAACACGTCGATTGAGGTTTCAGACATGGATGGAGGAAAAAAAAACTAAAAACTAAAACTTGTGACCTGAAGACTTCACGTGAATTGGATCCTTCAATTTCGTCGGAGAGCTCACAAAATTGCGTCTTAAAGGTAATGACAACGTAGCATCTTCCAGCAATGGTTTTGAACACACCTCCAAAAATTTGAAGTCGGGTGATAACGTGAGACAAATTCCCTCCTGAGTAAGGAGAGATCGAATCACCAATGCAAATCTCTCGGGAATGCGAATGGGGTACTGGTAGACCAACTGATTAAACTTCCCTGCAAGATTGATCAGGAAACGTTAGTCGAGTGCAGCCGTAATTCATTACTAAGATCGATGTTCCAGTCTCAAGTCATGTCAACACATTCAGACAGAACAGCCGTAAAATTTCGCACAGGCTTCACCATACCTGTGACAGTTCGAAAATTAAAATCAGCCAATCCCTTCCCAGTGGAGTTTTGCCAGATTGCTTCTAGTGCTGGTACAATAGGAGTCACATCAGTACCAGGGGCTAAAAATCCCAGCCTGGTGAAATCCCCTGCCATCTCCACGTAGTCTTCGTTGACAGCATGAACGACTGCGTCTATAAGAACTTGCTTGTTCCTCTGTCGGGCGTGACACAAAAGTGGACCGTGTGAGAACGCTATGACTATGACACACTCACATCACGATAAGCACGTATTCCTCACACGCATGTAGAGATTCTCAATTTACTGGTCAGAATCCGACTACGTAAGCAAAAAATCTCCAATTACCTGACTGAGTTCGGCCACATTCCCAAAGTCAACATAGGCGATTCTGCCATCACGCATAGCAAATATGTTTCCGGGATGAGGGTCTCCATGAAAAAGACCAAACTCCAGCAGCTGCCGCAGAGCTGCACTAACACCAACGGTGATGAACGACTCTATATCGATCCCAGCATCCTTAATTCCCTGCACGTTCACAGATAGATTGTAAGTACCAACAGAAGAAAATACAGAGGAAAAAGGACAAGCCGGAGACGATGAGATGCGCAATGTACAAGGTAGTCCTAGATCATAGTAAGAGCATGGACCTGACTACAATCCCTCAGTTGGAAACAATTCGGGCATTTACACACTATCTACGGTCTTTCTCGTCATTTTCCAGGATCCAGATGCCATTCTTTCTGTAAGTGATGCGTCGAGTACCTCCTATCACTACCTTTGGGGACGTATTGAGACCGGAAATACTAACCAACTGAAAGTCTCCATTTGAGAGAGGACAGATAACTTGTAGATCTATACATATCTTAATCATATCCAAAACGTTTTTCTGTATATATTAGTTGATGTCACGTATGTCAAACTTTAAAATAAACTCTAAGACATCCGAAAATCTGGCACTTCACCTGCGGATCAGTGCACCGGATCCCATCTATCCACTCCATCACCAGCACGTTGGGGCCACTCAAATCCTTGTAACATCGAGGAATTTTTACAGTTGGGTCGTCTTTGAAGTTCCTGTAGAAATCTTCGATGTTTCGAGCTTCCTGTTAGATTCACGTGCACAGCAGAAACAGATCTTAGAAACAGAAAGTCCCCTCCGGTTCTTTTGCAAGCAGTTTCCTACAGATCTAGTTCATAGGGCCAGTAGATGCGGAGTAGTTCAAAAGAAGTGGTAGAGAAGGTCAATACCAAGACGTAATCTAACTCTTCAAGTAGCTTCTGCCCAAACTCGTCCACGATCAATTCTGCGTTGCATCCTAGCTTCTCCAAGCTGTAGCCATTTAGAAATGACGCTAGAAGTCGGAATAGAAACAGATCTCTATATATAATAGGTTCAATTCCTGGTCTTTGCACCTGCACATTTCACGACCATGCATGTTAACGAACAGGTCTCACTGACAGAAACCAAGCTCCAAATTTTCAGACACCGTTCAAAGTTGCATCAGTCTATCCCATAGTATTCAGATCTTTCACTTGTGATAGTGTAGCGAGTTGTCAGAAAAAAAGATATTTTGTTTGTCATCAGACCGATATTTCAATTACAGACATTTTGTGTTCTGCTCCTAGGATAGTACGTATGCTTGCAGATGTCATCTGCTTTTGCCTCTGAGGAAGCTTGAGAAAAGACAAGATTGATAATGAAGTAAATGATACCCATGACAAAGGGTACATGCACCAGCAGTAGTAACTTTCTCAACTCTCACGAACTCCGATCTGAAACACACAGCATGACAATAGGACTAGCGTTCGAAGTTGTATATCTACAGAGTTTACAAAACATCCCAGTTATGTGACGGTAGATCTAGTCAACAACTTTAATGTTAGATTAAGTACCTTCACTGCGACCTCCTCTCCGGTACTACGGAGAGTTGCCCGATAGACTTGACCCAAGCTCGCAGCTGCCACAGGATCGGCTGATATTTTGCTAAACACTTGCTCTAATGGGCTCCCACTTTCTTTTTCCATAATCCTAAAAGCCTCCTGCAAAGTCCCACAAAAAAAAAGGCTTGAACAAAATGTTTCCGACCTCACCAGGTCCACAATAAGAAAGATAACGCAAGTACTTTGACTACTGCTGTACGGTTTCTAGACGATTCACAGACCGTTCTCAAACAGAACCCAACGAAGCCAACTGCGGGTGAAACTGAAGGGTAAAGACTACAGGAGGAGCAGAAACACACCTCATTAGGAAATGACGGGACATCGTCCTGCAGAGTGCACAGCTCATTCATGTAATCTTCTCGAACTATATCAGGCCGGTTCGCCAGAACCTGGAGTAGAAAAAACCTCTCATGTCAGAGAGAAGAACGATTTAAAATGTTCCGTACAGAGTATCCAAGTCCACTGTCGTTATGATGGGACAAGAGGTCAAAAGTATGCTTTGTGGGCTTACCTGACCAGCTTTGATAAAAGAAGGACCAAGTTTAACAAGTAAAGTGCGAAGCTGCTCAGCTCGCAGAGGCACCATCTCTTCGCCCCTTCGGACAAGGCAATCATAGGACAGTGAAGCCCAATAAACGCCTAGAGTCCATAGAATTTCGACACCTCGGCTGAACATGTTTGCATAGTCACTAGGGGTGCTGAGGACCTTTTTACGCACCTGTGACAAACAATGACAATAAAGAGGCTCAGAAACCCATAGTGGTGTTGCAAATTCGATATTGAGAATTACTTCGACACTATCAACAAAAAAATATATATATGACAGAGGAGAGGCATTCACAGACAACATATCAAACTTGCGAGATTTATCGGAAGCTACATACACTGGCATGTTCACAAGTAATTTCAAAAAGTTACGAATTGTCACATTCAGAAGGACCTTCCGGGTCAACCTTACATAAACGGTAGGAATCGCATGCAGATTAAGGTTGTAACCAGGGATAACAAGCCATCTTGCTGGCGATTGCGTATCTACTAATTAAACAGAATATGATTAACGGCACTATGAATTTGCATGGTGAAATCCCCTGTGTCCTGCCGCAGAATTGGTGCGGCAGTACACATGGGATTTCACCATGCAAGTTCCATGTGTATACATGGAATTTGAGTATACATTCATACTTCTGATGATCATGTCCCACCAACCACTAAGATAAGATTTCTTTGAACCTGAAAGAGTGTGTTATTCCAGATCCTCGCTTATGACCTCCTCTTCTGTTTGTACCTTGTACGTCTTACAGTTAGAATTTCCGACTGGAAGTGGTAAAATATCACCAGGAGAAGCTCTCATATTCCACTCCGTAGTAATCTTGTCGTTCACAGCTTGCGTCTAACAACACTGCACACTGATCTACTTCAAACTTTCTAGAGAGAGACGAAAGAACTCAATCCCTCTCGAGGGAAAGTGCTTCACACGATAAATTCCGAGGCGAATTCATTGCGTTATAAAACCATGACAGATTGATATCAAACTCTACCTTATGACCACTTCTCAGTATTCTCATGAAATATTTGGTTAAAATCTCGGACCGAAAGTGGTAAAATAACACCAAAGAAAATTCTCATTTCGCCTCCTCACGCGATTATCATTTCACTGACAAGCCTAACATCGCTCCGATGTTGTTCAACTTCAATTGTGTGAAAGAGCATAAACTCACCCCCTCCGGAGTGTACTTTTTGAATGGGATACAGACTCCCAGTTCCAGCTCCAGTTCTTCCATTGAACCCGTGGCTGGTGCGAACCCAGCGCCATTGCCCGTAAGTCGATTCAGCAACAAATTTCCTGGTCCCTTCTGAGAATTCACAGCCCCGCTCGCGGCTGCCGCTTTGTATGACCTCGACGCCGCAGCTCGAACAATCAAAGGCGACCGATCACGCAGGCCTCTCGTCCCCCGAGCTTCGCCAACTCTCACGGACCTGCCCAGACTGAAGAAACCAGTCGACGGTCCCAGCCCCAACGCGCCAAGCCCCAGCTGGGCGTGCACGACGGTTGCGGCCATGACAAACGAAGAACCCCCTCGATTCCTCTTCACAAGTCGTCGCCCGTCAAGTCGCCGAGAATCCACCCTCCATACTCGCTCCGCTACTCGTCAAAGAACCGATAAAATCGTCTCGTCCTCCTCGCGCATTCCAGTTCCGAATGCGTGCGGAGAGGAGAGCAGAAAAGAAAAGAGTGCAGGCCCAACACGGCGATTGTCACGAGAGCCGCGGTCCACACAAAGGAAAGGAAAGGAGCCCGAGGCAAGAACAGCAGCGTTGTCGAATTGGGGCCGATTCTTGGTGCCTGGCGAAATGCCGTTCAGCAGAAGAGACAGTTGACGTTGACAGCGCCGGGGCGCGGTGGCCAGGCGGCCAGGATATCCATTATGTGGGGAGCGAGGCGCGCACCACGTCGCGGCCGAGCCCATCGACGAGGGCCAAGGCCTTGAGCCTCGTGAACTTGTGAAGGCGGAAGGAAGCAGGGGCCGCGGCCGCGGGCTTCGAGATGATGCTGACGAGGGTCCGCCCGCCCGCCCGCGCCCGCCTGTCGACGGAAGCGGAAGCGCGAGCGCTAGCGCATGGCCGACGATCGACGAGGCCCCACCCGACCCCAACCGCGGTCGAGAACTAACCGAGGTCGACTGTCCCCGACTCGGACCTACGACGTCCTCGGACTGACTCCCCTCCCTTCACCCTTCACCTTCGAAGATGCGTACTCTACACATTTGCACCGCCACGTCAGCTGCCGGTGGTTCGCTCGCGTGTCGAGTGGCAAAGTGGAGAGAAAGTGTGCTCTCTCGAGACTCTCGAAGATGTGAACTTTGCCACGTGGCCCAATACTAGTGGTCCTGAGTGAGCGAGAAAAGTACTCCGAAGGGAAGGAAAACTGACAACGAGAAGGTAGAGGCCAGGTGGATAAAAATGATGTACCCCATCGAGGACTGGAAGGATGAATTCTATAGGTAACTAGAGCCGAGCCCCCAATATCATCATACTGAAAAACTATAACAACTCCAGTGCTGGAAAGTCCGAGAGATTGATTTCTTTTATAATCTTGATGTTGATGGTACAATTGCAGCCGGTCTTCTCCTTTTTCAGTATAGAAGGATTGATTATCTATCTTCTTAGAATGGCGGCAAATTTGAAGACGTATGTTTAAGAAGATAAATTATCATACTCTCTGGGAGTGTGTCTGGTATGTGACATAAACTTGCTACTCCCCAGTGAAATATAGATTTGCCCCAACTATAGTCGATTGCAAGATATATTAACCTTTACTCTATGTTGATTTTATTATTTTACACATAATCACAAACATCAGATCTGTGATAGCATCATAGTGACTGATTTTACATTTTGGATGTACATAGTATCAGGTGCATATTTCTTTCACGTTATATAATTTCAATCATACATGAGAAATAAACATGTACTCTAGCAAAACTAACTGGTGAGAATAGAAAACTCTAAGATTCACAGGCTTGCAAATTTGACTTAAACAAGACATTATAGCATGGGTCTTATTCCTTTCAAGGTATAGTTATGATTGTCCCAAAGACTTGGTCCATTATATGACAATTGTGCCATGAACACGTCTGTCGAGTATTTGGTATAAGCCTAATTTTTTCCAGGTTATTAATTTCCCGCAGTACTCCTTTACTTAGGCTTGGGATTCCTGTTCTTTCTCCTCTCATTTAAAGAATTTGATACCTCTTTCAGACGTTGAAACTCGGGATACCATAAGAAGCCCGTGCACCTAAACCCGTCTGCCTCATACTCAAAGTGCCTTAGAAAATTTCAACCCCGGTACCCCGGAAACTGTGAGGTCAGAACTCTTAAAGTCAGGCCGACGCGTGCGGACTGTACCGGTAATCATGGTAAGTCCTGTAGGATTGAACAGCACTGGCCTCGTTTGAGCCTTGTCCTGGTCAATCTTGTGCCATTCGATTTGAACCCAGGTCACCGTTTCCTCCGGTGAACCTACAGACTTCGGCTTCTTCCGCCCGCAAAAGAATGGACTACGGCGTTCGAGAAATGGCCTTCTTCTTGTGCTCCATGACTCCTTTGGGAAGGCCTGCACTGACAAGTCAATGCTTTCGCGGCCTTTAATAGCTGTCAGACCCTTCTAACTTCCACTTTCCTCCTCCTCACGCCCTTGTTCTGTTCTCATGGCTCCTTGAGACAACAGTCCCAGTTCGGCCTTTCCTGCGCCCGTCCGTATGATTTCGGCTTTGGGACCATCTTGACTTGGTATCCTCCGTGAAGCCTCGTTTCATTGTCTAAGATTCTCAACACTTCGATGATTTATGATACAGCAGTGTGGTCTAGAATGTTGAAGTTGTGTGAGCAAGTAGTTAGAATTTCCTGTGCGATGTGAAGTGAGTTAAGTTTGTTATGCCTGTTTAGTTACTCTTCTACTTTGGTGTTGGTCATAATTTTACTCGTCCTGGTAGAGGGTAACAGTCGTGTCTTGAATGTGGTGTGGGGAGTTTGCCAATTTTCTTTACGGCTTGGTGTAACGGTGCGTTTTCTCGCAATGTACTTCTACACACAGTGCAGGAGATACGTGTCGTTTGATCTGGATGTACTCTTGGGTTAATTTTGGGTTTTGTCTTTCAATCTGGCAGAAGAACTGTTGGAGCTCGCAACACAATCTCACCTCACAACATTCAAGGTCAACGTTGAAGTCCAGATACCAGTCTGGCATTCCATATCGCCGCGTCTTTGAACAATTCCTCAATACACACTGAAATGATAAATTCGGCACGTGCGCAATATATATGATGATACCAGCAAAACGCTTCCAACGTATTTGAGCTCTTAATGTTCCTTGGTCAACTTTACAAACTCCTCATCTTCCTCGTCCATGTTCCATTACATTAAAAGGATGGTTTCCTTTATCCCCTCCCTTTCTCCTAAATCCACTCCACACTACTCCGAGAAGGTCATGTTTTAATTTCGGAATTTCCAGTGATATTACATAGAACCACGGTGTTTCAGCCCCCAGCTATACAAAAACCATGCACTCCACACTCACATTCATTCAGGATGAAAACTGTCCTATGACCATGACTATGAGCTGAAACCAAGGCGAAGAACATTCCACATACTCCACAATGAGACGGGGATACACAGAATAATTGGAAAGTCAATGGTTACTAGCTGCCAATCAGTGGACATTGATTGCTGCACTAACATCCCACTTTAGAGTTAGGATAGCTTGAAAAGTATGAACAAGTAATACAACTGAAACTGTACTGATGAGAATCAATTCTCAAATACAAGTATGATTCTAGATGTTCTCAACAGTATACAAGGCAAGAACATTACAGGTACTTGCCTGGAGATGAGCCGAATTTTTGCCTTTAGTGCAAGGAAACATCCTAACATGCTACAAATGAACTTGCACCCAGAGCCCTGGGTGGAAGTTACACTCTCCAAACTACAGAGTGAATGTACACAAATGAATCGCTAATCTACAAAATGATAAAAACAGGCGATTCCAGCGCCGCATCGAGCATCAGACCTCATTGAGAGACTTTCTCTGCAGCGGCTCTGAATTGCTTCTCCAAGGCGGAGAGATCAGCTTTTAAGTCAAACATTCTCTCCAATGCGTGCATGTTCTCGATGGTTTCGGTCACTGTCCGGGCATCAGTTCCGTCGCTTCTCAGATGCTGCATTGGGCCGTGCAATAACTTGTTGACAATTCCCCGGCTAAGCTCTTCCACTAACTTACGGTTTTTCTTCGTCAGGTCCTCACCCATTTTGCCCAAACACTTCTCAAGCTCTGCGGTTCTGATGCCTTCGGCATAAGCTCTAAGCTTCTTGATAGTAGGAACAGTTTCAAGCGAGTCTCTCCAAGAATCAAAACTTCTAAGTTCCTCTTCAATTATTACTTGTGCTTCAAGAGCCTTTCTCCTTCGCTCCTCCTTGTTTGCAGCCACCACTTCCTTTAAGTCATCGACGTTGTAAACTCTGGCAGTAGGCACTTCGGCTACACAAGCACCGACATTTCTGGGAACAGATATATCTATGAAGTGTCTAATGCCACCGAGGGACTCAGGGGGCACAGGGAGCTGTTCCGCGTGCTCCTTGAAGAACAACGGAGTTTCGGACGCAGTACTAGTGAAGATCACATTTGCTTCCTTAGCGCAAGTCATCATTTCAGGTAACGGTCTGTAAATCAGCTCAGCATCTGGAAATTCGGCCTGTAGATCTGCAACCCTGCCTTCCGATCTGTTTACTATCACCATTTTGCTACATCCTTTCGATATGAGATGCTTAACCAGCAACTTCGACATTTTGCCGGCTCCAACAATCAGAACCTTGGCATTTGAAATTCCTTGCTCCGGTAGTTTCATTACGGCGAGTTCAACAGCCGCAGAACTAACAGACACCGCTCCTGCAGAGATACTGGTCTCGCACCGCACTCGCTTCCCTGCGGTAATGGCCTGCTTAAACAGACCATTCAGGTTCCTACCAAAACCAGGTGCTGTCTGACCGACTTTGTACACCTGCTTCACCTGAGAGAGAATTTGACCCTCTCCGAGAACAAGAGAGTCCAGACCTGAAGAAACCCTGAAGAGATGCTGTGTGGCATCACGGTCTCTAAGGATGAAGAGGTGCTCCCTCAATTCTCGCACAGGCACACCACTGGTCTGCAGAATGAACGACCAACTCATCAGCAACGACTATGAAGTTACAGTTCCAGGTGACATTTGACCCACCTAAAGTTCATATTGTCCAGATGCTTGGAACAGGTTTGAATGAGTATCTGTGTCCATCTGTGTTCCCTCATTAAGAGCCCATAAGAAAACTTAAGCAGACATCTTCCAGAAAGATATTAAATTAGGACTAAAAGCAGGGTTTACGAATAGAAAATATCAGTACCTTGGACATCCACTCTGTCACTTCTTGCACCCCTCGGTTCCAAGAAAGAGCGACAACATAAATCTCCATACGGTTGCAGGTACTCAACACAGCTGCCTCTTCTATGTGATTTTGCTCGCATAGCTCGCCAATTGCTCGAGGCCACTCTGCTTCTGGTACGGCAAGCTTCTCGCGCATAGAGACTGGGCAACTGTGGACACTGAGGCCCAGTACGAGTATGCTGCTTTTGACACTCGTGTATCCTGTTCAGAGCACAAGCCGTAGGAGTTAAGAGAATCCGAAGCAACACTCGGAATCGGTAAATGGGAACATCCTCTAGCTGCTCTGTTCACTGGTGCCACAAGAAGCTTCCACAGGGCCTATACTGGATTGGTGGGCTGTACCGCTAACGTTGTGCGCATTCATTTACTAAAAACTTACGCTCCCAGCAAATCAGAGAGCACCATAGGGTTGTTACTGCGTGATCATCAGAGTCGACAAGACGAAGACAGAAAACTAACGAATAGGAGATGAGACGCTAAAGAGAATGCATGCAAGTAGGAGCACAGAAGGAGAGTTTTTCTCGCGCATTCTTTTCAACCAGAAACATGTTCACACCTGTCACCACAAACTCAGAAAATGAAAGGGTCTGGACAGAGAGATGTGAGTGAAATACATTCTTCGAGATAGGACAGGGGAGAGAGTGAAAGGTGAACTCACGATTATTGCTAACATTCCGCAGATGTTCAAATGCAGCCTGGCTGGCAACCTTGTATCTGTGGCTTGCAGGCAGGGGTTGAGCGCCATCCTCTAATCCTTGAGCGCGGGCGACACCGCCCTGCAGGGTCACTGCATCTGCGAGAGTGAATTTTCTGCTGAGAACAGGAAGATCCAATCCTGAACCGAAGAGTGAAGAACTCTTGAGACTACATCGTCCGGAAGAAGTAGGAGCCCTGTGCTCGTCCGAAACAGCCCTGAACGAGGAGGGTGCTACAGCTCCTGCGACTGATCTGATCGAGGCCATCACGGTGCCTGCCTTCAAAACCCCGGAGTATCCCTACAGACTAATGATCATACCAGACCAGAACGGCTCCACTCCCGTCGCCCCTGCCCTTCGCTCCACCGGAGCTTCACGCCAATGTCAATGCCTCGTGCCGACCACACGCCCACCACGATCTTCTCGCCGAACACAGCTCCGGCGATGGCAGAATCCAGCAACTATTGGAGCTCGGGGGCGTTCAAGCGCTCTTGGCGAATGCGCTCGACCCCGCGAGAGATAAATTGGTTGCTTATATTGCTGCGGACGAACTGATCACTGCGAATTCCGCTCGGTGGCTGCAGAAAAAGTGCCACAGCGGCGAGGAGCGGACGACGACTCCCGGGGGGAACGACGGGCAAGACGATGCAGGAATGCAGGAATGCAGGCCGAGCGAAGGGGCCCAAGGCGCGGGTGGACAGGGATTGAAGACCGCGCACGCGCCCACGCTCTGATCAGCGCCCACGCTGCGATGGAAGACCGGGCGCGCTCACGACCCCCCCTTGAAATCCTCCCTCGAGCTGGCGCCGTCTATCCCTTCAGATGAGACTCGTCTGCTGCCCCTCCCCTCCCTTCCCATCCTCCTCACGAGCTCCGTCCTGCACTGCACCACGGTCCCTTCTACTGCGGTTGGGGCTCCGCCGTACCGCGTAGCCCCACCCGACCGCGATCCCCTCCGCTGCCCTGCCCGGCAATTGGCACACGCTGATTCAGTGCGGCTAAGTCCGCCCCCCTTTTCCTTCTCCCTTTCATCTGACCCGTGCTCCGTCCCGCCCGCTAAGGTCACCTCCCAGACTCGCGACCCGGTCGTCTCTCGCTGTCCACGATGTCCTCCGGTCTCCTCGAGACGCAGCTCGGGGTCTCTCTCTCCTGGAGTGAGTCGGATTTGAAGTGTATTCGGACCTTCTGGCACCCAATGTTCTTGGCTTCCTCCTTGTACTGATTCCAAAATAATAACTTGGGTTCCGGCAGGGTGAGTACTACCGGGGTTTCCTTGCAGAGTTTTCTAGGAAACTGTTGTTTGTTAGTGTGAAAATATTCTTCGTTTTCAACGATTGTTCATCTTCCATATCAAGGTCCAAATGGCAGACACTTGCACGCGCTATTCAGAATTTGCACTGATACTATTGGTTTATGAGGGAAACAATTATTTTCTATCGTGAAATTTAGAAACAGAATATTTATGAACCATTCTTCATCACTCTATAAAAAATCCGATTTGCAATCAGTTACGTGTTATCTCCATCAGGATAGTTCTGCATATTAAAATATTTTTTTCGATTCCAAGACACATGTTAGAAAAAAAATGAGTATTTATCATCTTAATGAGCTAAAAATTTGCTATATCTATATATATACATATATAGCAAATTTTTTATCATCCACGACTACGATCAACATCCAGTACACATTGATTATTTTTCTTTCGAATAAAATTTTTTAAAATATGAAAACGAAAAAATCGTCATCATAATGTCCACGCGAATTTGTTGTTATCAGATCAAATACTACAATTGATGTAGAAACAAAATATGGACTCTACGGATCCTACTCCATTCTTTCACAACGGTGGTTGAAGATTATGATGTATTCTACTTTACGTAAGAATGCAAGGTACACATGCGAGAGCGGCGATCAGGTTCGGAGTAGTTGTATGTAAAGGCGTTTCGAGAAATACAAAATATTTATTGCATTTGTGTCAAAAACAATAAACATCCCCGTCTTGACCAGAACCTCTCTTTGATTGCAATAATGGGCACGTTCGCAATAGACTAGAACCATCCTTTTTTCGACACAAGACTGGCGCATATCAATGTTCATTGTAAAATTTCGCTCCGGTTGAGGAGAACTTAAAGTTGCATCTTCAATTGGTGTATCGAACCAGAAAATACAGCCAGTAAAATTCTCCCGTTTCCGAAGGACAAAGTTAAAGTGCCATGAAATTAGAGAAGAGTGAGAGTGGCGATAGCTAATGGAGCATGCATAATGGAGCTCGGTCAGCATAAACTCAGTAAAAAGTTTGATGTCCCACCGTAGAGTTAAGACGCTACTGCTGAAACGGCTTAATGAATCGAATGCGAAGGATGGCCACGTTTTAACACTGCTGGATGTACCACGTAGACTCGACCTTGACCCAGTAAGGCTACGCATGTGCTGCCGGCGGCCCTCGGAACGTAGGAATGCTTCAACACGTCGACCGCGAAGCGGAGGACCGGCAACTGCGCGGTTCGTTCGGTGGGAACCTGGAAGACCGGATCAAGGCCTCCGAGGATGACACCAACCGGGTAACATGGGCCTAGCTCCCAATACCCAACAGCCAGACTGCAAAGCCATGACGGTGCCGACAAAGCCTGCGGGGCCGAATGGAAGGAAGATCGAGCTCCTTCCCCTCATTGGCTGCGAGCGCCAGTGTAATTCTTCTGGATAATTATCCCCATCCATGTCTCGGCTCCGAGTCGACCAAGTATCCTTCGTACACAGACATATTCTATGAATAATCCCGGAGCTTGACATACTGCGCACAGGAGCTGCGGCTCTCTACTTCTGCAGCTCGGAGGTAAAATGGTCATGTGCTGAAGGGTGGGCACTAGTTCGCGTGAGAATATACTCCATTTATTAGACTGAACTCGAGAACCTTGTTACACACTGACCTTACTTACCAACCTCGAGGCATTCGAAATTTTAATTTTTTACTAGCATTTATCTACGTATGTTCAGGTCGACGGTCAGATGGATCGTACCACTTTGGATCAACCAAGGTTCATCCAAGCTCAAGCACTCTAATTTTTTTCCGATTTTTCCTCTCTAAAGTGTTGATATGTGTATTCAGGTGGACTGACGACCGAATTTTACATTCGACTGTCGATACGACATAATATGTCTTTGGATGCGTAACCTCTCACTGCTCCCCACTCCCGGAGAAAATAGTTGAATATTCGAACTCGCGGGGGCATCTCCTCAGGACGAGCTCGATTGGGCATTTCTCATCCTCATTGGCAGCCGGAAAACATTGGTGCTGATTCTGTTACGAGCCAGATACTGTTATTTGCAGATAATTAGCAATCGCAGCAAATTATTTGGCTATGCGATTGCAAACTTCAAGATGGGATTTCATTTGCTTCCGGGTGAGCGTAAATGGTTGAGGCAAATAAAAGTCTCCAGATCATTAACTGCCTCAATTGACCCGACGCACTGATTACATAAGAGCAGAGATAAGCTACACCAAAACTATACGCTCAAGACCTTGATGAACCCTTCAAACGATCATCTTCTAAAAAAAGATTTTCTCATTGACGATCATATTTTGATGGGCAACGATTTCAGTTTATTCCTTATAATATTAACCGAATTAAGAGAAAGTGGAAAGTAGAAGCGGAAGTGAAATTTCAGTCCATCTTTCCTTCAGACTTTCAGACACGTGTTCAATGCTTGAACTTCACATTAAGTGTTTCAACTTCTTCCCAAAATCTGCAGTCTCGTGAAGGCCTCCCTTGGACATGATGTAATAGTACCATAATAATAATCCTCTCGGATCAAAAATAACTTTTGTAACTCCCACTTCTATTTCCCTTTTGCACTTTGTAGAAGTTGGGCAAACAGGCTGTGTCTGTCCGACCTCTCTCCCTCCACCCTCCTCATTTTTCGAGTTTTACAGTAAGCTCTGAAATGTCCGAGATGGATTCTGAATCCTTTTCTCCTCGATTTTTAGTCTCTTGTTGGCTTAGTGCGATGGTGAATGGCTTGAATGCTTCAAGGATTACCCTGTCTTGAAGTCTTCTTGGACTTAACATGAATTCATCAGCCCTCTACAAATTATCATCTTTCGACTACGTTCATCTAGCGTGCCTGGTGAGTAAAGTGTCATAAATACAGTCAGTCTGATTGAGAAGAGGTGGACTGACCAGGAATTTCCCCAGTAATCGGAAGAAATTTGTGACATGAAACCAGGCGGTAATTCGACTGAGTGGTGAGTCGACCGGAATCGATTCAAAACAACCACAGACGGAGTCGTTGTCTGTCCCTTGGAAAACCAAGAATATTTGATCCAAAGGAGTCGTCAGGGAGGGAGACAGACATGGTGCATCCTCAGCAAAACACGTGTCAATCCAGCACCCAATGAAGTAAAAGATCCACCTTGCCTTCGAAGAGTATCTTGTTGTGTGCATGACATGGAGCCAGATAGAATATATTCTCATTCTCAGGTAGGGTGGTGAGCAAAACAACACTACGGCTGGTATGCGATGAAGGTACTGGACTCAATGGCTTGATCAAATGACAAACTTAGGTTCCTGCTGAGCAGCAGACATGTCTTGTCAGCGGATGGACATTTCTACGTCCACATGCGCTTGGAAAGAACGACAAATAAGCGATTGCGCACGGAAGCGAACGAGGATCTGATGAACAAATAGAGACGCAGAATCGATACATGTGGTTCGTGGGGCATATACTGTAGTCCCGATGAGATTCGTGGATGATAATCCCTTTAGGCGATCTGAGCTCTCAGACATGTGGGCCCAGGCCACCGATGGCCTGACAGACGAGCGCAAGAAGAGGTGGCCCAAACGTCCTTCACATGATCGAGCACCCAATCAGATGTTCCTCGTGCGGCGTCGTCCGCGATATCTGTAATCGGCGCTGCCCATTGGCCTTGTGGATCTCATTAGCCTATCTTTGACAATCACATTGCGGATTCTAGAGCTCTTCATGGTGAAGTTCTCAAAGCTTTCCCTCACCTGTGCGCCGGCCATTCCCTGTCCTCGTGGTGACACGTATAAGAAGTGGACGAAGAGGTCTTCTTCGTACCTTTTGACGTCATTCTCCCGTCTCAGCAGCAGCTCCCGAAGCCTGATCCGATATTTAGATTATCAAAATAAATCCATTGGACAATAGTATTGTAAAATTGTATGCTCTGGTGATACGAACATGCCTACCAACAGTATGTTTATGCGGGGGCTTCTTCGGTTGACGACACAATGATTTCAATCATACTCCTTAGCAGTACATACTAGTCTAAAGACCGGGTCATACGTAAACCTATATGAGAAGTGTTGGTCTATTCCCGGGTAAGAGTTAGCGATCCAAAAACACCATGTTTGGTTTGCGTTTTTAGGGAAATGAAGTTTAAATTATCTAAATATGTTTAATCTAGTCTGTAAAAAAAATTTTAATCTAATTTGGTTTAAAATTTTTGATTTTTGCCACAAAAAATTTAATCTAAACTAATTCAGTCTACTAAAAATCAATTTACATTAATATAATCACATAAAAAGTTTTATTAAGTTAATCTTCAATATAAATTTTCTACTAAAAAATTATCAATACTTGAATTGTTATATGAACAAGAATTATCTTGATTGCATGATTACATCCAATCCAAAATTAGATTATCTTTTGCAAAACAAATCTTTCTCTTCACTCAAAATTGAAAAACCACACTCTACCTTACTATTTTCTAGTATCAACATTGCAACTACACCACAATATTAAATCAGATTTGAAAATCAAATATCAAATGAAAACTAGCCATACTTGAAATGTTGGAAAACAGAGCAACAACTTTTTTAATCACTCAATTACATATACGAACATAGATTAGAACTTTGTGCTCATAAGCTATGATATCTCTTTTGTTTCAATAAAAAAACATGTTGCCAAATCTTTGAGATGAAATCTGCTGCAGATAGCTTGATGAACTCTTGTGGT